TAGTTAGTTAGTTAGTTAGTTAGTTAGTTAGTTAGTTAGTTAGTTAGCTAATTTAATTTTCCTGATGTATCATAAGTTCATTTGAGCTGTTATCAGCAGGCAACAGAGCAGAAAATAAATAAATTAATAAATGATTATTCCAGTGAATTTGAAACACAGACCCTATCAGGTCAGACTATGCCCCTTTGCAGTGACAATATAAAATTGAAATATCTTCACGTTATGCCCAGGTATACTTTCAGTCTGTTACATTGGTTACATCCTGGATCCTTTAATAATGCAACACTAAACATGGCTGCTTCAAGTATTTTGTGTGTAATTATTACAGCATCTTCCTTCCTTTAGATATACAGTATGTGGGCTTGGTTTCAAAGTGCTGTTAACAATGTAATGCTGTCATATAGTGAGCACATTTGACCACTGCAACCCCAGCCATAACAATATGTAAGTCAGTATGGTTCAGATCAATAACAGATCCTTAAATACCAGCAGTTTCCTGCACCACAGACTGAGAGACTACAGTTCGCATACTGTATCATCATAGCATATAAACATGATAGTCTGGCAGAGTATTCTCTTCATGTTTTTCTTCACTATAAACATTTTATTTAGGCAGAACGGATTCCTTTGTTTGTTAAATGTGTTTATGTGCATACCTCAATGCGTGTATTTTACTCTCTGTCAGGTTAAGGTTAAACTTCAACATTTTTCACAGAAATATATCCACATTTCAGACTGATTATTTTTTGTGACCACTGGAGGGCAGGATGGTGTCTTCTCTCAAACCCTGAGCAGGCAGTAGATTTAGGGTTAGTTTTTTGAAACAATAAAGTCAGAATATCGAACATTTATGTTGTTAGTTTGATATGAATAATAAAATCGAATAACTCTCTGATTTTAATTTCTCTAAGCTGTTCCATGCATTCAGCATTTGAGCACAAATATCTATCGTTCTCACTCTCCTTATATCTGTTTGCCTTCCTATCCTTACTTCTCACTCTGATATACCCATTACTCTCTCAATGAGTCTTATTAGTGATTGAGCACAGTGTGTTAAACCTGTATAAGGTTTTCTTCTCTAAGATTTCACTGGATCAGGCTCACTTCCTTAGAAGCCAAATCAAGAGTTAATTATTATCAAAATGGGAGAGAAAACAGTATGCAGAAAAGCAATGGATGGAAGAAAGTGTCAAACAGTGTGGAGGAGTGGGTGTCCGTTGCATCTATTAGCACTATTTTGACAACTAATAGAAATTAAGTTGCTTCCTTTGTCTTCATTCTCCTTCCTGCTCTCTGCTCTTGTTGACCAAGTCTAACATGCTACTGTTATTAACTGAATTGATTAACTGTATTTCATAACAGTGTTAGATCTTTGGATATGTAACTATTCTCCAATGTCACAAATTGTTTACTCTCCCTCTTTCTCTCTCTTTGTTCCTTCTTTTTCCTAATCCTGATGCAACCCCACAGACCCCGCTTGTGTCTGGGAAACTTTCCCCATCAGAAAACTATTGATTCTCCCTCTCAGTGTGTCATTTGTGCTCCTCAGACACTGACCAATATTCTGCTGTGATAATGGGAAACCAGACTGGGGCACACATGAACACTTTCCATTCACATATTTCTCACACGTGTCATGATTTTGCAGATAAGCATTGGCAATGAAATCCCTTGACCTCGAAATGCGATAGTCCTTTTTCAGGAACAGCTTCTCGCCAAACGCGTCTGGCCATATCAATGAAGCCCACACGCATACGCCACATGCAGCCCGCTCCGCCTTTAAAAACATATTGATTTTTTTCTCTTTCGCAGGGAGCTTAATGCGATCGATTGTAGGGGCCCTTTCAAGATCAGCACCAGTATAAGCATCTCTTCTCCTAACACACATGCTGCCTCTTTCCCCTCCGGTAATGATTGTCCTTGAGCTTGGGGAATGGTTTTGTCTGCATTTAGAGAGAAAAGTGTTTCTCTAGGCATCTAGGGTGTCTCCCTCCTCTCTGCTCCCCATCGTTGTGGTTAAGAATGAATCCTATTCTTGCCTCTTTAACAAAATGTGTTGCAAATGCAGCACACACCTCCTCTGACCTTTAGCAGCCCCCCTCCAGCACCACCACCCTTCTCCACCTGTCAGTGGGTCGATACCTCTTTGTGTTTGCAATGTTTGCATTGCATTACATCAGAGCGCTTTTTCTAGATTAAAAATGTTGGCATTTCTCACTTTAGTACTTGGCAGGCTAAACAAACAGATAGGACATATGTATGTGTGAAGAGAGAGAGAGGTAAATAGATTCTGTGATGATTACTTTTGGGTATCTGAAATATCTACCAATTAAAATCCCTTGAGAAAAACATTATTTGTTTTTGTTGTCTGGTGCCCCTTAAATATGTCTAATGCCCCTAATCTTTCAATTTGAAAGTTTTATCCTAAATCTCCTCCAAGTCTCAGGTTTAAATTTCCAGCCTCCTCTTCTCCATCTCCCCCTCAGCTTTGTGCAGAATGTCATGGCAGGCACCATCATCATTAGCTTGGGTTAAAAGGACAGTTGTTACTCTGCAGCTAAACTTAAACAAAACGCAAAGGAATGTACCGACTGTCAGGTTTACATGTGCCAGAGAAATTATAACTTGATTTTGACAGGAGTTTTAACCTGCCACCGAGAACAAAGCTTCAACCTTACTATCTGCCCTGTGCCACCAGTTGTGCGCATATTTCACCTCTCTGTTGTTTAAGAGATGCATCAGTGCCAGCTATATGTGTCCAAACTGCAGAGGAGATTCTAAGTGTTTGAAAATGAGGTGTGTGAGTATGAGCTCAGCTTGCTGTTTGTACTAGTGTTAGCTTTCAACCTTGGTAAATGTAATACATGCTATTTCATACAGAAATAATGGGCTTCAAGGGCTATTGAGTATAATTTGAGTCCAAATGTTCACATGATAGCTAAGACAGACGGGAATCTCGATATGAGCAGCGAAATTGTGGGTAGTATTCAGTTCTTCACTCCACATCCAAAAAAGCATGAAAAGAACCATTTCTGGTTCAAAATATAAGAGAAAGATATGAGATGTTACTTCTGGGGTGTTCTGATTAAAGCATATGAATGACCGTTCAATAACAGTTTATTAAATTGTTTCAGATTGTGAAAAAAGGGGCAGACTAATTTTCTTTTAAAGCTTTAATACATTTTCTTACTTTATTTTTCCCTATACATTCCAAAGAGGCGGGGTTGGCTGTCTCATCAAGGAAATGCAAAATACAAAAGAAAAATAGTAAAAAGTCAAATGGAGTGCCTCTAAAAAAACAAAATAATCACTCTCCTTTTCAAACCACATGTGTGAACGGGATGGACAGGCCACTAATCTTTTGACGTTATTGTTTAGGTTTAATGTATTAAAGATATATCCTCAGTCTGTCGTTGACTGATTAGACATAAGCCCAATTTTCCTCCTACAAAAGTTGCTGAGACTACATGCTCCCCAAGCCAGCAGTGTTCAGTGTTGTTTCTTTTTAAGTTAATATCTGCAAACAGCTGCCTGCTGTTGCCAAACACCCCACTGATGAAAGCAGTGGGAGTAAAACGGCAGCGCTGCTGGGCACTAAATCAACACAGAGAGCTAAGAAATACAATAAAGCTTCCTGCAGCTGAGGGAAAGTGTGGACCCAGATTATCTTTGGTATTTATGAATAACACCTTTCACATAATAGTGGTCTTTTGATGTTTAAATCTGAAAAGCAATCTCCCCACTTCTATTTTTTGTGCCCACAATATGTTAAATAAAACACCTGCAACTCCTTGTGTTAAAATTGTACAATTGTGCCTTTTTTCCTAAGAAACCTAACAATAAAGTGAGAATTTTATATTAAGTCTCCACACAAACCAGACACACACAATGTTGAATTGAAATGGTTGGAAACACTGTTGAATACCCAGCTCTGAAACAAACGGAAAACTAGCCATCAAGTTCATTATGTCCAATAGGTGATAACACAAATTTTTCTAATATTTGAAAATAGAAAGCTCTCGATAGAAACCGCCCTTGCCCTTCCTCTGCTGAGAGGGCTGAACAAGTCATCGTGACATTTTTGCTGCACTCATGTTTTTTATGTAGATAAGAGAGCCTTACATCAACCCTTATGTCTTCTTTAATCTGAAAGAAGGTATTTTCCCACCAGAAAAAAAATCATCTGGAGACTTCTTAATCACCTATATTTCAGTACCTCTCCTTTGATCGCGTTTCTATCCAAACAAAGCATTTATTACAGCTGTAACCTTCAAAGTGCAGGAAACATGGCAATACATAAGAGGAACCACTTAAATAAAGAATAAATCAACACATTTTCAACAAATGTCCCGGGATTTTCAGCTTGTATCACACCTATTGCCAATGCTATTTCACTAGCACTTGAACCCCTCAAGTTTTCTCTTCTCTCAATGCTGATGTTGAAAATCTGAATGTGAAACTCCATTGTATGCTTGTAAGCGCGGGGATTGATTTTCTGGCACAAACTTAGGTCTATCATACTGTATTTGTCAGAAACATTAAGTTCCTTGGTCTGTAATTTCCATATGCCTTTCTAATTTGATTTTCTGTTTAAGGGAAAAAATCAATTCCCATAGAAAAGAAAAAGCTTAATCTAAAATAAATATCAGCTCATTATCCACTTGTCATTCAAAACGCTTCTGTCTGTGATGAACTTAATGCTTCTGCCAGTGTTTTTTCCATCTCAGGAGTCACACAATTCAAGGTTTATCGGAACTTTCATTCGTTTTTTTGACAGAGCAAATGTCGATACACTTCAATATAAAGTAAGAAGGTTAGCATATGTATACATTCAGGGACTACTTGTACAATAACATATCTGCTTTGAGAGGGATTGTGAGGTTCAGTTTATCATGTGCCCCCTTTAGGCTACCATTGGATCCCAACTCCCCAAAATACCTCCTGCTGTCTCAACAATTAAATCCTTTGAGGTGTGTGGACTACCCACTCTTTTTCTCTCATTAAAAAACGGCCAAACGGAGAGAAGTGTGGGTCCATTTTACGACCCACAACACAGATAAATTGTTTTATTATGAAGCATTTCACCTTTATGTCAGCAGTTTCCATGGAGATTTTGTGCAGATATGTGAGGCTGTGCTTAATAGTGTGACCTTAACCTTGCACTTTCTCGACTGTGCGCTTTCATGATGCTACAAACACATAGCTGTACTCAATCCTGTAAATCAATATTTCCACAGCAGTCTATTATTTTGCTGTTGCTTTGCACACATCAGCCATTCCTTGAAAATTGGTGTGGCCGCTGACAATAACACGGTATCCTTCGGTCTGGTTGAAATATCTTTGGTTTTATCACATATACGCCTGATATATTTCTTGAGCAGATCCTCGAGATTCTTGAGGCACCACTTACTAACCTTCCCCCTCCCCCATCTACATTTCTCTTTCTGCCCCTTTTTGCCCCTCTGTCCTGTTCTGTCTCCCCTGCAAGCTGCCTCTCTTTCCTGTGTGCTGGGGGGCCAGCAGAGGGGAAGTACACTGAGAGAGAAAAGCGCTCTCTGAGTTCAAGTGCACAGGCTTAAAGACACAGCTGGGTTTACACAAAGGGACTGTATGACGAGGAGAAAACAGTCGTGGAAGGGCAGAATAATAACCAATTTACAAGGTAGTTCTATAAACGAAGACAGTGTGGAGATCATTTCACAAAGAGGGAGAACATTTTGAAAAAAATGCAAACAGGAAAATGGAGGGAAATATCTCCTCCCCTTTTCCTCTTTCCACGTAACCTCCCTCCCACCTTCCTTTCTTTCCCTCCGTCCCTCCCTCTCTCCTCTTCTTCATTGCTATCCTACATGCATACACACTCACACGCACGTTGACTGATGCCCTCTCCCTCCTCTTGCGCTCTCCGTTTTTCTCAGCAACCTCTCTGCACCACTGAGACTTTTGATTGTTTTTCCTCTGGGGGTAGCGTACGGTGGACCTAGTTTTTCACAGCTCTAGCACATGCTGTCCCCGCCACAAACCGAGCAGCACAAGATCAGCCTATCCCTCACTTTACTGCCCGTGACTTTATCCACAGCTTTTCCCCTCCTGCTCTCCATTTACAGTGCCGACTTCCTTTGTCCATACGGCATGTTTCCCCTTCAAAGTTCTGCCTGCGGAGGGATGAAGAAAAGAGAAATGGTGTTTGAGGAAGAGGAGATGAAGCAGCTGTGGATAAAATGTCACAAGGCTGGAGTGACAGAGAGGCGGCGACTCAAGAGGGAAAGCAGAAAGTCAGGACTGAGGATGAGGGGACGGGGATGAAGAATCAAGTTGAAAGAAACGTGGGAAAAGGTAAATTAAAAAGAAACAGAGAGCTTTGATATTAGTACATTGTTATTCGTATGTCGAAGTGTTAATTTAAAAGAAAAGTAATAATCTCCTCTCATCTTTACTGAGCTCAGTAGATTTAGCTATGTGTCTTTTTCTGTGTTCGGCTCTGCTTTGGTCTCTGTTAGTTTGTAAAGAATTTTTCTTCCTCCCACTCCTACCCGAACATTTTCCTTGTCTCCCAGCGTCTCCCTCAATCCAGCCATGTGTTTTATCTCTTGTTTAATGGAATATGTGCTTTTCTTAAAGAGCTTGTCCCTGAATATAAGTTCAGCGCAAGCTAATGGCTGGTGTTGGGGCCCAGCTGAGAGCATGAAGGGGAAGGAAGGAGGTTGGGACACTCACTTTTGGGCCATTGTGTCAGTTACTATCATTTTGAACATTTGTAACATTATTCTTGTAGTTTGTGTGTGACAGTGTTTTTTGGCGAGGTTTGAGTTCTTAGTTTCAGCCAGTAGGAAACGAAAAGTATTGAATTATTTGGCCATCATCCTCCCTACTCTGGAATTGACATGTCCCACCCTCTACTTCCCCTCACTGTTTGTTTGTGGTCTCAGTATGCATCCCTGTTATGCTACTAACAACCACACCTCATCGCCATGCTTTTAAACTGATAAAATAACTGGTACTCTATCGAGTACATTTCTGCTTTGTGCCCATGCACACACATGCTCACCGTCCTGCCTTTTTGTAGCCCTGCCTCCATTGTTTGATATCTATGTCGTTCGCATGCTGAGGAACAGTAAAATCACCTTATTTATGTTCTTAAACAGCCTGTTCATCTCCACGATGACCTGATACAAGCTCTTAGTCCTAATACACCTAGATTACTCCTAACAAAAATACCCCTAGTTGTCTTACTGTTATGGAGCACCATTTGGCAGAGGGCAGAAATGGGGTCTCCCTGATCAGTGTATCAGAGGGCGACTGTGGAGATTATAGCAGGCTTGAGCATTAATAGCCGTTCAAGGCCGAATCTTGAAACAGCAGTCCTATGGAACAGTCTTGGTGGTTAATTTGTTTTCTTTTTTCTATACTTTAGCAATGATCAGATAGAAAGAAGAGAAACAATCTAACTTTCTTTTTTGCGGCGAATTTGAAAAAATTCCACTCATTTGTTCAGTTGACCTCAATTATTTGCTCAAATTTGATCTGAAGTTAGTTCAAGGCTGTAGCACAAACTTGAGCAATGAGGGCAACTTGAGCAGTAAAGAGAGCACAATGATTAAATAAACCAAGACAGTATATTTTGTAGAATAGTATATGTATATTTGTTCTGGCCGTATGCGCTAACCTATACCACAGCCCATTTTCGGCAGAGATTAAATCATAGTTGCATAATTCAGGCCTAAAATCAATAAATGAAAATTTACGTTATGGAAATAGATCCAGATGTATAAAACAATGTGGTGTTTTCTAACTCCAAGCATTTTTTACATGTAAACCTAGCCATGTACTTTAATTCTAACCCTATTAATGTTAACTTCAATCTGTAATAACTTGCTGGTTGGTGTAGGGTAGACAAACAATCCGAAGCAAAAATATTGCAGGATTATGTGTAGATCAACTCTCTCTGGCTTCAAGTTTGGGGACTGATCATTCCACTTCCATGATATTCTTTTTTTTTTTGTCCAATTCCACAATGGTGACGATAGAGTACCTGATGTACAATCCCTCATCAGATTTGAGACCATCATATTTCCTCCATTTTTCAACAATTTTCAGTAGACATATAACTATGGATTATTATAACATGTATAATGTACATGAATTATTTAAAATTCAAACAGTTTCAGTTACATTCTCAAGATGGTTTTGTACAAAAGAATCAACGGGAATATTGCACCAACCTTGAACAATCACCTGTATTATATCAATAATTTCCCGCAAATGTAAGTGTATGATTAAAATGAAGTTGGCCATAACCTTTTGTCCTGAAACTATTAAGCAAACAACATTCTTATACATGTTCAGCCTGAACTCATTGTCACACTGTCAATTATTGATATTTGTCAGGGGAGAAGCAGGTTTTTGCTTATTTGTTGATGATACAGCTGATTCCTTCAGCTCTTAAAAACACTGTAATCATCAGGATAATTATATAAGACAGTGACCTTGATGCCTGAATTATTGAACAGGTTGATGTTATCTGCCAGTGTGGAACATGAGGTGGAAGGACTACTGCTACAGTTATGTTTTGTGGTGCTTATCCAGTACAGCTGTTAGGTGGCGTTCGCTCTGTGTCTGCTGACCCTAATACACCTGACAGCTCACAGGCAAATTTTCTAATCTGTACTTAAACATCAAACCACATGTTTTCTCCTATTTGCTCAAATGTTAATCCAATATTAGCCTCCAAACCCTTCCTGTTATAATTGTATTTCAGAAAACTGAAAATGTTTGTGCAAATGTATATAAATACTGTATATCATTTTCTTTTTTTTAAATATATTTTTAATATTTAATATATTTTTAATATTTAATATATTTTAATATTTGATATATTTCTTTTTTTTTCATTTTTACCAATGACAACTTTGCTAAGAACTAGATAATGAACAGGCTTTCATCATTTCACAACACATTTAGGCTGACATTCAGCGCATCTCCACAGGAATGCTTCAAGGTAACAATACTGAATACTTTGGATTGCCATGGATTATTGTACTAACAAAGAATCTATACGTTATTCAAAACCTTTTCAACTTGCAGCTGCCACTTACTGACCCTAGTACATCTAAATATGAGTGAATAGAGGAAGCCATTGATGTGCTTCACTTTATATAGCATAATTCAGTATTTGCTATAAATGATGTAGTTCTGGTGTGAAAGAGATGGGAAGAAGGCTACACACAACAGGCAATGAGGTCCAGTATGGAGAGAAAGCTCTGAACCACGTGACTGCTGTAGATGTACTCACGCTCTCTCACGGCCTGAGTGAGAGCTATTCCCCCTGGACGCAGTGTTCCAGTTGCATCAGTGTTTGTCTGCCTTCTCTAGGACATGGGGGCTGAAATGGGGCAGGAGCTGACAGAGCTCCATCTGGATACCCATAGGGTTTTTGTACATTATTAGCACAGAGTTGATAATGTTTCTCACTGTTGGACAAGACGGAAAGTCCTACATCAAGTTGATTCTCTAACTGGCCTTGGCTTTTGTTTCATCTCCAAGAGGCAAATGTCTTTATTATTTCCATCTCTTGAGTGATGTTGAAACTGTGTGTGAGAAGTGCTTAGAAATGTAGATGAAATTTGACACTGACACAAATGATTTGTTAACTAAACCTATCATTACATTGGAAAATATAGGTCAATTTAATAACTGAAAAGCCCCACCAAGGCTAACTTCATTACCATGCTCCTTATATGTTATCATCTAAATAATATTGTCATGAAAACAATTATGTATGATAGTCTACCATTCAGAAAGGCCATCCTTTAATATTGCTGCAAAAATACTTCTTTGGGACAAAAATTATATCATAACAACTAAAGTAGGTCGCTGTTTCTTTAATTTATTGGAAAACTTTTTTTTTAATTACATTATAGGTATATAGCATCCTTGCTGTTGTTTGGAATATTTAATCTTGACATCACTTAGAATTGACTACTCTTTGTCCAGGGATTAAAAGAGATTACCTCATACTGAGCAAGGGTAATAATTGACATGACCACAAAAGCCATTCTGAGATAAAATGGTATCAGCTAATGTCAGCTAAATGGTAATTACAGCATGAAAGTGCCAACGACGCTTTAAGTAGTTTTGAAAAAGCACACCATTGCATGGTTGTAGAGATTTTATTTGAACAGATAAGTTGTCCTGCTCATCTAGCCTGTTTTAGCTCCAAAGACATAAGGTATTTAAGTTTTGCTGGTGTAACTCGTCAAACAAATCGAACATCACTTTTAACCTTTCCAGATTTCATTAGATATATACTTTGAATTCATGTATTCTGGTGAGACAAACATTAACATTTCCCAAACCTGCATCAGGCGAGTTATGTGTCTGAGCCATTATGACAAATGCACATACATTGTATATTTGTGTGTGTGTGTCTGTGTTTTTGTGTGTGTGCGTGTGTGTCTACAGGTATCTTTCCACACAGTACACTGCAAAGACGTTCAGTTTGAAGTGAGACATTTTATATTAAATAGGATCATAAAACTGAGAATTCACAGTCTGGTTATTTTGTCTAGTTAGTATCACAGTGAATGTGAATTTGTTTAGTTTTTGTTATCTTCGTTCTAGTAGTGTTAGAAACGTTTTCCAGTAAGTGAGTTCACAACAATGAATAGTTTCCTCATGAAGGAACCAGGTGGCTGCCTTGTGTGTTCAGAAGCAGAGGCGGTGAGGTGGGGGTTAATATTTGCAGGCTGTAGGAATGTATTTGGAGTCAGCAGTGAGAATTCCTCAGTTCTGCATTAGTAGGTCACAGCGTTGCCTCTTAGCTCCCCTATATCAATCCCCTCTTGCTGTCTCCTCTTTCTTCCTATACCACTCTCATCTTTATAGCCACGCTCCAACCAATCTCATTCTTGATGCACATCTTTTTCTTCTATATGCTCTCGCTCAACTTTTGATCCTCAACATTCCCCCTCTCCTCTCCAGCTCTTTAGATGTCTCACAGACATCTTTCGAGCCTCAGGAGTTGGGGGCTGGGTAGAAAGCAGGAGATAGTGAAACTTTGTGTGAGTGTGATCATGTAAGTGCACAACCATCTCTCCTTCTAGCCTTGTGTCCTCCTCATCAGTCATGTATGATTTATGGAGCAGTTTCCCGTGGAACAGGCTTTGTTGATGTTTTGGAGCATTTGTCTGTTTGAATTTGATCATAAATTTAGTTCAACTGTGCAGGAAACAGGAAATCAGGTTCTGTAGTTATTGTAGAAGTTACCAAATGAGGGCAAAGGTCGCAGGCAAAGAAACCCATATTCTTAAAGTTGTCTGGTCGAAATTTTTACAGGACAAAAATGCTGTTACCACATTCAGTTACTGAGAAATTGGACTTCTAACAGACAAATATTAGTTATTAGTTTTTTGCCTATACTTATTTCAAAAGAACAGTAGAGAAGCCATTGTCAGGAAAAATGTTTGTATTTTTAAACTCAGTGCTGCCAACTCTGCCTTGGCTAAATTTGCATACTCTAAATTATGAACCTCACACTCTACCAATTTAGAAAATGAACCACTAATGCTGTGCCATGTAAAACACAGGTTCAGATCTCTCTAAATGTGTAAATTATGGGCAAAGACATCTAAAATTGGATGTAGAGATGGTGCCAGGGTATTTGAAATATCCACTGCACCAGTAACTTCTTCTTAATGGCTTCTCCTTCTCTTGTCGGCCTCAAGCAAACTACAGAGTCTATGGACAGAGAGAATGTATGATTTTAAAACTTTTGGACAGGTTTTGAACAATTTTGGACAATGTGTATTATGTGAGTGTCAGTGTTTTACTGGAATAAGCCTATTCAAAGTTTTATCCTGATTTCTGGCCCATTTAATCAAATAAACTAATTATGGCATTTTATGTCCATAAAGAAAATCACTTTTGGCCATTCAACTGTCATGGATCACTCTATAGCTTCATCGCTTTGTCCAGTTTTGAACACGTCTGGCTGCAAAAGAACCCAGGTGTTGAGGACCAAATACCAGACTTTAGATTTTAAGACAGAAGTTTCCAAATCCGTTGGTGAGATCTTGGAGGTTTTGTGCATTCCTTCATATAGAGTACATAGATTTTAGTATAAAATAAGCGCCTGGGTCTTTCAAATGGATTCTCTGTCATGTTGTCATATATATATACAAATATCACGAGGCCCTTGGGATGTTCTGATGTTTTTATACAGGTAGGCAAACATGGTTTTCCAGACAAAAGCTAGATAAGCCCTTGTGAAGCTGATTTAACAGAATACCAGCAGCAGTTTCAAATCAGTGCACTTAATCTACAGCAGTACTAGCAAGAGAAGAGAAAAATATGATAGTATTTACCTTGGCTCTTAAAGTCAACAACGACTGCTAGTCAATTGGTTTCGAGCTAAAAAGGGTAAGTGAAATGTATGTGCTGAAAGCATATTAATTTACTGTCAGTGATCTGAAGTGTCACTATTTTCCTCTGGCAACATATTGATGGCATTCACAAGGCTCTCCATTACACTCTGCAGTGATACACATGCTCTGTAATGGTGTTGGAGGTGTTAGTGATGCCCGCATCACACAATGACTCCCTCGAGAGTGCCAGCTCTTTGGTGCCAGACAGGGGCGGAGGAGAGAGTACAACAGAGATGAGGAGGGGTGAGTACGCTGTGAAGAGAAAAGATGACGGCAGAAAGAAACAGGTTGTCTGAGAGCAAAAGACAAATGGATGAAAAGCAGGACGGAAAGCATGTGAGGGTAGACGAAAGGGTTTGATTCGAGAGAATTGGAGGAGGTGAAAAAAGTGAAAGAGGTGGAGTAAGAATGATTTGCATTTAATGTCAGTTGGTCCAATGAATTATATGAAAATGAAGGTCACGGTTCAGAAGACCAACCGTCACCATGGCAGCAATGTATCATTGTATGAATGTAAAGCCAAACAAACTTTACTGGTCAAGGATGAAGGAGTTCATGGTAAAGGCAAAACCTGCCGTTGCTGCCTGTTCTTTGGTCAGTGTGGGTCATTGGGGTCACATTTCTAAGATGAAAGGAAAGGCTACGGTTGGTTGATTTCACAGGGGGAAGGAGAGGTCAGGAAGTGGCCTCAGCACAAACACCAGACGCATTGTTCAAGTTCAAGGTAACACTGAATGGGGTTTTCATTCACTTAGCTTAGCCCACCAGCCTGTGACAAGTTACCGCTTTTAAAAGGGGTTGTAATTAGAGGAAAACATTGCCCATGGCATCATCTGACGTTCATGTCATGCTGTTATAATTGTAAACTAATTATGTCAGTTTTATCTATTTAATGAGAGGTTTTGATGCTGAAATAAAGGGTGGTGGGGCAGGCTGGTGGAAGGGCATCGCCAGCTATTTTAAAGAGCATTTCAAAATACTTTTTCAAATCTTCACTTGTATGGGTGTGCTTACACGTGGCCTGTGCTCAGGTGTGCCCAGTCTCTGCCCCCATCAGACGACGAACAAGGTCACAGCCGGAGGGTCAGATGTCGGGGCAGCTTTTACCCCTCCTCCACCTCCAGCAGCTCCCCTCCCTCCCCTCCTTCTCTGTTGTGTCTGCTCAGTCGTCAGCTCCTCATTAACTCCTCACAGGGGGATTTCCTGTTCGCCTCCTTCACTTCCCCGTTCCTGCTGAAAATGGAGCCGCATATTAGCAGTTTTTACAAAGCATGAATAATTAAATCCTTCACAGTTGCTGTGCTGACGATGTGAACCAGCAGCTTAAAAGTTGTAACCACACACTTGGAATGCAAATGCTAGTCGGAGCAGCACTGAACCGGCTACACAGGCAAACCTTTGGGAAGTCAAGGCCTGTAATTGATGACTTTGTGCTCTCAATAAATACAGTGCAACACACACACACACAGGCACATAATTCAGCATCTGACTCACTCCCCTTAACAGAAAGTCAATAACAATACAGGAATGATTAATCAGTCTCTCTGTGGCCCCTCCCTCACTACTCACCACCTTCCACTCTCTCTTCTCAGCCCCTCACGCTCTCTCTCAGCTTAGTATTGATCTGAATGCATTTGCTTCCCATTTATCCGTTAGCATCCCTCCCCCATCGCATTTGCACTGCCACTGCATTGAGCCGGTCACAAAGAAACCCTTCACACAGGAGTGTCTTACACGTGCACGAACCGCACACATTCACAAGCTCCTGCACATGCAGTAACACGCAGCTCTGCAGCGCACCATCTGACACTCCTGTTGGTACCACACTTAACTGCACTGCACTGAGGGATTTGGCTTGATTATTCTGGGCGGTGGAGTGTAAATTAGGAGGGTCCATTTCATAGTGCAGGTGCCTTGCATGTGTGTGTGTGTGTTTGTGTCTGTATATTGCTAGCACTTAAGTCTGAGCATAAAGCAGCGTTCTTAAAGGTTTCATCAACGGCCCATTTGACCCCCCTGCCTCTTCTCCTGCCATTCTGGTTGGTGGCACACAGGTTGCCATGACACCAGACTGTTTTGTCTGCCCTTTGACCCCTTTAAGGGGTTCTGTGGTAAATCAGGCATTACATGTGAGGGGCAAATAGAAGAGAGGAGAAAAGGGGGGGGCGTATTTCCTCTGTAAAAAATGAGGTCCAAACCGTTTTTCTCTATACGTCCTCTTTGTACTGAGCAGAAGGTGGGGAGCCTCCAAGAGGTTTGCAGCAAAACAAAGACACATGTGCACATGCAGGCATGGCAGCGCTCTGCAAGGGTAAATGAACAAGGCTGGAGCTCCCAGGAGGTTGGGAGTTATTATGCTCATTGTGCAGCCGGCTAACTAAAGCTGTTTGGCTGCTTCTTTTGAAGTTACATTTATCAAGCTGAAGCAGGAAGCTTAACACTTCAAGCCGGGGCTTTGCTATGCCGGCACTGCAAAAAAAGAAAATAAATTATTCTCTTTTTAAATAATTGTATGATGATAAATGATTTGTAAAAATATATTTAGACAGATAAAGGTTTTTCATGAGTCAGAGTTGTGTTTCATATATAGTGTAAGTTGGTAACAAAGGGCTAAATCTTCAAGTTTTAGGACAAACTATATATGCAATCACCAGTTTAAGTTTATCCACATTGATTTGTTTTCTCTGTTTTTAAGTTGACTCCTGGTTTGTGTCTTGTATCACCTGCATGTAATCTTCTTGTAATATTTCTATGTCTCCTGATTCTGTAAGTGGGACAATCTTATAGATATTTTACTTTTAAACAGTATCTGTTAAATGGTGTCTTTAAACATGAAATTCAGACAGAATAAAACCTTTGTTTCATACAGTACAAGTTTGCAGACAAGGACAGTTTTCGTTACCTTAACTGCATAGATGCTCAATAAAAGCCAGACGATAACTATAATTAATTACTTTAATTATTAGATAATTTAACATGAAGGCCCTATTCCTACTAAAAACTAAAGGTAAAAGATGGAAATTGCAACAGGATACACATTCAAGTGCATTTTAGGCCACATCGAAATGCCATAACACAGTGACGATACTTTTTAGCACCTCAGTTTAATTGTGAATTGCTTGTACACAAAGTTTTTTGGCTTGGCTTATCTCGTTATTTACCTTGTTGCACAGACACACTGGCAGAAATCAACATCAGTATTCATCCTCCTTTGTTTTTCACATGTATTTTACTGAAGTCATCACTGCCATCGCTCGTCTAAGAGATAGAACAATTTTAAAACACCCTTTCAAAATGTATTCATGAGTTCTACGTCTCAAGGGATTTTTGATAGCTTGCAAGTCTAATGGTTAATTACATACAATAAACATTTAAAAAGCGCCTTTTTGCTCATTTTAGCTTGTCTGTAACAGATTGTGAAACTCTAAATGAGCTTAAGGCTTTGAATTTATCTCTTTGTCCTTGAATTATTTGGCAAGAAGTTATAGCATCTAATCAGATTTTTCCAAATATTCAGCCATGCCAGCTGCATACAGTCAGCTATATATGAATTAATAATCATGCCACCAGGCTGCAGCTTACAAGATGTTTCAGCAAAGCTAAGATCAAAATAATTTATAACTTCTCTGACAATACCACTATATTTTCAAGCAGTAAGCCCCTTCTTACGTGGTGTCTTTAGGACAAGCTGTTTTCTCATTAAAACCCCCATCTTGCATGCAATCACCAATTTAAAAACACTGTATTTCACATCCAATCAGATGCATTCCTTTAGCTTGCATTTGATTGGAATCTTTGAAAGGGCGGTGATACAAAAGGCCACTCACACACCAATCCCAGCATACGTAAATTGACAGCTGTGCCATAGCAACAGTTTGGCTAGTTGCCAGGCTGTTGAGGTTGCCAGGCAAAAGGTTCCCATGGCAACATTCATTTTGCCATCTTGGTACAAGAGGTTGGCGTCAACCAAGGCAGATTAGTGTAGAACAGAGTGTTGCTTTCACCTGGGAAAAGAAAACACATTCATATTTCAGCAGATCACGGCTGCACTCTGTAGCATTAAAAAACATTGCAACATTGACGTGGCCCTCTGTCGGAGATGTTTGATGTATAATTCAAATGCAAAGCAACGGTGGGTGTTACATATTGATTTCTAAAATAGAAATTTGGTGCATAAAAATCAGGCAAGACAGGACAAGTATTCTCCATCTTTCCATTTTCCAAGAGTTACATCATGTTTATTTCATACACTACAGGATCCAATCCCTGGCACTGAAATGGTGCCTTCATGGTTGTTGGTGAATCTGTGACTTTACATGCCTTCAAAAGTGACACCGCAGTGTATGTCACTGTACAGTTTGTGGGCAGTGATGAAGCATGGGAGGAATTTTGAACTTGCAGTGACACTGCACAATTTAGGAGGAGCTTCAGACATTTTTCATATAGTGGATGAGTTTTTTTCAAGGCTCAGGCAGGCCTGCTCAAGGGCGCAGGGAGAGGGAGAGTGAGGGATAGCTGGCACTGGCACAATTAAACTGCATTTCTGTGTGATTTGACTGTGACAATAAAGGGATAGTCAAGGAGCTAGTGAGTATGTCAAAAAGACCAGAGAATGTAGGAGGGGGGTGCATTAAAAAAAGGGGGTGGTTAAAGTAGTAAGAGGCGGGAAATAGGGACCCATTAGGGCTGAAGCGGAAAAGAAGTGTGAGTTAGAGGGGAGAGTCAGTAGTAAAGGGAAGAAGGGGGGCACTTTGAGACAGGAAATTGAAAGTAAACCGCAGAGAGTTGGGATAAGGTCTTCAAATGAATACTAAATAAGATAAGGGGGGAAGATAGAGCACGGATCCATAAAGACAACATTTCTGAGTTATATCAACATATTAACAAAACCTTCCTCAGGTCTTCAAAATAGGCTTTTGTTCATTTTTCCTCTGGATCATTACTGCAGTTGTTGGAAGATGGATTCTTTAAGTCCCACATGCCAAGCAACAATTTCATGCAGAGAGCACAGTGCTCCCACGTACAGCTCTCCTTTGTTAACACAGCAAAACCCCTCTGAATAACTACAATTCTTTCATTTATTTTGACAGCATCTGTTAACATTTTTGCTCCGATAAGGGTCTTCTGAAATGCTTCTACTGGCATCTAAAAAGCATATTATCTTACCCTAGTTCTGTATGAATCATGGCTCAGGGCAACTTACACTCTTGGCTTCTAGCTGTTGGAATGTACCACAGTGCTAGTAATCTGCTAACATGCCACAGTTGTGACAGAAAGTCCCCAAAAAGTTTGTTGTTGGAGGTCATTCCTTTGTGACATAGGGGAAATTCCTTTTCAGCCTTGAACCAAAAGTCACCCAGATTTAGATGTCACATCTGACAGCCGCCGCAGTGTTGGTGACAGATGGCAGATGATGTTTAACTCCCATGAAAACCTGTCAGCCATTTAGTAGAATCTAAACATGATGAAATGCCGCAGTGTTTTAAAGCAACAGCAAATGGTAGGTGATTCATTAAGGGAAAGTTTTTTTTGTTCAGAGGCAAATAGTCTGTTTTGTGAGAGAAAATATTTCACCTCCTAAGATATTCAAAGCTTTTATTTTTTAGCTGTCAGTATTACTCTATTGCAGAGTTTAGTGTCACCAAAGAGAGCAGCAGAAGTGAAACTGAGGTGTGTTTGCACAGTCACCAGTAGAGGGCAACACTTCCTTAGGAGAAAACCTGGTTGGCTGAAGCTTTGTATTTTTTTACACCTACATGAAAGGTTTCACTCTTGGGAAATGGATATTTGGGTTTACATTCTCATATCCCCCTTGCCATATACTTGATGGTGTGATAGTTTTTCTCCACTGCATCCATCTGCTTATGAACAGACAAGCACAAAATTCATACTGAACTCTGAACATTGTGCTTGTATACTCCCCTCTCTCTGCAGCATTCTTCTTAGCTGTAGTGCTCCCTTTCTCTTACAGTGACATGTTCACCACCTACTGCAGACACTGGACACTTCCCTCTGTGTGGTCTCATTGCAGCACTCGGCGTAGATGCTTTTCCTGAGGTGCAAACAATACTCTGAATAATCAGAGGGGAAAATCCCCTTTGAAATCGTATGGCTTAGCCTTTAGAATTGTCTAAATGATTAATTGATGAGGGCATCAACTCCATGAATGTACTACAAAAAAAGTGAAGAGGGGTATGACGCCATTTGTTGTGTAGAGGGAGTGAAGCTCACAGGTGCAGAGTGTGTACGTAGACACCTACGTCCTGCTGTTGAAGATCTTGTCTGGAAAGCAGCTCTACAATCTGTGCTCTGCAGCGTGAGGTAGTTGGTTGTATGGTTTCGCATAATAAACAGCACGGAGATAACTGTACAACCTTCTAGCTTTCCCTGCGGAGTCACTTTTTGCTACAACTATCAAACCACCACTGAGGAGGTAAGTATGTTTTCTTCCTCTATTCCTATTTTCAAGGTCTAATAGGGCAAAGCCCTCCTAAGATTTGTGATCTGTGACATGTTGTGAGAAGCAGGAATAGACGCTGGACATGTTTGCTTCTGGTTGTACGAATTTAGTTAATCCAACGAGAAATGCAATTCTTTAACTTTTATCAAAGAACTAGAAACTGTATGACTGTGTGAAACTTTTCCAGATTTTTGAAGACAATCCACATTGAGTGCGTTGGAAATTTGAAGTAGCTAAGACACAAAACAAAACAACCGATGCATAACGAAATGGAAAAATCAAAAGTAAAATTAAAGTTAGTTAACAGCACAGTAACTACTCAAAAAATGTAAAGCACAATAGTTTATAATAAAACACATTTCACAAAGCACAATTAAAAAAAGCTGAATAATACAAAACACAAGTGAATAGAAACACATCCTACAAATTGGAAAGATCTGAAAATAAAACATATTTATGATATAAATATATCCATATATAAGTTTTTTTTTAAATCCATTCATTCATTTTCTGTTCCAATTCAGGCCCTCAACAGCCCATGTCAGCTTCCACTGTGTGGCAGGTCACAAATCCAGCACAGAAAGAATTACTCTGTGTGCCCCTTTTCTCTCACAGTCATTTCATAATCACAAATTGGCCCAAAATGCAGGTTTTGTTCTTCTTTGGGATTAAGCTAAAATACTCATAGAAAAGTCATGCATGCATAGAAGCATGAGACAGCATGAGACATAGCAAACTAAAGCAAAACACTACACAAAATACATTTTGAAATAGACAGTGATATCGTAAACATCAGGCTTTCACAAAATACAGCAACACAGTTGTCTAAAATATTTCCTGTATTGTTTTGGGTCGTTGCTACTGCTGCATTTTGTCAAGTCTTATAATCATGATGACTGTTGAATATGCAGCTAAATGAAATCCTAGACTTTGTGGAGAAGGCAGCTAAAAATGACTGTCACAAGGACATTACCTTTTAGCCCAGTGTTTGGTCCAACATATCCTGCCACTGATCAACTTCAACTCACTTAATATATAAAATAAAATAAAAAAATGTGAAAATCCTTCTGAATTGACTCAGCAGATCAGTGATAGAATACATTGGATAGAGGTTCCTGCAGTGTTCGCATACATAAGTCATCATAGGTAGCACTTAGCCAATTCACAATAAATATTTTGCAATCTCAATTGTTTCATATATAATACAAAATTCACCCTCCCATTGGCCCCTTTCTGAGTAGCTGTCATCTAAGCTCACCAGACAGAATTTTCCCTCAATTATCCAAATAACACTCTGACTGCTGCACACTGCAGTTAGAAAGTTTAAGGGAAAAAATAGATGGAACAGTGATGTGGCAAATAAATCTTGAGTTTCAAAATATATATGGTCAGTATCTTCCTTTTCTCTGCCAACGCCACCACTCAAATAAGAAGAAATTTCATGAGACACAATTAGTTTCACCACTGAAATCATCCGCTGTCTTTGTGCTCTGCTATATTTTTCTTTATCCACGCAGAACACTTTAACATACAGAGACGTTTTGTTTGATCAATATCATGCTCTCAGACCCGAACTGCCATTCTTGTATGATTTCCAAATCATTACACTATTTTCTTTCTTCCCCCCCCCCACCACTTTCCTGCCTGCCTGCTTCTTTGCCTCCTCTCAGCCCTTCTCACCAGTAGTAGTTTGAAACAGCAGCTATCTGCAGTATGTTACAGAGGCACTCCTCCCTGCCTAGAAGGATGAAAACGGGGGCCATTTATCAGAATAGTGCTGATTCTGCACTGTCAGTCGTTGTCTTCTTTATCACCCACCACACGACGCTGCTGTCCTACCACAGCAGACAACTGAATGTCGGGCAATGGCAAGGTGTGTGTGGAGAGAATAATTTATGGTGCAGGGGCAAAAGCAGCATTACCATATGTCTCTATGTGAAACAGGCTTCAATACAGCAATGATCGTTCCTTCCAGCGACTGGTTTTGCTTGGCTGGTTTTCTAGCCAGACAGATGCTGCACACTGTGCACAACTGTGAGCAGATTGTCATACATATATATTCTCATAGGATCACACGCAAACATGCTTTGCTAGAAATGTGTGTTGGAACTGTGGCGAAAACATTAGAGGCTTTGTCACTACAAACCATCTCAGGTTGCTTGAAGCACCTGTTCACACACACAAAAATTCCTACAATGCTGCTCAATAAAACAAGTGTGATGAGCTGCAGCTCTGCCATAAACAAGTGCCGTGCGCAATCTCTTGGGATGTATTGGCAAACCAAAGCATCCCGATCCTGAGGCAGATGAGGCAGACACCATCCCAGACTGATGATGTCATCCCTGTGGAGCTCTCCCAATGCTTTGTCTCTCTGTGGTACTGCAGAGTACAGCCGCAGGCACACACTCAAAGATGTGAACACACACACACACACACACACACACACACACACACACACACACACACACACACACACACACACCTGTCTGTGACATTCTGCATTTGTCACTCAGGTCCGGACTTGGCTCAAGTCAGACAGAGACTATTTTTCTTATTTCCTGTCCTAAAATGGCACCCAGATAGTCTTTGTCTGGGAGACAGGTGCAATTGTTTAGCCAAGAAGACAAACAAAGGGAGAGCAGGTAAAAAAGACACCTGCATACTCAAATCTATACAAAAATAGGATTCTACTGTATGCGCTGTAAACACGAGGAGTTTGTCTCTGCGACACAAATGCAGGATCAAACAGAGAGTTTGTGCTGCACAAGCACAACTTACGCAGGAACAGTGCAGAACACTCAATACACGTTACACAGCAGAGAACGTTAACACATTCGCCTTGTTGTGTCTATGCAAATGTGAGTCTCATGGCTTTACAGTGTGATCGGATCAATGGAGGAGGATGTTAAAAGTGCTGTAGTGCATCAGAGCTGTGTATAAGACAACTATTCAAAGCAGGATCAAAGCAGGGGATACATCAACTGTGTGATTAGTAACAAAGACTAACATATAGAAAATGCAAATGCATCCTAATTATTCAGGAGGTATTATGAGTGTGCAGCACAGTGTTTTTGTTCTAACCTACATTTCTGAAAGGTTGAATCCGTGTCTTAAGTATTTATGAAATATAGAGCTTGTCTGAAACAGGGTGAAGATGGGTTAGTCTTAATCTATTTCCATCACAAGGCGCTAGTCTCTTCTGTCTGAATTTTCTCCAAATGTAAAATGGATTCAAGGTATCTTTTGTTGCATGTACTTTGATTAGTATCATACATTATATTATTATGTATGTATATTGTCTTTGTTCACATAAATCGTATCATTAAGTTAGAGTGGTAAGTGGCTTTCTCTCACTGTACTTTTCTCACTGGCCTTCTGTTGGTGCTCCCTGAGTCTTTGTCAGTTTACCCTTATTTGCTCTAAATGTGTGAGACATTAGTGACATGTTCTGTTGTACAACATGGTCAGAACACTTTAAGGCCATTAATGATGCTTACACATCAAGTGCAGTGTTTATGCTCCATCTCGCTGAACAGACAGCCAATCAGTGGCTCTAAATTAGATTTACTTTCATTTCTGAATTTCCCTTGGGGATATATGATTCTGTTATCCAACAAATACAGCGGCAAGTCGCAGTCCGCACGGAGAGAAGCACAGATATTAGAATCCAACTGCCTTCAGACATGTTAGCAGATTAAATAAAAAATACAAATAAAATATGCAAAAGCGTGGCAATTTCTTTGTTTACTCGTGGATCACAAAGAGTGGGTGTGCATGCAGGTTTTGTATGACTGTCTCTATATTTCTGGGACTCACATGGACGCTTTAAACAGCTACTGGCTCACACTGCACCTCTGAATGTCAAGCTAAATAATCAAGATGCATTTTATAATTTTCACAGCTTTCCATGATGGGTTTATTTAGTCTGTTTGATATCACTTCAGCTGCATTTTGCAGTGATGATGGAGCAACATCCTAAATCCTGTTATCAATTTGATGCCGCTATGATTGCCCTACACATAGGAGGAGGCAGTAATGTCAGACTCAGGTTCATGAGACTCCCGGGCTTCATATTTTCTCGCTATTCTCAACCTATTAGAGATTCTGACCCTCCCCCTCCATCCTCACTCTGTGCTCGTCCCCACATCTCTCCCTCCTCCTGCCCCCTCCCCCCTCAAACACAGTTCCCCTCTTTCGTAGTCACACACATACAAACACACACGTGCATGCACTCATTGCACTCTCTCTTTCCATCTCTCACACTTTCACAAATGTAGCACAGAGCCGAGTGTGTCTGTGTGTGTGGGTGTGTGTGTGTCTGTGTCTGTGTGTGTGTGTGTGTATTGGTTGGGGGGGGGGGTCTAGCACTGGTCTAGCAGAGACAGGAGGCTTGGAAAAATGCTCGAGGAGAAAGGGAGACGGAAGGATGATGACGAGAGTATAAAAAAGAGGGAGAAAGAAGAAGAGGAGAAGAAACTAAGGTATAATGAAAGCTAAAAGAGATGGTTTGAGAAGACTCTTGCAGCATGGAGGGTAATAGGGCATGTGCAAGCGTGTGTGTGTATGTCTTCTTTGAGTGTTGAATAGCATGTGGACCAGCTGGTTTGGTGTGTACACGGGCATGAGAATGCACAAGTGAGCAAACCTTCCTTCTCTCTTTTATATTTCTGTCTTGTTTGTAGCGTGGTGGGCTTTGTGACAGCAGCCCTGCGGAGACAAAAGGTGAAGCGCTGCATAGATGTTGTCAGGTAGGTAGAGCGCAGAATAATGGAATCAATACTATTGTCTGTAACCTACCTGCCGCTGGGCTCCCTGTCTGGCCCCAGCAGAGACTGTCAGAGAGAGGAGGAGCTGAGAGGACGCACAGAATCACTCTGGGATGGAAATGAAAAGAAGACTGTAAGGTGATTGTCGTTTTTGTTTAGATTGGATTTTCATTTTTCAGGTAATTGTAGATGTATTTATTACTGCAAGGGTGATGCATAATTTAAACTTCTAACTTTCTCACCGGTAATTCTTCAAAGCCAAATACTGTCAGGCTGTATATGCGTGCTTTAATCTTACTTTTTAATGAATACATTTGTGGTATTTAGGTGATATTCTTCCTGCATGTGACTGAGAGAGCCTTTCGTTTGAAGTATGTAAGGTGCATGTTATTGAGGTCATGCGTGTGTGTGTTTCTTGCTTGATTTGCACATCTTTTTAAAAATGTCTTTCTCAGAATTGTAACAAAAAATGAGCAGCTATCATGTCATTCAAATGTCATTACTGGCTGATTTACAGAATGCGTGCAGATAAGTTCTATGTCTTTTGAGCTATGGTAGATTGGCTTTGAATGAAATTCCACAAACTACAGTATTTTTACAAACCCTCACATCAAGCTGCAGACAAATCCATTATTCATTTGAATTCATTTCAGTTGTGGCAGTATACTGCTGTTCCCTGTAGTCTGCTCTGTCTGACACAACTGTCACATGCACAAAGAACACATGGGGGGATAAAATCCCACATCTGCAATCAATAATTTTAAGGCCGACAGCTTTAGAAATAGACCTGTAGATAACACTTACAACACCTTCACGCGGTTCAGTTTGACGCAGCTTGTGACGGAGAAGCACTGCACTCCAATGAAGAATATTTTGTTTAAACATTTTAAACAGAGTATCTATAAACAAAGTACATATCATCCTTCCATTTTTCATCATGTCTGAACATATGCTGCCTGCCCGGTTCTGCACATGTTGTTCTGTCTGTCTACCAGAGGGTGGCATTGCTTTGTAATGTTTCTTGGTAATGACTTTTCATACCTTTAACAGTAAAGGTAGACACAATAAGTTTCAATGATATTACATTTTGCTACCTTTCAATAGGTGGTAGCACTTTCCTCATCTTCTTTTGGATTGTGAATTATTTTTGTTTTTTATCTTTTTTTTTTTTGAGCGAGTATGTCCGAAGAGACTTGTTCTTTTTGTTGGACTGATCAAATCTTAAATGCAATGTGAAGTTACCCATAAAGTTGTAAATTATTCCAAATCAAAGTGTTTCTCATTGGATTAACATTGGTACATTCAATAAATCTTCTTTAGACTACAAAAATTAAGTTATTTTTAAAGATATTGTACATAATGAAACAATTACATCTCCACACAACAATTGAAACAAGTTCTAAGCATACAGGTTATTTTTAAGCAAATGTTCTATCTTGCATTGATATAAAGGCTTCAGTTTCTGATTATTTTGTCAAATCTGAGATCAATGTGTGCGTCTTGGTCTTATGAGCCATATCTTCTCCTGTAATTCTCTTTACATATTAACCTAATTAAAAAAAAACTCCTCAGCCTATTGAGCTCACAAAAAGCCATTAAACTAGAATTTGACAGCACTAGCACAGTAATTTATGTACAAAATGCCCTTGACATTTACAAACAGTTAGAAATTAATTGATTCCTCTAAATTAATTCCCCCACGTTGAATTCAGTTGCTGCATTGCTGAGATTATTTGTCCTCGCTGTGTAAAATGTACTTTACATCTCATCACTGAAGGAAAAACAAAAGATTAGCCTGATGAAATGTACAATAATGTATCATGATAATGCAGCAGGTGGGCTGTAATTGGACTGCTGATCAGCTTCACTTCTCATCTGCAGCAAGAAGCAAGAGACCGAGTAATGTCGCAGAATCCAAATGTCAGATGAGGTCATGTCTTTGTCTCGGTGCTGCGGCTCTGCGGTTCTTTCGGTCGACACGTTTAATTTCCCAGCTGAGTTTTTCAGTAAAGTAAAAGGTTTTAGTTTTACCGTATGCCCCTCTGTCCCTGAGACCCTTAACCTGTGAGGTCAAAGCAGGTCACAGGTGAGGTCCTCGGGAACAGGGCTGCATTCAGTTTCAACGTTTTGTAAAAGAGTCAAGTATTCTGTCAGACATAAGCGTGTTCGACCCCGGGAAGATTTCTTTTTAATGTTTGATGTGTCATTCAGAGCACTTCAATCAACAGATGATACAACATGGCAGAAACTTTGTAAGTAAGCTGTGTGACTCCTCAGACTGCTTTAGTGCCTGCCATGTCTCAATCAAGGCTTCCCAGACAGGGAAAGAAGAGGAGCGGCATGTCTCACTGCAGCACAGATGCTCTCAGGGGGCTAACCCTATTGGCTGGCTTTGTGTTATAGCTTCCAATGGGGGCCTTAAGAAAGACAGCCTAGGGTTATGACCCCGACATCCTAAGTCACCCACGAAGTCAAGTTTTCTGCTTTACGCTGGACGTGCTACTCTGTTTTTTTCCCCCCCACGTGTTAATAAAAAATATTGCCAGGAAAAGTGTGAAAATTGCAGTCATTTTTTTTTTTATCTACACATTCCCAGTTGTCCTTGAGAGTTTTCCTGAAATCTAAAAAGTGTTTGTCCATTCTTGTTCTAAATAAAAACTTAATTTGCTCATGAATAAAAATCAAAATGTTAATTTCATGATCGGTTTGTGAATTGTCTGTTTATGCAGAATTTATTAAAACTCCACCTCCACCAACCATTCTGTCTACAGTTAGACTCACAAACAAGTGCTTGCTTGGGTGTTTCAACAACCAATCATCTGCTGGAGATCAGACTTTGGCAGTCCTGGAGCACACTTTTGCCTGATATTGATTGGCCTGTCTGTGTGGAGACAGATGAATGCATTAGTACCCTGCTCACCCTGCCACTGGAAATATATTAAGTTCATGTATTAGGCACCCTGTCTGGTTGCCATGGAGATGCACCAGGAGCGAGGGACCAGGGAAGATTAGGGGGGAGAGGAGGATGGGAGACAAGTGGGGGATACAGGATGTGATGAGGCAGTCGACTTGATTTGTAGTCCTCCTATCCGCTTACCTCTGTCTGTCACTTGTGCACACTCTCTTGCTCTTTTACCCTTTTCTCCCGTCTTTGTTTGCCCTCGTTTTGGTTGCTTTTGCTCCTCATGTTCACATTTCTAAATTGCCTAAACTTCATTATCCAGAATATGCACAGTGACTGCTCTTTTGCACATGAATTAAAGGAATCTTTCGGTATCTTTTCTCATAGTGGCTCTCTTCCTCTGTCTTGCCTTCCAAACAACACTTGGCATTTATTTACTACTGTAAATGTCTCTCGGGTTGTCACGCCGACACCCCTCTCACTTTATCTTTACACACATAAGCAGTTAACTCTGTCCTTGCCTGCCCCTCTCCCCCTCACTGCCTCCACCTCCCTCTTTGGCTCTCTCCATCTCTGTGCTCTGCAGTAAAACTGGTGCATTGAGGCAGCAAGAAATGGGGACTGGAGACAATAGAATGGAGGGAGGTAAAGAGGGGAGGCTCTCCTCTCAAATCCACAGCATATGGAGAAGCCTGGACACTTTTAAAAGTATTGTTTCAGAGCGTAAAAGTAATATCCAAGACTTTTAATAGAGAACCTCAGAGATTCCATGTGTATTCACTATGACACTTATATTTGAATAAAAACTATTATGTTTTAAAATAAAATCCATCTGTGATGTTTAAGCTGGTGGTGTGAAAATGCACTCGTGTCTTTTGTGGCTTGTTGGCGTTAGCTTGCTGTCCCGGCCCTCTCTAAGCTGCTATCAGTGCTTTGTTGATCTGACAGACAGCAGTCGCTTGTGCTGGGGTTATGTTTTGACTGAGTACAACATTAGAAATGTGGATGCCTGCTTCAGGAAGCTGGACGACATATTCAACACAAACGATGGTGTGATCAAGGCAGGCAAAGTGGGTAAGGAAACCTTTTTGTTGTTTCCTCACCCAGCTGTAAATGATTCAATTACATTGATGTGATATGGTTCCTCATCTCTCAGGTAAAGGCTATGACCAAAAGCTGAAAGAGATTTTAGATGCAGAGATTCTCCCTCTGGCGAAAGAGTTTGACCAGAAGCTGAATGAAGGTGACTAAACTCTGGCTCAAATGGAAATTTTCTGCACTTGCACTAGTAAGCACGTCTTAACCATGTCTGAATTGTATGGGAGATCAGAAACAGAGGTTTGTCAAGAGTTAATGATTTCAGAAATTATTCCCTAAAGCTTACAATCCACCAAGATGTATTGAGCCAAATATTTCTGTCTCAATCTTCCCCCGCCTCCTCCTCTTCATCAGACACTGTGTATGAGCGAAGGTTGCAGACAGCAGCAGACAATTTCATCGCAGCTGCCTCCAAACTGCCTAGAGGTGCGACATGGTCTCTTTCCTTCATCTTTTCATTTAAAGTAAGGCCTATACTGGGTCATTACAGCTGCCTCTGATCTACTCTCTCTGTAATAAGCTAGTTACTTTATTACAGCTTTTCAAATACTGTAGAGGATAAAAGACGCAGCTAGGCTGAACAGACACTTGCATCTGGATTGTGGTGCTAAATCAAGTCTAATTGCAGTGAAAATATTTTATTCTTTCCACAGTTTCAGGGTGTTTCCCTCCTTGCGGTTAGTACCTTATTCAATTCTTTATGGACTCTTCATTGTATTCATATTAGTTATGTTTTTTATTAATGATCTGTGTTTCAAAGCTTGTATCTTGTACTCATCAGGTTTTCAGAGTGCAGGTGCTGAATATAACTGCATTACATGCCAATTCGACTCCTGTGAATTCCCTCTTGATTGTCCAGGTTTGTATATGGCATAGAGGGCAACAGACTTTGTTACATCACAGATTTTGAAATAGCTAAAGAAGATGTACTAATCCAGACTTGACACATACTGAAATAACTTCATTTTCACACTCAGAAGCATCCACCCCTGATCCATGAAATGCTAAGCATTTGATCCCTTCAAATGCTCTTAGCAAAAAGTCAAGATTTGAAAAGAGAGACAGTGAAAAGGTTTTATTTCCGCACATTATATCTTTTGCACAGAGCCCCTGAGGTACTCTTTAAGTCCTTGGCTTCTTTATGCAAGGTGACAGCTGACTCCCACACACGATGGTATTCGTATCACCCCTGTACAGTACAGCCAATGTTTAGCATATCATCACTTTAACTCCACTCCTCAGAGACTCAGCTTAAGTATTATCATTAAGGAGAGCTCAGACTGGAAGAGCGGCCCCCCTTTGAATGTTATCTGTGTGCCTATGTGTCTGCTGGTGTGTGTGGGTGGCTATATTTATCTTAGTTGAAGAAATGAAAGTACTGGAGAACAGCAGGAGCAGAATGTGGTGTGATGTGCCATTTGACCTGCCAAATGATATTGAAGTGATCTGGAGGTTTGCAGAGGAGGTATGTTCAGCATATGTTAATCCATCCCAGTAGGGTCACTGCTATACCTTCAACTTGAAAAACACACATTCAGGCTTTTTTTTCAAGATGTTCATACCATCTTTGATATGATAGAGCCCACCATCTGTCTCAGGTCCTAACACTCTGGGGTGGTCTTACGCTGCACATATGTGTCCAAGAAAAGGAAAAGATAAAAATCATTCATTGAGAACAATTAGATTAATAGAGGTGTAACTGCTTAATCCTGATACAGTGAAAATCCAGGGAAAGATATGTGTCAACATCAACATTAATGTCAACATTACCAAGAAAATAAATCTAATTACTCAGACAAAGTTATTTGATTTTACAAAGTGAGATATAAAACATAGAAAATGTGGGACAAAATAACATCAAATAGATTTAAAATTAACATCTGTCTTCAACCCAACATCATGGGTCTGTGACTCTCTATAACAAGACAAAAAAAGGAAAGAGAAGTTGAACTACCCCTTAACAAAAGAATATGCCATATCAATCTCTGCTTTAATGTATGCTCATATATCAAAACTAACCCTAAATCAAAAATACCCTTTCCCTCAGGTCAAAACCCAGCAAATGGAGGAGTTTAAAGAAGTAACTGCGGGTGTGGACAGACTCTATTCCATTCCTTCTGTAGGTTTGCAGCATCAGGGCACCTACCAGTGTGAGATTTACTCCAGCCATCGCTCCATTGTCAGGCTGTACTTCTATATCACAGGTATCTTATACAGGACCACTCATTCTTTGGCCATCATCTTTTGCTTTATTTTTGTTTTATTTTTTTTATTTTCTCCTTTGCTCTGTCTTTTATAAGTGACCCCCCAGGTTGTGGCAGGCCACACAGAGCTGCAGGAGATATTTGACCTGTCTCTGCTCCCAGGAGGGCGGTTACTCCCAACGCCTGGTTCCCCCTACATCTTTCTTCCCCTCCTCCAATTCCATCTCATCGCCTGTTTAACCACTTCATTGCTGCTGCTGCTCCTCTGCCTGGGGTAATACAGCTATTATTTATACTATATAAGACTCTAACAGCACATTATACACCTGGTTTCACCTTGCCAAGGTACACATTTGTACATATTTTTAAGCTTTTTTTTTACCATTCCAGGGTTCTGTATCGGTCATCAATACCAGAGCGAGAAAATCCTGAGGATTCTGATTAATTAGATTTGGTTTAGTATGGAATGAGTTCTTATTAAAGACATTTGATCAGGTATTGTGCCCCATGATTGCAGACTGAAAACCTGTGAGTGACTTATTTCACCACTAGAGGACAGGATGCACCAGGATGCATATTTATTGAGCCTTTGGAACGACCGGATTTCTGATTATTGGTTTCAGACAACAGCAGCAAAAAGTCATTTTTGCTTACATATTTGGTCCATAGAAGCCTTTTAAATCTGTGCAAATGTTCACACTTTCTTTACTCTTTAGTTTTTCCATTACAAATGTACCACAAACTCTACTTAGTTTTTTCTCAAATTGAAACATGAAAACCTTTGCAAATATGTATTATTACTGGCTACAAATCATTCAGTTGTCATTTTTTTGGCTGATGCATATTAACAGTGACATTTGTTGTTCCAGTCGGGCTCAAATGGAGTGATTAGGAAACAGAATGCTACAGAGAGCAGATGATACAGATCTTATCTGTTGGGCAGAAACCCCAAATTGATAACAACAAGCTTTTATCACAAAAAAGTCATAGTGAAAGTTTAGGCTAAAGTACATTTATGGCTTGAGTGAGTCATGGAAAACTCGGATAACCAGTATCTCCTCAGAGAGGGAAAAGGGAAAAAGAGATAAACCTGATTTAGTTAAGTTAAAGCAGTGTAATTTGCATTGCATCGCATATTGAAAAATGTAATGGTGACATGAAACTATGTGTAAAATTGACAATGTAATCCAAATCAAAGTGATTAATTCATAAAGTTGCTTCTCTAGCCTGTGAGATAGGATACAGGCAATTTTAGTCCAGAAACGCTGGAGGTTTTCTTGACCCCTGGGATGTAGAGCAGTGTACAGCTGGTGTCGATAAATTTTATGCCCCCTTGAAGGTATCTTACGCCAACACTCTCAGCCTAGGTAGATGATTTTTTTTTTCTGCAAGTTTGGGCGTGTTGACCCCAGAAAAGGTCAAAATGCTTTGGCTCTGGGAGTGGTCCCATGTAATGATTGGAAACCTATCAGTTGAAAGTTAGCCACACTGAGGATTTAGCTCTTAAAAAAGTATAAAGCGTAAAGAGTTACAGATCCGAATCTTAGAAGCCAGCACTTGCAAACTATTGCAAAAAAAACTATTATAGCAGCATCTTAACCAAGAATCACTCATGTAAAATTGAAAAAATATTTATGAGACTGTGCTTAAGAGGCAGAAAAACACTATGTTCAGGTAGAGGGTAGTTTGACTGACTGAGTTGGTGGCCAAAGCTTTACAGTGTGGCCTGGCTGTGTTCACGTCCGGGTTGCTCCCAGTCACCCAGCAATTTTCTGATAAATGAAACTGAACATTTTATTATATTTATTGACCTGTGTAATATAAGATAAGATGAGATAAGATAAGATAAGATAAGAGCTGTATTGATCTCACAGTGGAGAAATTCACTGGTCACACAACGGTTAGAATTTAAAAGGAGGAAAAGGTGCATTAAGTACAGCAAGAGCAAGTAAATATACAAGGAAGCAACACAGCGTAAAGATTTGGGTGATTAAAATATATACAATATATGTGTACTGGGTTTGAGCCATCAATGATTGTATATATTTTAGTCACTCAAATCTCTGCACTGTGTTGCTTCCTTGTATATTTGTTTGTTTTTGCTGCTTGTACTTTATGCACCTTTTCCTCCTTTTGAATGTGTGACCAGTGAATTTCTCCACTGTGAGATCAATAAAGCTCTTATCTTATCTTTTCTTATTCCCAAGTAGACTTCCAAAGAAAGTAATTCCACATGTGAAGATCAAATAGGTGTATGAATGACAAATGGACATTGAACTTTTATCATCACTGTGCCACATGAGGGGTGTGGTGCAGAGAAAATGTGGTTGCTAAAGGCCATTTTGAATCATAAGATAGAATGGGGAAGTACTCTAATTGCGAAACAGATTTTTACAAAAAATGGAATGTGACCCCGGAATCCTTTGCTAAGGCATTTACTGAACTCTAAAAAGTAAACACAATGCTCAAATCCGTTTGATACCACATTCAGTTATACTTCAAAGGTAGGTCAAGGATTATGTATGTATTAATGTTTGCTAAAAAAAAAACCCCTCTGGGGTCATGGATGAAACTCAAGAAATTCACAAATGAAATTTGAGCATTTACTAAATAATTCACTATAGAAGCGCTGGAATGTCAAATCTCACTTTAAAAAATAACAATTTGTGGTTGTGCTTTATTTAATTGTCAAATGCTTTTTTTAAGAGCTTTTTAAAAGTGCACTCTTTAAAAGACTTAAGAACAGTTTAGCCGAGGAAGATCCTTTCATGCATGTTTCACACGTATAAGATCTTACTTCAAATTCATCCACAACCTATTCCATATCATCTGTTGCCACTTTACTGTTGTTTCAAATCAAAACTACTGTGTCATTGGTAATGTGTTTCTTAGATTCAGTAGTTTGACTCTGCTGAGTTTAGTTTCGGTGAATAAGGAGATCATGTGAGTCAAGGAGTCCCCAGAAACAGAACACTGTGTTTAAAGATTTGTACATTTTTACACCGTGTGAGTGAGCCACATCATAGCAAAAAACCTGTGTTATTGACAGGTAACAGAGAAATAGCTTCATGCTGCAGCTGAACTTCCCGTTCTCATAGCTCTGGCCAACACACTGTGACTGTAGTCAATGGTTCCAGGTACATGAGGGAGTTGTCGGGCAATCGCAGAACAGTTTGTTCTGTTGGGCATCACATCAATACCACAAAAACTTTCAGTAGCAACTCTTTGGAAACCAAGAGAAGGTACCTTCAAATATTGTTATAGAGATAAGCCTTTCATTAAGATAAATGGTTTCTACTGCAACAGAATGTTTATGTATCGGAGAATTTCAGTCAGATGTGATTACAAAAACAAAGGAAATAACACTTGTTTAGTCTTGATTAAATATTAAATATAAGGGTAAACCAAATTGTTGGCATTCAAAAGATACACTGATACTTTAAGTACACAATCATGCCTGAAGGGGGAGAAAAACATGACCCCAAAAAGTATAAGGTAAAGGATCAACATTTCTTGTCCTTTTAAAGCTTTTTGTTTTGGTATAATATCACATTCATCCTCTACAAGGCTTCTGCTGTTTTTAGAATTTTGGCCACTGATCAATTTAAAGCGTAATAAAACTTTTGTTGGTCCTCTAGGAATCATTTTGATTCGCTGCCACACGCTTTATAGGGTTTTCCACTGGTGCCTACTCAGCGCATCTCGGCACAGAACCTCACGCTGCCTTTGCATTTCCATAAAGGGATGGCACCTCCTCACAGTTTGATGTTTAGAACCTATCCGGCTGGGAACCAATCAGGATTAGTCGAGCTGACGGTAGACTGTCGGCTGCTGGTTGGTCGGAGAATTACATGATTCGATGGTGACTCCATGTGGAACCCATCCATTTTTAACAAGTGGCAACAACAAGTTCAAATCAAATTAATTACTTCTGTGATAAACAAGACTGCAAACTCCTAAGACACTGTTCAACTCTGAAGTGTCTTGTGCTGGTCTCTCATATATATGACATCACGTGCTGGTCGGGCTTTTTGTTAGGACCTCATTTGACATGGGAAACCGACCGAGCCATGGCAAGGCGTATGAAGCAGAGTAGGCTCAGTAGGGACCATTTGAACCCCCCCCCCCAGACCTTTCACCTGATAGTAGTGCAGATCAAGTTGCAGAAATTTTGTTTTCCAGACTTCTGTTGAATATACCAGTATATATTACCTAAAGTTAAGATTTCATCTTGGACATAACGCATTATCTCTGACATCTGGTGTGACATCAGACACATTTATTAGTAATGAGTACTGATAACTCCTCTTTTAATGTTACCTCCCAGTCTCCAATCAGCACATGCAGTCTCAAAACTGTGCTTCTGATTGAAGTTTTGCCTTCCTGCTGCGAACTGATCAGAATGTAATGTGATATTCAAGGGGAAAAAAGGTTTTCATTTGCTCTTTCCTTTTTATTTAGCTGCTTCTCTTCATCAGCAACATCTCTTCCTAAGTTGGCAAAGCTGTTAAGGGGGCTTATGCCAGTCTATATTGGGCTTTTAAAAGCTCATTCCAGTGCTCTAACTTGCAAGTGATTTTCCCGTTGCTATAGATGTGCATCATAACAGATATCATTCCAGCATCACAGCATCCAAATGAAGACAGAATGATGTTGAAAACAAAAGTTTCATGGGAGAAAAAAAAAGATACCCATAACACACTGCTGTAGTACTGATAAAATCTTTGATAATCATTTTTTAGTCTGGTATATATCAGCCTGTTTACAGATTTCTTTGACCCCACTTCACTCATCTTTGTCCTACATAATAAACCAGTGTGAGGACCCGCCAAGAGGTTAAAGACGTCATGAAGATATTACATAAAAAACTCTGTAAGGCCTTTTTGTTGACAGAACCATAAAACCATAAAAACATTTCTGTGTTCAGTGTTGTGTACACAAAGGGAGTCAATCCTATGGATATCCCTCTGACCTATTCTAGGTCAAGTATTGACTTCATTCACTGATTTTCAAACAATCAACAATAACAGAAAGCAGCTGGGCAATTATTTCCAGCTTTTCATCATTGAGATACACATTTATCAAAATTATGTTATGCAATGTAAAGTTTATGAAAATGTGTATGATAAGTATCTAGCTATAGGCTTAAATTAACTGTAAATTATGAAATAGAATATTTTTTCTGTTTAGATGCATCCTGAAATAGATGCAGAATGACTTTGAGTCTATGTTCATATCATGATCTATTGAGCTTTGCACATATGAGTATACAGCCATTAACTTTGGACTTCAAAAACCAATGTGAAACTTCAACTCAGATATAGGTACAACTTTCCATGCCCCAGGCTCTTGATATGGGGAATGGACAACATACTGTATTTATATATGTTTATGTGTTTATGTTTATGTATATGCATTTGGCAGACGCTTTTATCCAAAGCGACTTACAGAGTAGACACAATATTACATATATATATGCATTTTATTTTCACCAATGATTTCCAAAAGCTTTGGCAAAGTTGTGGTGTCTGTCTTTTGGAATGTCCTCCTTGCTTTGCGGTGCTCTCAGTAAATGATGGAAACTGTTCATACTGACGCTAACCCTGACAGTGTCGGAGCCGCCTCTGCAGACTGGGGAACACCCTTGATTTAACTTCTCCAAATAATCTGAGCCTAAAATAAATAATGACCTAACAAAGTTTTTTGATTGTCATTCCTGCTTTTGAGAATTCCCGCAGGACTTTTGTTTTCAGGAGACCTTGTTTCACTCTGGAGGAAATATAAATGTTTTATTGAATTTTGTGTCATATTTCTGTGTACATTATCTTGTACTGATCATATCAGTATATACAAACTAGTGGTATCTTCAACAGATTTAACAGCAATTTTTCACAGTGGTTCTTAAGGAAAAGGTCAGTGGGACAACGTCCTGCATGAAAAACTGAGATTTTTTTACCCTGAGAAATTGGGAATGATGACCAACTGGCACTGAGGATTTCACAATAGTTCTGCTTTCCATTTGTAATAGACTGTGTACCCCAACAGATGACGTCAAGAAGGGAGGGCCAGACAGACAGACTGTGGGAGGACAAGCTAATTGAAAACAGAAGAAGGGAAGTGATGCTTGGCTTTGTCATAAAGCGGGTTTGCACCTCCTTTTGCTTTTTCTTACTCATTACAGATTGCAGGAAGAGATTTCTCCAAGTGGATCCCCACAGACCTTTGAAAGCTAAATTGACTGGAAATTTCTCACAGAAACCCAGCCGTGTGTTACAGTGATATCCAGGGAGTTAGATTATTGTGCCAGCAAAAGAAATCCAGAAAGGTTTACTCATGTGAGATGATGTTCATGCTGACCAGGTTTCTGGGGTATATTCATCATCAGAGGTTTAGACAGCCCAGTGAAATAGTAGTATAATGGTCTCCCACTGATCTCACGTTTCTTCAAGTTCTTCGTGTCACTCTTTTACCATCAGTGGTAATATCAGTTTTAAACCATATGAATGCAGCATCCCTTTGCCGGGGCATCATTAGATTGTGACATCAAAATAACGTGCGTTTGTTTAAGTGGAGATGTGTTACAGCCCTTTAGTGTAAAATGGAATAGTTGTTAGGGCCAGGTGATTGTACTTGAAACTGGGCCATCAGAAAAATGTCGGACAAGCATCATTGTATTAGTACTGTGTGGTGCCTCCATTATTTTATTTAGATGGCAAGCCAGCTGGTGAGTATGACAATCTGCTTTTGAATGAGACAGATGCTTTGTGGAAAATAAACCTGTGTGCCTGTCCCTGTTTTTGAGTCTTTTCTTAATTCTATCCAAGGTCTGGGGAATTTATGTTAGGTGTGGGTTTTTTCTAACCAGTACGACAGTTGAGTTGTATACATGAAAAGAAACGTTACTAAATAAGTCCATGAAAAATATTTTTGAGCCCACTCCTTGCTTGTCATTTAATGTAAAACACCAAAAAGGTGTGGGACACAATACCAGTCCTTGATGACTGAACCACAGGTTCATGATTGCTTGTTTCCACCACAAAGCCTGTCACCACGCCCTGTACATGTTTATTGCCCTCTAAACGGCTACAATTTTGTTGCACATAATCTGAAAGCCTGTCAAATGTTATATCAGCTACTTAAAGGTAGTTCAAACCTGTGGTCACACCTAGCTCACAAGAGAGAGGTCATTCTATGAACCCATACGGTGTGAGATATTTATATAATATTAGACAAGCTAGCAAATGTAACAGTTACATTTTCTATGTATTTTTTCTGATTTCTTGGGCAAGGACAAGAGGACATCTCTATTTTTTCTGTAATTAGTAAAGAATTAATATATATATATATATATATATACTGAGTTGTATATGTACTGAGTTGTTATTTACTTTCAGAATTACTTAACTACTGTTTTACAGCTAATTAAATTCACAGCTAAGATACGGGACTTCTCCCCCAACGTTTTCTGAATGCCCATTCTTCGACCAGGGTGATTCTATGTTTGGGAGTTCAGAGTTCTTGCAAAGTCAGAGCAAAAAAGCAGTTTTGTGAGCTATCCAAAGGATTCGATATCACTCAAACATTTTAATCAAAAATGTCTCGCAAAAATTGTTTTAATATGAAATTGATTTGTATCTTAAAGACTTCCTTTTTGTCTTTGGATGCATTGCTTTACTATGAACCTTTGCACAGGTTGCGACCCTTAGGGGGGAATCATTCAAACAAGGAGGGACCAAGGTTATTTTTGTTCCAACACAAATGGAAGTTGAGATAAAAAATATGCCTATGCAGTTCTAGCTTGGTACTTTTTCTTTTGATTTACAATTATGGATGTACTTTGCTCCGGAAACCATAAACTCTCATATACTGTAAGATTATATGGTCCTCTTTCTTGATATGTCTCATACATTACTGCAAAAATTATGCTGATTCAGTATAATAAGATACAAAGATCATGTTTGAGCTAAAGAAGACACTGGCATCGTTGGTGTTAAATAAATATTTTATTGAACACAAGTTCTCTATAATATATTCACATTTTCAGAAACTTTTCACCTCTTTCAAAAGATACATTACTTTGCAGACATTTATTTAAAAAATCCTTTTGTCCATTTTTTTCTGACACAACATTAAACAAAGTGCATTCTTATATAAGATTAAATAAAAAACAAAATATACAGTAACAATAAGACAATTTTGATCAAACTATCTTCGTGTTTTCATGTAACTCCATGTGTTGGTCACAAATGTAAAGAATGATTTTTATGCTTGTTGTTACATGCTCTAACTATGGTTTTCATTGTTTTCAAGTAGGTCGGCAGAAATGTGATCCTGCCTCCAGTGCAAAAACTGCGAAGTTGAAATAAGGTAAATCTACACAGTGGCTGGACTTCTTTGTTCTGTGAAAGAAATTCATTGACGTATACATGGTATTCACACACATGAACAGAAGTGTTTTAAAATACACACACTACTTTTAAACTAAACGAGAAACCTGAGATCTTGAATGACTCCACGGGCCTCAGTACAGTTTAATCTCTTAACGCAAAAGTATTTATAATCAATATTTACAAAACTTTATGAGTAAACTTGAACTTTTAGACAAAATAAATAGACTGGACTGAATTAGGGTAAATTCAAACAACCTCTTGACTAGACATTTACTCTGTATGTTCGGGAGCGTTTTCTGAATAACCTGCGGAACCATCCCCAGTAAAGGAGCATCATAAACATCCAGTAACACACGTACGCCACACAGCCAAATACAAGAAATTCGGCCTCCAGTTTTTTTCCTTCAGCTGACCAGTCAAGTAAAGACTCCTCATATATGGTGTAACAAAGCCCACCTAATAAAATAGCAGCCCACACTGACAGGGGTAGGAGAGGCATATAGTTTCCTACAATCTTGCGTCTGCCTGACGTCCCCCAGCTGCTTTTGTTCATTGTTATAATGGCAAAGTACTTTGCAGGCAACAGACTGGTCATATACAGAACCGAGTAGAGTGACATAAACAGCATTACTATGTCTTGACGGAGGAGGCAGGCGTAAGCGGCTTTTACCAGCCCAATGATCTGGATGCAGCACAGGACCCAGAGGATGTCCCACAGTGTGCCCACCCAAAACAGCTGGATGATGGTGGCAGTGACAAAGAACGGGAAAATGCCTGAAACTATGGACTCATAGGTCATCCACAGGTGGTGCTTGTGCCACCACATTGCATTGTAGAGCCACTCGCGGAAGTAAGATTTCGTCCACCTGGTCTGCTGGTTGAGCCAGCGAAGAAACTGAGCTGGTGTCTCTGTGTAGCATTTGGAGCGTGCCGTATATCTGAAAGCCATGGAAGACAAGAGAAATCAATGGCACCATTATCATTTAAAATTCCCCCACCATCTTTTATCTGTTGGTGATAATAAGAGGGTGCCTACTTTGTGGCGTAGCCCATGCTCAGCATGCGGTTGGTCAGGTGCCTGTCGTCACCAAATGTGCAGTGAGTTCCCAAAAACGTCTGATTATACCAAGACTCAAGAAACTGCTGAAGGATGTCATTCCTGTACAGACCTACATGGAGAAATTCAAGAAAGTAAAAGAAAATTTTAGTGAAGTGCTTCATTTGAATGGCAACTATTTATTCTTTGACACACAAACACAAAGGTTTTGCTTACCCAGAGGACCACTAATGCAGGACACACAGTTGAAGAAGGACTGACAGGACCTCTCAATGTTGAAAGCCATCCAGTATCTAAGGCTGCTCATGAAGCTGATGTAAGAGTCTTTTAGATTCAGGATCATTACGTCTCCTCCAACAGCACCATAGTTTTGGTTAGCCTCCAACACTTTGCACAGCTCCACAGTGGCTAAAGGATCCAATTTTGTGTCTGAGTCACACACCTTAGGAAAAGATGGTTCTGTCACTAAAAATGTCACTGACTAACATTTTACCTTTTAATTCGCCACATAAAAGGGGAAAAACATTTTTGAGAATATGATAAGAAGATAAAAGTAAAGATGATACCTGTATATAGTCGACTGAAGACCCGAGTGCTCTGAATGCCGTGTACATGACCTCCCGCTTGCCTCCCCACTTCTGCATGATGCACACACACCTCTTGGTCTGGATCAGGTGCTCTACCTCTTTTCGCTGAGGATCCTCTTCCAAAACATAATCGTTACCCTCCCCTTGGACAGCTGCTGCGTTCATCTCAACATCCTCTTGTTCTTTGGTGGGATCCCAAGTATGGTAGTTGTTCCTCCATTCATAAAAACCAGGATCCTGGTCTGCAAACACTTCCCTGAACATGTCCATCATATATCGGTCCTCAAATGTGTTGCCATCTATCACCATGATGATGCGCAGCAACTCAGGGGGGTACCTGAGGGCCTTAACAGAGTTGAGGCACTCTCTGAGATAGGTAGGATCCTCCTGGTAAGCGGAAATGGTGAGGGCGATTGTCTTGGTATAGCTGCACTGTTCTGTGTGGGTTTTCATTCGCCGGTGCTCAATAAAGGCAAAGAGGCTCTGGACCAGCAAATGCAGCGAGAGGAGGAGTCCATAAAAGCCAAATGAAATGATTCCAAATGGGGATGTTGCCAGCTGGAAACCATCGACGTAGGCCCACACCATGACACCCAGAACCACCAGTGCAAAGAGAAAGGTGAGGATGGCTCGGAGTATTGTGCCCAACTTCCGCAGCAAAGGCTTCAAATTCATTGTTCCTTCAAAGAAACACAACAGGTTGGTATGACTTAGAGGCTATATGGCATCTACAGTCAGTTATCAATCATAAGTCTATAATAAATTGGAAAAAAATTAAAATGTTCAAAATTGAGAGATATGAGTATATTATTACATTAATATATAACTTACATTAACATGTGAGTGTAAAGTTAATTGGTCTATATGCAAAACAGGTAAGAGACACAAATAAACCCATGTCAGTGTTCGGTTCTACATACCTGATGTAAAGCTTCACTATCTTGATACTCGGGGAATATCCTCTGGCTCTTATTGCCTTCAGTACTAGCTCTGTGGTGGGTGTTGCGACCCACGTGCTCTCTTCTTATATCTCGGGATATTTCGGGCACGCGCGTGAGTCAAAAGTGCGTCAGGAAAAGGCGGCGGTCTGAGCGCAAAACTTATTGTTATTTTTCCCCTTTACCATGGAGATGTTTGTCCGTGAACTCCGACCAATCTGCGCCCTGTTGAATGAAGAAGTTTGATGACGTCCGACACGCACGAAATTAAGTGTCTGATTCAATAGCATTCATTGATTTAGTATTATTAAACTTCAGTAAGTAACGGAAGTCCCACTCCTAAAAGATATTTAGTCAAATGAGGACCATTACTTTTACTTAGGTAAGACATTTAAAAAATTCGCATTTCTTAGTCATTTTTAATGTAGGTGAATAATTAACATTACCACGTCCCATCAGAGAATTCAGAGCAACTTAAACATCGCTAAATTTTCTTTTTCAAACTATTTTAATGCACTTTGGGGTTTTGTTTGTTTTGTGTAAGGCAAGGCAAGTTTATTTGTATTGGACATTTTATACATAAAGTAACCTATAGGGCTTTACCAAGACATCAAGATTAAATAACAAATCTTAAAAATGATAACAGAGAATGTAATGTGTAATTGGGCAGAAAAGGATTTCAAACTAAGAAAAAGTAAGAACGGCAAAGTAATATTTGACTATCAGAAGGCTAGTTGATATTTCAGTTTAACGTCAAATGTGTCTAGAGTTGGGGCACATTTCATATCAAAAAGAAGTTTACTCTTTCTTTGTACAGCACGGGAGCTACATTCACTTTCTCTTTCTTCTTGTTGTATTTAGACTCTGGGTTATTTGTAATCAAACACTGTACATATATTGTAAAGTAAAATATGACAGTTGTCGGTTTCAAATTGGAACCTTAAAGTTCATTCTGAAAGTTCATCATTACACTTTTTGACCTCAGAGGATTGCTCCACTCATTCATTCACATTTTCCTTGGCAAGGACAAAAGCAGGAGGCTTTTGTTGGTCACAAGATAGATGTTGCCCTCTTCTGGCTAAAATCTAAAACTGCTAGGGGGAAAATAGTGGTTGAAAAATAAAGTAACTGAGATTGGTTGTAGCCAACTGTTAGTGGACGCAGAATGAGTGTGTGGCGAAGTTAAAGGAAATTTTGTGTAAGTTCTTTTTGAAACCTCAAACAACAACAAAAAAAACAAAATCCTAACCATGATTACATCCCTGGAGAGTTTCTTGCAAAAAAATAAAAGAAAATCTGTTGACCGCTCATAAGGGTCCACACCCTTAGCCACTGGGGCTGGCATGGGCCATCAACACGCTTCATGTCAGACCAAAATAGAAGCCACAAGGAGGCTGATGTCATGCACAGAGGCTGTGCATGCTTGGGGAAGATGAATTAAAGCAAATATTACCATTGATTAGCTTTAGTTGGTACAGCTGTTCATGTGCACCAGCTGTTCTGGTTGCTGCTTTAGATAATAAACAGATGTATCAACATGGAAGTTGTGATATCATTTTTGTGTGTATTCTTTATTTGTATCAATTCTACCCTCTACTTTTCTATTTTTGCTGTGAAATATGTGTTTCTCACATACCATCAAAACCCATCAAACAACCAGCTGATTTGCCAACGTGTTTCTTTTCTTTTCATCTTTTTAAATTTCACTGCAGAATTTAGGTACAGGTTTTGTGACTCCCCTACTTTTTTCTGTCATATCCCAAGCTGAGCATTTCCTTAATCACATCAATGTGTGACCACATCAACTAGCCATGAGCAATAAACATGCTATGTGGAGTTTGCTAGCGCTCGCAACACAAACGTCTGCGATGCCACAAACTACATCCTGCTCAAACGCTTGGCCCACAGCAGCGAGATGAAGTCTTTTTTTTTTTAAATGGAGGCCACACACTCTCAGAAACTATGTTAGGCTTGAGTTTTGTGGCAGTGCAATGCAAGAACCTGGTGACTCATTCACGTACGCCCCACCACACCCAAGGAACCAAACTCACTTAAAATACTTTTGTGTTTTCTGAAAAGATTTACCAGATGTGCACCTGATTTTTTTAATTGCATTTGTCTACTTGGTTTTGCAAACCATCACCAATGAACAATCTAATCTTATGGAGGGTGAGCAACATCCACATGTAAGAACAGTTCAGTGTCTTAGTGACAGCAGCTCTCTATTAACTGTTGTATTGGGGATCTTCAGTGTGAGCAGCATTTTATGTTTCGACCCACAGAGAGCAGTGTGGCGGCATGTTTGTCCTTTGTGATTTATTGTGGACGTCCCTATGCTTATTCCTCCGCTACAACTTTGAGCATCAGCCTTTAGTGCTCATTTATATTCGAGCCTTTCTGGGTGAGTGCTTGTAGCTGCAAAAAATGTGACAAGATGAGAGGCACCTAGGTCTTTTAAACACCATGTTCCACTGCTAAACAACTGTCATCAGTGTTACTATAAATTATGATTAGGCAGCTTTTTAAATCTTGTAGTAATTAAACATTTGCATTTAAAAAAAATTTGCCTTTTTTAAAGTAAAATTCTGCCTGCCAGTGTCTTGAAACCTGAAAAATCTTCATTTTAGTAGCGGTCATTGACAGCATGTGGAGTGGAGTATGGCCAATCTGGGGGTTCCCTGTAAAAAAAGTATTCCTGGGAGGGACTTTGTATCAGTCCGGTGTTACATGGTAGCATTATCCCTGAAAAGAGTGGGTCCAAAGAATCTTAAAAGTTTACGGACAACCTCTTAGAAATACCTTAAAAAACAATAGAAGCAGATCATTAATGATTAAATAGTTAAACTCCTAAACCGCAGTTCTGCTGCAGTTCTGGCCATGAAATGTGTTTTTTTACACTGTTTCAATTTACGTGGGGTGTGACATTCTTGTGAGATTATTTGTTTTTCTAAATGGTGACTTGTCCGGAAATGAGAATAAGCAAGGAGCATAGTTCATCTGGTCACACCTTATACAAAGAAAGCATGTCTTCTGGAGGGTTCTTCACAGTGACAATCCCAATGGGTACTTAAGCACTTATGATCCACAAACAGAAAGGTGAGTGACAAAGTGGGTTTGCAGATTTTCTTTGGGAGCTCAACACCCAATTATGTAACTCATGACACCATTTGTACTCCAGATAAAAAAATGTGCACGTCAACATCCAGTCAATCATTTATTGAAAGGCCAAAAATAGTTTGATTATGTCACACAAGCCTTCCTTTGACTTTCGTCTGTCTCAAAAAGCTGTGACAATTCTAATGGGACCCTAAATGTATAATAGCTTGTTTCTGTAAAAGCAGCTTTAAGATGGAATGAACCATTATGGGTGTTTTTCCTGACAAACTGGAAGTGAACGCCTCTGTATAAAGAACAAACAAGAAAACAGAATTGATAAATTCACTGATCAAATATTACTTTATTTGAAAAAAGTAGAGTGCTGCAGTATTTATCACAAGCCATGCAGCCCCCCTCCTTCACTGCCACGGTCCATCTGGAGTCTCTTAATGAACTGGAGCTTTGTTGGTACTTTGTTTTCAGGTTTAGCTAATTGTTCTTGGGTATTTTAGTATGTCTTTGGCATTCATGTGTTTCTTTCCTGTATTCTGTTTTCTTGTTATCTCAGGTCTGAGTTCTCCCTACATTTAGGTTATGTGAGTCTAGTCTTACTATTTGCAGTTGTGGTAGTTCTTTGTCGTTCCTTGACCTTCTTTCGTTGATCTTCAGTTTCACACAGCATTCTGTAGCTTGTTTCACATTGTAATTTTGTTTATTTAGATCTGTGGTGCCAGTCCTTTAAATCTGGATTGATTTCAAGTTTCCCTCATTGTTTTATGCTCTCTCTTTCCTGTATTTTATTCTGGTATTTGTCTTCCATTTCCTGTGTTTCTATGTCTATGATTCTGGCAACTTCACATCCCTCACTTTTCCCTGATTTCCTTAGTTCCCCCTGTTTTCTTTCCTGGCCCTGCGTTTGATCCCCACACCCCCCAGCAGCCGAGACACATACTGTCACAAAGCTGAGCACACATCCCAGAGGAGCTCCCTCAGCCAACAGTATTATGTTCTGTGTCAACAGAAAATAATACTGTCCTCTGATTCCTTAGCAGGGGTCTCATCCCATCAGTTACTTCTGCCAACAATGGTGATGAGGGCAGAAGGAACAAGTACTTTAAACTTACTCTCCATTTTTTTCTTTCTCTACATTTGACATTTCTCCTCTTTCTCCTGATCTTGATTTGAAGCATTAAGTCTGAAAAGCTAATGAACAAACAATAATAATAAAAAACAACTTTGCTGTTGCCATGGTAATATTTTATGAGAATGTGAAAAGAAATTGTCAGAGCTATCTGCAAATATGTGTTTTCAGAGAGAAAAGCCCAGTAGGAGTTGTCAAGAATATGATAGAAGTACACAGATTGCCCAGAACTGCTACAAACACTTACTCTGCAAATAATGATGGGAATTATACCAAAGTAACCATAGTAATATCCAAAGGGACTGATCATAGTAGTAATGGCAATGATAATAGAATAGGACTGGTCATTTTTTCAAAATTGAAATGGTGCAGTATAATTAAGGCACCAAGAACAGCACTGGAGCAAAAAAGTGGCCTATCCTACGATAAAGAGTCATTTCTTATTTCTTATTTCTTAGTTAATTGTATTTGCATTTTTTTCTCAGAATGAAATGATCTGTCTTTGACCTTACCTTCAATGAAATTTCAAGAGATATCAAACACACCAGAGAGCACCTATGAAGCAAGAGGAAGAGACTGATAAGTGTATAGATTTAAGATAGGAAAGAAAAAAGCCACAGTGGGAACTTTTAAATACATATACATAGTTTTTGACTGCAGTTGCTCATTCTGTCTCAGAATCTGTGAGAGGGCAGTTAGATGTCTCAGTACCACATTCGTCACAGCTCTTCTTAGTCAGTGGCACAGGATCATGGTGCTTCACATGCTGTACAGTTTCAACCCACAGGGTAGCAGCTTTTTTAGCCTTGCCAATTTGCTTTCGGTTCACTCTAAATGTCTGGCTTATATCTAAGCTACGGATGCATAATTTCTGTTACCCATTTGTTGCCACACATTTCTGAGTCAGAGCCTGCAGCTGCAAATGTTGTGAGAGCCTCCACCATCATGCCAGCAAACGTTCTTATCTGTAATTGTTTTCTAGATAAGCAGGACCTTTTACCAGGAATAAAATCAAGTTATGAATATGTTCTAAATTGCAGAACTTATATTTCAAGTTAAATTCAACTAAGTTTTAGGTTTATAAGAATTAATATCTTTAGCTATAAGAATTCTTGAAATACTTAACTCCTAGACTGGATGGACATTGACAGTATTTATTCATTTGACAGTAAATATGTCAGTTTTTCACCCCACCAGTTCTCAAAATGACCATTTCAGATTACCTCAATAACATTTCTTTCCTTTGAAATCATAGGTAAAGTATGTCATAAGTCACCTAATTTGTAAAAGAAAGAAAAACGTAGAATCCACAGTGATATATAAAGTTCAGTTTAGCAACACATATACTTTGGCTGTCCCAGTAAATATGAAAGGGAGGAGAATTAAGTTTTTGGTGTATTTTTAGTAAGCCAAACTCCAGAGCAATGCTGATAATATGACCTAACACTGAATACATTTAGCCTTTTAACTTTCTCTGCGGGTGATATCATATTTTCCCCTCAAATTAAAAAATGTATTTGAGTGGACTAAAATACTAACAGCATGTTATTCAATGTGGGCTGACTTTCCTAATCAATACAATTATATTTTTGTTGTGTAAAGTGTTCATTCTAACATGTTCTATGGTGCTGATTAAAGTCTGCCTGCCATGCTTGTGGGTAAATATGAAAATAAATATGAACACTTTGTGATTACTGACCTAACAACCTTATAAGAAACAAGCTTTACACAAGATTGATACAGCTGGCTTTAATGGTTTTCTTTCTTCTCCCAGCCTTCGCCGCTGTTTGACTACTCAGCCTGATGCCATGGTGTTCTTGATCCAAGACACATAATTACAAACTTTCGTGTACACTCCAGGCTTATTCCTTAAGGCACAGCCGTGGCCCCAGGACACAACTCCTTGGAGCTTTCCATCACATATCATGGGACCCCCAGAGTCCCCCTTCGATTACACAAAATTAAAAGTCATTTTCAAGTAGATCTTTTGTCTCACAGTGTAAAATCTGAGTGTGTTGTTTTAGAGACTTATCTAAAGTGCTTTAATTACCTGACAAGAGTCCTTTCCTCCCTCCAGATATCCAGCACAGATCATATTTTCAGTTATTTGGAAGGGATATGCATTAAAACAGGTGTCATCACTCAGGAGAGGAGCATCCAAGCACTGCAGTTTATGTGGGTACCTCGCTGCAAAGACACAAAGGGTTACAGTGTCTTTGTTTCTGTTGTGATGGCGCACTGATTACAATATCTTTTACAGAAAGAGTGTAACTCACAGCCTTCGTCACTGGAGCGAATACTTCCCCATCCAGATATCCGGCACATCGTCCCATCTCCGGCACAGTCAGAAGGGAGCACGGCGGGATGCACGTAGCTGTTCAGAGTGGCTGGCTGACTCAACTTGATCAGCATTATATCGCTGTCCTGAGTGCGGGGATTGTAGTCAGGGTGGCGAATGAACTTGGCAGACATGATGTGCTGCTCAGTCCCATCAGATTCCCAGATGTCGTGCTCCCCCAGCCGAACTTCCACATTTGACCTAAAAGAATCAAACCCCTCGTAAGTCCACGGATAGTTTTCGGGCACCGTGTTAGTCCAACCAGCGGTGAGGTTTCTTACTTTGTTTTGCAATGTGCCGCTGAAAGCACCCACTCATCAGACAGAAGAGTCCCCCCACAGAAGTTGTACCCAGTGAAGAGGGACACTTGGTAGGGCACAGAGTTTTTCAGACACTCAAACCCACCAACAATCCTGTCATCCTCTTCCAAAGCAACTATAGATTAAAAGTTAAGAATGGAAAATGTCACATTTAAGAAAGATTATGTTATAAGTGCTGTATTTGTTTATTAAGCTGCAATGATGCTCTGTTTCCAGTCAGAATAATTTTTGCATTATACCTGTGGCTTGAAAGAGAATAAGGAATAGGATAAGCTTCATGCCTTCAGTCTGTGCTTCCTGTAGATTACTGTGTCCTCTCTCTCTTAGTTTAGTTTTATTCTCTTATCACCTTTTTTTCAAGGTCTTCTATTACATCAAACATTAAACATGTGCTACATTTCCCAGGTCAACCTGTGATCAATGTAGTCTTATTAGACTGAAAATAACATTCTAATTCTACATCTGGATGAAAATACATTTATTAGGAAACAGTTTTAGATAACCCCAAAAAGAATGCATATCCAAAAACATAACATGTCTATTTCTAATTTTCTGAAGACAGTGGTCTTCAGAAAATTACTCCGGATGTAATTCTAATATCATAATTAACATTATATTTTATAAATATTCATTTCTCTTATTTTCAGCCTGCTAGAATAATAAGTCTTCTGAGTAGATACTGACTTGTTAGTAAGATTATTGATATAAAACAACATTTTGTTGCACATTGTAATAGGAAACTGTTCCCTGAAAACATGCTGTAATTATTTGTTTTACAGTTGACTGTGTAAGCATAGTTTTGCTGCTATGGCTGTTGGCCAATCTTGAAAGGTTTAATCAACAACTTGATATAATTGATAACTTAGCATTTTTATGCATAAAACTGCTCAAGCAAAGCAATACATTTTTGTTTCAGCAGAGTTTTTAATCAATGGTCATTCCAAAAAATTGTTGCTGCACATGTTTTCAATTTCTCCATGATTTAAATATAACGTGTTGTGAAATAACTGCTGACTCAGCGTTTCAGAATGAAGCCATGCCGACAGGTACTGTTACTCATAAATACCGATAAGCATTTATCAGTAGAGAATACATTCAAGCAGGAGGGTGCACTTAGCCAAACCCTATGATTATATGCTTGAAGTTTAAATGTAACGCATTCTCATCTAGTACAGACAAGTTCTCTCCCCCCTTATTACGATGAGGCACGTGGATTGTCTGCATCATTCTTTTCCAATCTGCATGTGATTTGTAAACTGTATTTAAAAAAATGAACGCTCTTTTCTAATTAAATTAGAGCATCATATTCCTTTTAAAAGGTTGAGCGTGGGAAGATTTTATCATCCTCTTGCATCACTACAGTGTTTTGTTCACGTCATTTAACCCTTTGCTTTGCTATTTGTTTCAGGATTTTCAGTTGATCAACAGTGTCACCGAATAATGGAAGCCAGTGCTCACAGTGAGGGGCACATATGGGCAGCCAGTTGAAAAAGGATTTTCATGGATTCATGAATTCTGCATTCTATTACTTTTGTCTAATTCCATAGCCCTTGTTCTGGTTCTGTGTTTCAGTTCAGTCACATCGTTTTCAACAACTTTACTTTCCTTTATTATATCATTGTGCATTGCTAGGGCCAGAATCTGTTGCTCACGCTGGAGTTAATTTTTGTGATTATCTTACGTACTTGCATATGGGCTGGGAAAATGGCACTCATTAGATCTTTCAAATCTTAAGTGATCATTTTCCACCCACACAGACATTGAATGTCAGAAATCATTAGTGGTGCCTACATACTGGCAGCATAATGGCACACCTGCACATTGCTCCCTGATGTCAATCATAAGAAATAATCACAAGAACTACCAATCAGCTTGTGGGCCAACTAGATCTGATGAAGAACTCACTATATGTTGTTCAGTGAGTATGTGTGTGCGCGTTAATGCCAAGCTGTTTTCTGATCCTCAGCCTCGAAAATGGCTCGAAGAGTCCCCTTTTCCTATAAATCTAAAGTCAAATTCTTTTCTGAAGTCACAGACTTTGCTTTTAAAATGTGGTTAACCTCTTAACTGCACACTTTAAATCTGAAATAGTTTGTCGATGGGTAACACAACATGACTAAATTACTTGTTAAAGTGAGTAGCTTGCCTTACATTTTTGTTAGCAAAATGATTTTTACCAACTTAAGGATGTGAGTTGTTAGATTCATGAAGTAAATGAGGACATTTTTCAGTGAGCAGAATAACTTTAATTAATCGTTTAACAGTTATGTTTTCTTTACACCATACTCAGTTTAATATAAATCTTAAATTGTTGCAAAATCATCGCATTAAGTTCCCTACATTTGATTCTTGCTGAAAAGAAGAAATACCCCATCTTGCAGATTGTCAGTATTTCAGTATAGATTTTATTGGATTAACTTTTTATGATATCCTCAAGAGACCAAATGAGGTAGCAGAACCTCAATCAGCCTTCAGGATGCAGAATGTGTTAGTTGGAACTAAAACATATAATTGTTAACGTGAAACAAATGGAAACAGTGGCCTGACCAGCTGCTTGAAGTTCTTTGAATGATGAATGGTCACACACCACAACACTTGAGTTCCTTATCCACAAAACATCAGTCCACTTGTAATCAGTTAGACAAATTGTGCAGTGAAGGTAAAAAATATTCTTTAAACCTTTGTAAGGCTTCCATTATTTCAAATATCAGAGGTTTTTGACAGTCTCTGCTCTTTTACAGGTTAATGTACAATGAGTCCTGCTCCCAGCCATTTACAGTTTTCCTAATGTCATTCCCCTGTTTCTCAAAATACACTCAGACAGAAAAACCTCTGTGTGGCAGAAAGCTGAGGTTGTGTTTTGCCAGGCTGTTTTTTTTGTGACAGAGACGGGGCTGATTATTCATACCCTTTAGTTCTGCTGAGGGGGAGCAGACATTGAGTTTGAAAGTAGGGACAAATGTAAGGATGTGGTTTTGGTTATTGGGGTTGAGCTTTTTTCCCTGTGTGTGGTGTGTTCACAAAAAAAAGAGAGTTGCTGGTTTATCTGAATGGGAGCTTAAGTCACTGGTTTTGACTTGGAAAAACAAAATTCCTGAACTCTCCACAACCGTGAGACAAGGGTTAGATTTCCAGTCGACACCACAACAGGATCAACAAACCTTTGGGGTTTTCAGGACACAACAGATTCCAACTATGACAAAAGAACAAGTTTCAACACAGCAGCTAAAACACCCAGTGTGTTCCCCTACAAAAGGAGTCATCGATATACAAACATTTCAGACTTCAGAAAAGCTGCAAGGTCATGGTGTTTGCACTAAACAGCGCCGAAAACTACTGGGTGTATTAAAATGACGCTTAGAGCTACAGTGTGTCATTAGTCCTTGAGTGTCCTGCACATGAAGCTAAGCGCACACTGGGAAACACAAACAAATCTCCATACATTTTAACCCACTTGTCTCTCTGTGTTCCCCCAGCTGTTGTGTTGGTTAAAAATCCCCCAAACTTCAACTGGGCATGTCACATTTTGCAAAAACTGAATTCCCTGAAAACCTCCATTGGTTGTTTTACACACCCAAATGGGTATTTGTGTGGCACACACATAATTGCAGGTTTGGTTGGTAAATCAAGAACTCTGGCAAGCCCAGGGCTCTGAAGGCTTCCCTCAAACTATAGCCTTGAGATAGCTATTAATATCCCCTACACACTCCAGCAAAATGCTTTGCTTTTATATCCTGGAGCAGGACTGCTTGCAGCAACTCCAAAATACACATTTTAGCAGAAATATAAAAACTAGTGTATGCATTGCTCAAACGTAACCCCGGTGTCTAGACTTTAGCTGAAACGGCAGTACTATGTTTTTGTTATAAATGAGGCTGAACAGTTTAGTGTAGATTTGAAGCATGAGGAAGTTATGCTTATTTTTAAACAGCTTCCTGCTGTTTTCATGAATTTATTTTGCTCCCGGTGCAAAATACCTCAGATGTTATTTATGCAAGTAAAAGAGATTTGAAGATAACATAAAACGTGAGTCCTCCCACACATTCTAAGCAGGGTGCTAATCAGAAAATATGCCAGATTATTGAGAAATTGTTTATATATGTCTGTCCACTCCCTTTCTTCCTCCTCCTCACATCTGGAGTCATGGCTGGATCTATTTCCTGTGTGGGGTGTATGTATATCAGCAGGGGAACCAGTTTTGGGGTTGGGCTATTTCCACTGTGAGTCTGATCACTTAAAACATTTCTGAAATGTACATGAACACATACGTATGATTTTCAGAAATTTGCCAAGTAAGAACAAAAACAAGTTGCTATACAAAAAAGTGCTATGTCAGACGTAAAAGCATGGCATGCACTGCCACTCACCTACTTCTTTGTTTTCTGCTTCCATTAAGATCTGTGGTTTCAGTACCATTTTTGTAATTCAGATAAAAACTCTTCTGTGTGCACAGATTTGCTCACAGTTTATATGGATTTATCAAACTAAACCATTTTTACCGCTCAAATTTGTGAAATTAGTCCGCAATTGGGACTTATTTAGAACGTAGAGAAGAAAAACTTAAAAGGCTCAAGTCTGCACCCACTCTGTGGTATGAATGGATTCCACAAAGCATCACACACAAAGTCATATAACCATAAAACTTCTGGTTAATCTGAAGTTATTGAGAGACGCTGCTGTGGCTTGTTCCACCAAGCGCAGGATGAAGAGACGAGACATTAAAAGTGTACGTGCTCTGATGTTGAGTCAAACAGCCAACACAGAGCAATTACACTGAACCTCAAGCATAACATAAGATCAACCCACGTAGTGAAAAACACATTACACAGCAGGATGATTGGACATGATAAGTCAAAGCGCCACTCTTTCAACAACCTGCAATTTATGAATTCAGTTGTTTGTGTTTTCACCTTTCCCAGAATTTCCCAGAGGACTATCACCGTGCATCTTATTAAGACATGTCTTGGCATGGGGAGAATAAAAAAATCATTGCGTCGTTAAGATTCACTCCGGTTGCTGCGGCTTAAGCTTTGTTGAGACACTTTTTGACGGATGAGCATCTTCAAGAAAGTATGTCAGTGACCTCTTAGTAATGGTAAGAACGGTGGAGATATGCTGGTGTGCGGGGTTGGATACTGCCGGAGGCCCCGCCCCAACGTGACGCACCGTGCCTCAATTAAGGACTCGAAGCTCTCAGCCTCAGTCTCCCAAGATAACCTGGAGCGGATCGGAGCTTTACGCATACAGGATACATTTAAGAGGAAAGGTAAGGAGTCTTTGAATTAATGGGGAAAAGAAAATGCGCGTCAGAAACAGACGAATTCATGCAGAAATAAGGAAACAAAGTCAATATATGATTACACTGTAGCTCTTGGAAAAACTCTGGAATATTTCCTCTCTCCCTAGAAATGTCTTAACGTTGACTGAGTTTGTCAATCGTGCGCTTTAGACTATCGGCTATTTAGAATATTGTTGGACATACTTTTAAAGTTGTGAGTATGATGTGTCCTCGGTGCCTGAGTACGTTGCCTTGTGTGGAGTCCTTTGGTTTGACTGTGGTTCAGTTGACAATAAAACCCGTTAGAGCATCTATTTCTGCTCAAGTTTTCATACTTACTTTGATGGTCTTTTTGCGCACGGAGCAGATCGACTCACGGGTTGTTTGCGCATATATTGTCTTTTTTGTGTTGTCCCATTTTAAAAATGGGAAACTGTCTTCAGACTATAATGAAATTCAGTTTCCCTATCTTCATTGTTTACATTTAGGTTATTAGGAAGAATGTGAAGTCGCGGTGGAAAATCTAACCACACGACGACTTGAATCAATGCCAGTGTGAACAGTATTTTCTTGGCATGTCTGTTTAAGTTAGCCTATATGCTGTGAGTGGAGCTTCATTTTTATATTTGATTTATTATACTTTATTTCTTTATTTTTGTGGATTGGGAGAGCATCCTTAGATGGAGTTAAAACTTTTTTAAAATATGATTTACTTTCATGAGTGGAGAATCATGACTTTAACGGTTATTTTTTCTTTTTTTTTGGAGGATCTAAGACGATGATGGAACTGGTGACCAGTATCCCTTTCTATCACTTCAGTCCAGTGGACGAAACTGGGAGAAACGGCTCTTCCTACTCTTATGATGACAATGATGAGTATGAATACAAGGATGAACATAGCTCCAAGGACGATCATGCAAAGCTGAGACAGTCTCTCAACAACATGTCTCTGGTTGTGTACTGCATGGCATTCGTCCTCGGTGTACTCGGAAATGGAGTAGTCATCTGGGTGACCGGTTTTAAGATGAAGAGGACTGTTAACACCGTTTGGTTCCTCAATCTCGCCGTGGCTGACTTTCTCTTTACTGCATTCCTTCCTCTTAGTGTGACATACACAGCTTTGGATTTCCACTGGCCTTTTGGCAAATTCATGTGCAAACTGAACACCACCATAAGTTTTCTCAACATGTTTGCCAGCGTCTACATCCTGGTGGTGATCAGTGTGGACAGATGTGTGTCGGTGGTGTGGCCCGTCTGGGCACAGAACCACCGAAATGCACGCAAAGCTTCCATAGTGAGTCTGTGTGTTTGGGTGCTGGCTTTGGTTCTCAGCTCTCCCTACTTCATCTTCAGGGACACGGCCCCATCCTTTCACAACGAAAGTATAATCAACTGCTTCAACAACTTTGCTTTTTCCGACGACTATGAAACTCAATCCGTGAATCAGCTGCGAGTCTTTCGCCATCAGGCCATGACGATCACCCGCCTGCTCCTGGGATTTGTCGCTCCTTTCACTATCATTGTGTCCTGCTACGCTGTCATAATCCATCGACTCAGAAGAAACCGCACCATGGCCAGCAAATCAAGCCGTCCTTTTAAAATAATTGCAGCTATTGTCATTACCTTTTTCCTTTGCTGGTCTCCTTTTCATATCATGTGTCTAATTGAGCTGATGAATCATATGTCGGATAACACAAATGAAACATTAGACCACATCATCATTATTGGGCTTCCTATAGCTACAAGTCTGGCCTACCTCAACAGCTGTTTGAACCCACTCCTGTATGTATTTATGGGCCAAGATTTCAAGGATAAGGTCCGCAAATCCATCCTGCATGTGTTGGAGGCTGCCTTCCAGGAGGAGGTGTCTCGCTCCTACACCTACACAAACTCAATGGTCACCACTCGGAGCAAAGACAAGTCATTCTCTGATGCAGAGGTGTAAGGCTTTCCCTAACTGAATGAATATATATGCTGCAAAGAGTAGATGTTTGTGTATATACCTATTTTTTCCACCTGTTTTTACGTGTAGAGTACTTGTCATGCTTCATTATGCAGGTCTGTCTTCAGCTTATCACTTATTATAAGATTTTATTTTCATGACATTACAGAAAACACGCAAGACAAATATTCAATATCAGCTGTTTGTTTCAGCCATGTCTGAAATGCATGAAATATAAGGGATTGACGCCTTTCTGCCTGCCACAAATTGATTGTAAGAGTTTTTCTGTTTTAATTTTTTATTAAATCCTGTGTGAGATGTGTTATTTAATTGCAGAAGAAACAGGTGTATGAAATTGGTCAATCTCCAAAAGGACTTCCATATCCACCACGACATCCATCATGATCTAATTTCTCTCTGTGTACTTGGCACCTGCCATCAAATTTACTGAGGTAAATTAGGTGACAATTCAGCAAGTGTGTTCATGTAATGGGTTGGCAACCTGTCGAGGGTTGCCTGTTGACAGCTGAGACAGGCTGCAGACACCCCATCCCCTCCCCCTATTGCAAACCCAAAGAACAAATTATGTTAAATGTGAGTTTATTATAGTTAAAGAGCTGCTGAGCTGTATTCTTGGCTCTGAAAACCTGTTTGCTTATGCCTCAGCTTGTTGTAAACGTATGTATTCAAAAATGTAAACGTATTCATCTGAATGACTGTCAGAGATAACCACATGTACTAAATATTTGTTGAATGTATAGAAATATAAAGTAAATGCTAAATGTGCTATACTGTTCTTTAGCCTCTTTCTCAAAACATCATTCTGATGTAATTCATGTGTATGATTGGTTTTTAGTTTTACTTCCTACCTTCACTTCGGCAGTCAGCTCTGCTAAAGGTCTCTGCCTTATAAGAATTAATAAAATACATTTGGATTTGACTTTTCCATTTTTTCATACATTTCATAATCATCACTTGAGTTAAAAATGCACCCCCAGTAATGATCTCACACAAAAAGAGGTTTTCTGAGCCCAGTTATTAATTACGGCCACTAGAGGAAGCTGTTCATATGTTCAGTTATTGCAAAATATGAGTTGTTCTTTCATTCTTCTTCTCAAAAATGTTCTCGTTCAGTTTTGAGGAAACGTGTCACCATGGCAACATGCGTGATATGTCGATATTTATGTTGTAATGTCAGAAGCAGCAACTGTCAGAGTTTTACACTTTTCAATAATTCTAATGAGTTCATCAACATGTTACAAAAACTACACTAACACTTGTGGACACTAACATTGTTCTGGAGTACAGTCCAAGATAACAGATTCATTTAGTAACTCAGTATGTTTTACAGAGTTGTACAAATCAAGGCAAAACGCAATTTTAGTGAAGTACCACCTATTCTTTATTCAGTTGTTTTCAAAGGGATTATTCTATTAACAAAATATACATATTTCTGTTTTTTTATAGGTTATCACTGAGTAGCTGGGATAAGACACTTTTGTTGGAGTTGATCTAATGCACTAAGTAACAGATAGCATCTGCTATGTGTTGTATAGTGCATGAAGAGATGTATAGCTCTCTTCCCCTCATTTTCTTCACAACATGAAAGATATATTTTTCTGGAAGTTTATCATCTTTTTAACATTTAAACCTGCCACACTAATCATATTCAACAAAACAATTGGATTATTTCCTCCAATGTCAAATATAAAATGCTTGTATGTAAGTTAATGATATATCCTATTTGGCTTATCAAAAGCCAAATGTTAGACACTGGAAAAACTATCTTACTAAAATCTAGATTTTTTTTTTGTTTGTTTTTTTCTGTCCATCAGGTCAAAGGAGGATTATTTTAAAAAATACCTTAGGCCTACAGAGGTAGAACAGTTTATATGTGCTCATTCATGAAAAAAGTTGTATGCTGTCTTTTAGACCAGTGGGCCAAAATCCATTTCTTGGGAAAAAATGATTGCTCAGTCTTTTTGGACTGTATTTCTTAGAGGTTACCTTAATATTTGAGTCAATATCATCACTGTGAGATTTCCATACATTGTCATAACATGTAGAGACACTTACAATCTGTTCAGACTTATTTCATAACACACAAACAGTGATTTGATATGAATACAAAACAGGCAGCCAACGTGATTTCAGAAGATAGCCGAACGTCATTGAAATTCCAGAAGTTAAAGAAGAGCTGTATGGTTGTCACCTTAAAAGAATTTAAAGCTGTATTTTAACAGCGTTGTTAGTGACATGTAGTGTTGGATCCACAGAGGTCGCACCCATCCAGATAGAATGAGGAACTGACTGTTGCCGCAATCCCTCAGTCAACTGATGGTTTAGTTAGTAGTTGAGAGGTCATTTATTCATTATATCAGCATAAAACAACAACTACGAATCTCTTGATTCTGCTCCAAACACCTCAATAAAACATGATTTAGTACATATTTAAAGTGTTTGTATTTTAATATGTTTATAGTGTCTTCAAGACAAAAGCCCCACAAATCCCATATTGTGTTAAGGATGTTGCCTTGTTGTGGGAGGTGACAGTTACCTACTGACTAGTTTATATTACCATCACAGATACAGATCACAGACTATTCTGCTGCAGCTACACAAACAACTGGAGAACTCTGAAAAGGGTATGCTACCTTTTTTTTTTTCATAATAATTTTTCGGAAAGAGGGAATTAATCCCATGTCAAGGATATGTAGTGTTAATTCTAATTTGGTTTAAACATTTTGCACACATTTACTCCAAAAGACAGTTTATACTTTAATTTTAAAATGAAAATTGAAGTAACCCACTAAATTAGGGTTTTCTTAAAATATTGTCACTAAAAAGGTCTAGATTCTATTGTGTTAATAAATGACCCAAAGAAGCAAAAAACTTTTCTTTTTTTTCTTGCCATAAGTAACTTAGGTATTGTTTAATTAGTAGTTTAATGGCATTAGAGCATTTGATTTTTCCATTTTGATACAAGGACTTTCTTGCATGATGTTGTCTCTGCAGGTTTCAAGACAACCATGAAGATGAATGCTACATCTTTTGATGTCATCAATACAACTGAGGCTCCAGTGAATTTCACCTTGGATAACACGTTTGCAAACCTTAGCAAATCTATCAACACCATGTCTCTGGTTGTGTACTGCATGGCATTCGTCCTCGGTGTACTCGGGAATGGAGTAGTTATCTGGGTGACAGGCTTCAAAATGAAGAGAACTGTTTACACCGTTTGGTTCCTCAACCTCGCTGTGGCTGACTTCCTCTTCACCGCATTTCTACCCTTGAGTATCACATATCAATCTTTAGACTTCCACTGGCCTTTTGGAAGATTCATGTGCAAATTGAATAGCGCTGTGGCTTTTCTCAACATGTTTGCCAGCGTCTACATCCTGGTGGTGATCAGTGTGGACAGATGTGTGTCGGTGGTGTGGCCCATCTGGGCACAGAACCACCGAAATGCGCGCAAAGCTTCCATTATGAGTCTGTGTGTTTGGGTGCTGGCTTTGGTTCTCAGCTCTCCCTACTTCATCTTCAGGGACACGGCCCCATCCTTCCACAGCAACGACATCATCATCTGCTTCACTAACTATGCTTTATCTGATGACTTTGTAACTCCGTCTGTAAATCAGGTGCGCATCTTTCGCCATAAAGCCATGACAATCTTCCGGTTCATTTTAGGATTTGCCATCCCTTTCAGTATCATTGTGGCCTGTTATGCTGTCATAATCCGTAGTCTCAGAAGAAACCGCACACTGGCCAGCCAATCCAATCGCACATATAAGATAATTGCAGCCATCATCATTACTTTCTTCCTTTGCTGGGCTCCTTTTCACATTATGTTTTTAGTTGAGCTGGTACACTTCTCTGCAGTCCAACAAAGTTTAACATTAACATATGTGATTGCCATTGGGATCCCACTGACCACCAGTCTGGCCTTTCTCAGCAGCTGTTTGAACCCGATTCTGTATGTGTTTGTGGGCCAAGATTTTAAGGACAGGGTCCGTAAATCCATCCTGACTGTTTTGGAGACTGTTTTCCATGAAGATGAGACACAGTTTCGCACTGATATGAAGTCAATGGAAAGCAAACAAAGCAAAGAGAAGTCGGAGGACAACAGTGCAGTGTAAGGCTGGTCATGACAGGAATAAGAATAAACTCTATGTAACCCACAAATTGAATTGATCGTTTCATGTATTTCTTTGTTTTCCAGGTGATTGGTGCTTTCAAAAGTTTCCACTTTTAATAATGTATGAAAAGTAGATTATTTTAAAATAGACACCAGTTACTGAAGCCAATAGTCTGCGATGCCTGATTATGGCTAAACTCTTGGATATCACTCTTGCACATCACTTGTAAAAAAAAGAGCATCAATTTTGAAATCACTATTACATTGGTTCACTGAAATTTGTAACATTTCCTGGATATGGCTCAACTAAAAATGGTCTTTCTACAATGGGGTTGGCCATGGCAACAATGTCATTATTTCCAGTCCATACATTTTACTTGTTCTTTTATACCTGGGTGATCCTGAATAGATTCATATAATGCTTGCCATGTATGTATAACTTTCTCTCTTTTATTAAATGTTTACAGTTTATCAGAGCACGATTGTTATCTTTGTAGGACTGTGTGTCTCCAAATTTAGAATAGTAGTTAAAGCCTGAAAACAGATCATTTTAGCTAAGTCTGAAGTTTGTATATTGTCACACATATTTGACAAGCATATATCCTGTGTAAGTCTTTGTGTTCATTAAGAGCTACATAATGCTGTTGTCAGTTTGAAAATGCTCTTCTCTAAGAAGATCACATCACAACTATGTTGACGACAGGGATGGTATGCTGCAAGAAGAGGGGGAGTCTCTTCAAGATGTGTTTTTTAGTTTGCTTAATTTTTTGTATGTGGTTGCCTAAACCTGATTGGATCAAACAAGTGTGGAAACAACCTGCTGTAACATCTCTGAAATTATGCAAAGGTTTCAGAGTGAAACAGGATGCTAATGGGCAGAGTAATGCTGTTCTAAACAATGAAATTACATTTTATGATAAGTCCAAAAGAAGATTTCTGGATTTACACTGTCAGCACGGTTAAAAAATAAATATATAAATGGTTTTGAGTTGGCTGTATATTAACCTTAATCTTGTGGTCTTTTTGTTTTTTTGATTTATTAAAAACATTTATTCAGCCTATTTTTGTTGTTCATTTACAAATTACTTTTATTCTTTGGCAAGATTATCTGTATTGTCAACATTTCTATAATTCTTTTCAATGTGTAAAGTGTGTGTAGTTTGGATGCCAATTACAGATTTACACATTAACATAGATCAAAGATATTATATAGCACACAATTAGTAAGACCACTGAATTTGTACAGTCTTGAAATATTTTTTTAAATAATGTACCGGTATATAAAAATCAATTCTGACCTGCCAAATGATGCAACATTAAAAAAATATATAGATAGTAGTCATCCTAGAAGCTTCCGATCGGTTACTAAAGAGACATATAATTAGGGAATTGTGGGAAGAAATCTGCAGTGGTTGGTTCATTCTGCACAGTTTTAAATATTCATTTTAACACGTATTGTTTGTGATACACAGAATGTTTGAGGGATAGGTACGTGAAGGTAAAACAACTAAGAAACATTCCCCAATTGTTCATGGATCAATAGTGTATTAAAAGAAAGGATAAAAGATTAAATGAGATGATTACTGAGGAATTATACAGTGAAATATGCTGGCGTAAGTAACAAATTAATCAGTGCAACAATAAAAACAAAATAACTAAATAGCTTTTTTGAGAACAGGAAAGTTATTCCTGACATCTAAGGAGGTGTTTAAAGTGTCAAAAGGGCCTATCCAGAAATGAGATAACTTCCAGTGAGTCCCGTTTGCAAAAGGGGGTAAAGATTTGCAATTGGTGAGATTGGAGGGGAAAAAAAACAGAATAAAAACTTTCTAACGTAAGATAATTCTTTATCATGCGATTCCCAAACACATAATGTCCCATTCAATGGTCTAATGGAAAATAGTTCGGCTTTGTTTTTATCTTTGCCAACCAAATGTCAAACACGAGAGTAGAAATCTGTAGTATACTTATCAATCTAGAAATCAGGGGAGAACTTCGATCAGAAATACTCTAGATGGCAGTCTTGTTTCGACATTGTTTGTACTCTGCAGGAAAGGTAGAAGTAGAAGATGAAAAAACGGAAGGAGACACCCTGGCCTGCACTAGTCCGCAGGCAACTGACTTTCGTCAATGGAACGGGTTCCAGTCAATGAAAAAACATAGTGCTCGGAGATGTGCCAGATTTATGGTAAGTCTCAATTAAGATGACTATTTGGTTAGATTGTCAGATACCTAAAAGGCCGCGATCGGAAATAAAAGCCGGTTTAAAATCACTATGTTCCCACTAATGCTAACGCCAGCATCAGCTAACATAAGCTAACATGATCACGATAGCAGCTCACAAAGAAAACCAGGAGCCGCTGAAATGCTTTTCCTTTAATGTTTCTGTTTCAAATGCTATTTGTTTCCCATTGGTTGTGTGTGTTGACGTTATTTTTTACTCGGGTCGTAATGTCAGCTGTAAAACACAGTTAACGTCAGTCATATTTTTGTCAGGAACGATGCAAACAGTCTTTTGAGACATTCACATGGTGTTTTAATCACAAATGTATGGCTTATTACGTTCTGTTGTGGAAAACATCAGGGATGAGCGTACCGACACTGTGGGGATTGAAAATAACTCCGGTATTTGCACAATGATTGTGCATCACATATGTGATATTTTCACAGTGGTTAGGTCCTAACTTCCATTTCTGAACACAACTGACAATGCAGTCCTTGTTAAGTCCAGTGACTTTATAGGCAGTATCTTGTGTTTGTAAATGCTGAGCATTCTTATGTGTCTGACATGGTACTGGAATTTTATGGATGACTGAACATGGAAAGTAAAAGGTAACTTGCAATGCAAACCCAAAGTCCAAAGATTTTCAAATCCTTATCAAACTGTGTTCAACTTAATGCACTTCAAAAACAATATTTCATATTTAAAATGATCAACTTTATTGTTTTGTGCAATTATTGAGCCATTTAGAATTTGATTCCTGCAACATGTTCCAAAAAGGCTGGAATATGAGCATTTTTACCACTATGTAACATCACCTTTCCTTTTAACATTCACTGTTAAAGCGAATAATGCTGCATTTCTTACTGTCCCTAATTGAGCTATGATTTCAGACCGCAGCGCTTCCATCGTCATATTTTTTGCTTTATAATCATCCATCCATTTTGCCATACCCACTCATTCCATGAATTCCCACTCGGTAAACGGCCGTCCTGATTTGGCAATCTCTTCCGCCACAACAAAACTTGCTTTCACAGCAGCTTCTCTTTGTGATTTCGCTTTGGTGAAAAACGTCTGCTGGGATGTCAAATTATTCTTCAACTCCTCTCCCCATTGTAGCGTCCGTCCTGCTCAGGTTTTTAAACTTGTCCTGGTGTTTTGTTCTGTAGTGCCGTCTTAGGTTATACTCCATTACAGCGACGTTACTCCCGCAAAGGAGACACACTGGTTTAACGGCAATTTCAGTAAACATATACTCTTTTTCCCACCAGCTTTAAAAAACCTCGGTTTTCAGAATCAATTTTACTCTTGCCCATTGTTGGGGTCTAGCTTTGATTTGATATTAGCATTTTATACATAAACAGACCGCGAACCGCGGTTGGCGTTATTGGCAATTGCGCTGCATCTTGGGATTTGTAGTTTGTGTTACTGGGGCTTCTATCACAAGGCTGTTAAAAGAAGATATATGAAATGATTTTGCGGGCCGGATATAATTGTACGGCGGGCTGGATGTGTCCTGCGGGCCTTGAGTTTGACATATGTGGTCTAGAGGATATTATGTCCATGATTTCCAAAAACAAATCTGTATTTATCAGACAACTGCACACTTTCTCACTTTTCATCAGTGATCTTGGATGATGTTCTAGGGTGTTGTTAATTTTTGGCTTTTACTTAACATATCAAAATTGCAAGTTGTGCTTGTAGATGTGAAAATGAGCTATGTTAACTGACAGCAGTCTTGTGAAGTGGTTCCTGATCTTTTTAATGCAGCGCTTCCACCTTTTAATTTGAAGGTCACAGGCATTCATTATTTGGTTTTCAGATTTGCTGATTATGTGCAGAAATTGCTCTGTTTCTCTGTTTCGTTCGTTGCTGTTATGGTGATATGGTGATTTCATATTCCCTTTATTGCAATTATACCTTGAGAAATGCCTTCCTAAAATCTTGGACTATATGAGGGGTGGCTGGAGCCTTTCCTAGCTGACATTGGGCAAGAGGTGGGGTACACCCTAGGCAGAGGTTAGCAGATTATCCTTTGACTTCTTTGTGGAGGACATTTTGTGCTATGTTAATAGCTATCAACAACAAATCAATAAAAAATATTAACAAATGTTCTAATATGGGCAGCACGATGGTGTAGTGGTTAGCACCCATTGCCTCACAGCAAGAGGGTTCTGGGTTCGAGTCCCCGGGGGAACCAGGAACTTTCTGTGTGGAGTTTGCATGTTCTCCCTGTGCTTGCGTGGGTTCTCTCCGGGTTCTCCGGCTTCCTCCGTCCAAAAACCTGCATGTTAGGTTGATTGGACATTCCAACTGAGTGTGAGTGGTTGTTCGTCCTTGTGTGTCTCTGTGTGGCCCTGCAATGGACTGGTGGACCATCCAGGGTGTACCCCGCTCGCACCCATTGACTACTGGGTTAGGCTCTAGTCCCCATTGGGGAATAAGCGGTTACAAAAATTATCCGATATTTGGATCGGATCGGCCGCCGATATTTGCAAAAGAAATGTGTATCACTGGCATGAGAAAATGCCGATCCAGTTTTTTTTTTAAGTCCGATCCCACACGATCTCCTAACCATTAAGTTGTTGAAAGAGTAAATCCCTGTATAACATGAGTCTGCAAAATAAGTAAGTAGGCTAAACAACTTTAAACTTTAAATGCTCTGATAGGCCGGTATCAGATCAGAAGTGCAAATTCAATATCGGTATTGGATTGGAAGTGCAAAAAACTGGATCGCCCACAAGGCATAGGGCCGTAACAGGACATTCCTAACAAAAATGGATGGATGTTCTAATCTCACAAGGTTTCTCATCTATGTCATCTATCCGATATAGGTAGTGACTGAAAGAGCAAGATACAATCAGCCTCAATGGGTTTCCTTTAGACAAATGACTGGGCTTAGCCTTAGAGACAGGTTGCAAGGGAGAAAGATGTTTGGGTTTACCACCTGAACTTGTTGGCAACATAAGTGGGTTTCAAGTGGGTGGATGGTTGGATAAGCATTCAATGCAGATTAATTATTGGAGCTCATATCCACCCCTACTTTAGTCAGAGAAAAATCGAGAACATGAAAGTTTGTGTCTGTTCATTCAGTGTGCAAAATTAAAGAAAAGTGTCATATTTACCTACTTGTTACATATTTTCTATATACCTCTCTGTCATTTGGGTTGATGTGGGAGGTGTGGTAAGTTGCCAACCAAAGCAGAGTTGCATATCAATGAAGGAGGGAAGGTTATGTAATGGCTTACACACTTCTCCATGGTTAACCAAGAATTAGTTTGTCATTGTTATTTTTGGTCTAAAAGTGCATGACGGTCATGTACTAAATCTGTTAGTTTTTTTGTATTTTTGTAAGTGTGACTTTTTATGGAGTTATTGAAGCTGTTGACAGATATTTTTGTTTACCAAACAAGCATATGAAGATTTGAATATTTATTGAAAGTACAATTAGAACCTTTATTTTCCTTTTTATTAAATGTGCATATGATCTGCTAAAACGTGTTTCTGCACCCACTGATCGAGAAGGTACAGGAATTTGATACGGTTTACTCACTGATTACCCACTGAGGTTCAAACCCAAACAACTTTTAGCTTCTGACTTCATACATAGCACATAATCTTAATACAGATTTATGTAAACAAATTAAATCCTTTTTGTGATTTATGACCTGTAAAAGATTGACTGCAACCACTGATTTAAGGTTGTTGGGTCTTCATCAAAACTAAGAAGGGTATCTTGTAGCTTACCCATGTCAACTCACATTTTCTTGATATCCCCAAAAATAAAAATAAAATCCTTTGATCTTAGTGGTAGTTGTGGATCACTCATTCCTTTCATTGCAAAAACTTAAAATAATAAAATGGTCTCGATTGGTAAAGTGAATACTCTAGCTGGGTTGTTATGCCTGGGGAATTTGACCATGACGGTTATTGTTGATATTCTGTAGAGAAAGTCTCACTTTTGGTAACATTATGTTATAAGCCAGACAATTTAGAAAAGCATGCCGTGTTTTTTTTTTGTTTTTTTTAAGGTTTGTTTGGCTCTAGTAGCCTTTAATGACGGTAGCTTGACAGGAAAGGGGGCAGAGATAGAGAGGGGGAGACCTGCGGGAAAGGGCCACGGGTTGGAATCGAACCCAGGCCGCCCGCTCATGAGGAGAGACTCCACAAATGGTCCGCCCGCTGTAACCGTTAGGCTACGCTGCGTATGCCGTGGTTCCTTAACAAGCAGAATATCCTACTGCTATGCAAATTTACTTAATTACAAGATATGTGTCTTTGCAGTACCCAGTAACTGTAATTGTTGCTCTGCATGGTTAGGTTCAGTAAAACCGGTCTGAATAAATTGGCATAGATTCTCAGTCCATTCATCCATCCATTTTAAAGCGCTTATCCGGGGTCTGGCCATGGGGCAGCAGCCGAAGCAGGAAAACCCAGACTTCCTTCTCAGTCTTCCAGGTCATAGTAATCCTTAAAGCTTAACTAAAGGCAACTAGTCTTCTTGGGTTCTTGAGGATGTTTAATGTTACAATCTAAGCTTACATGTTTGAGGGAATTAGTCTATAAGTAGAAAGAGTTGTGAAAGTCTGAGCCCCTCGCCAATGTATCGTAGAAGTTTTTCCTCACCTGTTTACTGTGTGACGGACCAAGTTTCACTCACAGGGTCCAAAGGTGTGAAACTACCCCGGGAAGAGGGATAAGTCTGCATTCTAAGAGCTGGATAGAAACAGACCAAATAAGGACTTAATACTGGATAACAATAAAGCTGATAGCCTGCAACATATGGTTTGGAACTAACATAATCTTATGGATGAGATGTGAAATGTCTTTAAAGATGGTTTGCATGAGGTCCTCATCCCCCCCACCAGATTGGCCCAGTGTTACTGCATCATTCATTTAGCCACAACTCTTTTTTGTGTATTATATTGATCAGAGGCTTTAACCCATTCTGGCTTAAACACATATCACATGCAAGAGGTTTGATATTGGTCCTGAAGAAGCACATCTTTTTTTTGCGGAATTTTGATATATCTCACCAAAGATTTCTCTTGCATGGTCTTTTAACTGTGCTGGGTTTGGCAGTTGTTGGCCTACTGACTTTGGCCACACAGCGTCCCAAGTGTCCAGAATACAGGTATCTTTCATGTTTTCTCATGATGAGACAGGTTATGCCGTTGCATCTGTTATTGCTGTACAAGGCTCCTTGCGGTCATACCCTCTCCATGGCCTTGTTGGAAATCGGATGATTGTACCCTCCAGCAAAATTCACCAAAATCTGACATAGGGGTCTGCACCCTTTCAAGGATTTGATCCAAATCTACCTATATGAACTCCTCTTGGCATGATTCTCCTCTTCTTCATTTAGTTAGCTTCAGACAGTAACCCCTTGCTATGTCCAGAATAAACTTTTTAGTACATGTATATGCTCAATGTAAAATACACAGAGATGGAACCTTCTGTAGGTCCTGTTTGTTCATTTTTCACATATTATGGATGTTTTTTTAGAGACCCTTTGGATGCTTAGTCAAACACAGGAAAGAAGCTTGTACCACTGGAACCGTAGAAGCAGTGTTGCATAGTGTATCTCACGTGCAAATTGCAAAAGGAATAAAGATGACACAGGGTGGATAGAGGTACAAACACATCAACAATATTGCCTCAAAAGGACAGAGATCTCCTTCACTATAACCATGGTTGCCATGGTCTGAAACCAAAGTTGGACCTTGTAAATTAACTCCTGAGTAGGAGTATGTGAGCAGAGACAAGTAACAGCTTTGGAACAGACTACCTATTTACATACATATAGAAAACAAAGCTATTTGACCGTAAACTTAATTTGTCTGCATTTTAAATTTTATTTTAGGATTTATCAGATGCCTTTCTCCAGTGAGACTTACGGAAGACGTAATTGATGTAATTAACATAGAGCATGGTCAGGGTAACTTAGATATGATATATTTGGTGGAAAAAGGAACATGCCACTGAATCTCAAGGACGTACGCCTTTAGGCTTCAGACTTGTCAACTTTTGACAAGAGTAACTGCGAGAGTGGTTAGAAATAAAATGATATGGTATAATGAGAAAAATATTTGTTTATGAATGCTGATAATTGAATCTCACAGTTTGCATGTGATTTCTGATGTCAATCTTTTGGTGGTCTAATGGATAACATATTCCTGTTAACACAATACAAAAAAAAACATATTTATAGATGACCTTCTTCAAGATTCTGTGTCTAATTAGGAGCTCATCTGTGCCAAGTTATGTTTACTCAGGTGTTATTTTATCCTGTTAAAAACTATAGACAATCGGTATAATTTGTTATCATTGTCTAGATGATATATGTTTGGAAGAGGGAAAAAATGGTTTTGCATTTGTCAAACACCTGTCTCCTCTAGCTTGTATAATTCTTTCTTTCTTTATCCCACAGACTTTAATACAACATGGATGTCTCGAAGAGGAAAAATGCATCTCATAGGGATTGGACCCGGAGTGTTGAGTAAACTCATTGATTGCACTCTGGATACCGTCCTCTTTTTTTTTTGTGTCTGGATGAAGATTTTGTTGTACTTTCATTTTCAAAAGTGATGCCATCAGCACACAGCCAAAATCATTTCATCATGGAAAAGCAGAAAACACTGAATAGTGTTGCGTCCGCACAGCCGGGTGGGGAGTCGAGTACCTTCATCTGCGCTGAGTGTGGTGATGGGTTCAGTCAGTACAGCAGTGTTCTTACCCACATGGTCATTCACGGACCTTTGGAATCATTTTCTTTTGATGGGTCATCCAATGGATTTGAAGTTCCACGGGAATATGTGCTTCAAGAAAACGGGACACTCACAGTTGTGAATGGTCTGGTTCAATCGCATCATTTAAATTCCTCTCCCTCCAATGTAAAACCTGTATCTCCTGGAGCATTACCATCACATTTCCCACCCCCCAGCAAACCAGTGTCCCCATCTCCTGCGTTATATTCCTCTCCTTATAAAGACTCGTTCAAGCCAAGGCAATCTGACTCCATCCTGGATAAGTCTCGGCAGGGCTATTGCCGGTGCGAAATATGTAACAGATCATTTAACAGCTTGCAGAGCTTACACCGTCACCAGCAGTATAGAAACACAGAGAGAGGGTACAAGTGCACTTTATGCTGTAAGATCGTTGAAGATAGACTGGATCTCAAGAAGCATCTCCAAAGCCACATTAGTGAGCGATTTCACTGCTGTGGCTCATGTGGCAAGAGATTCCTGAAAGTGGATGCACTAAATGCCCATCAAAAGGAAAGTCACTTCTCTTCTAAAACTTTCGGCAAGCCAGACAAGCAGGAGAAAAAGTGTGAGAAATCCTATACTTGTAAGAAGTGCCAAATAAGTTTCTTCTGGATGTCTGATTTCCAAACACATTCACTGTATCAGTGCAAGGGAAAAGAGCTGAGTTCTAGCTTTGGATCTGAAATTGGGGTGAATTCTAAAATTCTTGAACGCATACAACCTATAAAGAGCCACAGCAATGGTACATCTATTAATATTAAAAATGGGCACAGAATGATCTTGAAAGACACCAGCTGTGAAATTGACTCTTTACCCACTTTCACACCATACCGCTGTGGTTTATGTGGGGATCGTTTCGACAAATTAACTGCTCTAAAGGAGCATCATGTCACACATCAAACTCAGGAAGAAATAGATCAGCTGAATCAAGAATCCCAAAAGGCATTTAAACGAAGGGTGCCACCTAAAAGCAGGCGGAGAAGAGGTAGCAATCCCAATGGAAAGCTGCATCCTTGCAAGCACTGTCACCGTGTCTTTAATCATTCAAGCAGTTTATCTCGCCACATGAGATATCACAAAGGTACAATGCACGCTTGTACATTTTGTGGTAGACATTACCCTCAGCGTTGTGATTTGAGAAGACATCTAGCCTTGTACCACAAAACTGAACTGGAAAAGAAGCCAGGTTTAATATACTTGTACACAACGTCACAGTATGGGCCTTCCCCCAGTATCGTGGATGAGGAGAAAAACACAAGCTCTCCTGATGAAAACACTAGGGGCTCCTCAGACAATGAGCTGTCATCTACAGAGCAGAGTCCAAAAGACAAGCAATCAGGAAATACAGGCAGAGGTAACTACAAGTGTCAGGAGTGTGGAAAGAAATTTGGGTTCCGATGCCTATATCAAAGACATTTGCGGTATCACAAAAAAAAAACACACAAGTGTCCCCAGTGCCCAGCTCTGTTTAAGAACTCTTGGTCCCTTCACCTTCATCTTCAAAATCACCCAAGTTTGGAGCAAGTAGATGATGGTCAAAGATCATCTGTCAATGCTGCCGTTAAAGACCAGTCTCTAAAAGAATAGGGCAGAGGGCATAGAGGATGAGTACTTGGATCTTAAACAAAATGAAAAAGAAAAGTCTTCAGAGGATCTTTATGAATGCACTGAGTGCACTAAGACATTCTTATGTTTGGACACATTTCTTCAGCACCAGACATCTCATAGCTCTGACAAAAATGGCTGATTAGTGAGTACCAGAATATAATCCATGGGTGGAGTGTATACAGATGACTATTTTATGGACATAGGCCTACATGAGTAACATGAAAGCTTCATTCTAATATCAACACAGAACCTATGGTTTATTTTGTGCAGGGGATTCCATCAACTGACTAACAATGGTAAATGTGTTGTTTTTTTTATATGGCTAACATGTTGTAAATCATCGTGGTTCATTTACCATCGTGTTTTAGTTGGAAAAATTTGATCCTTGTCATTTTTTAAAAATCTGTTTGCATAAAATCATAATTTTGAAAGTATATAATTGTCACCTTGTAGGTGGAAATTAAAAAATGTATAGAAATTACTTTCATGATCTCCAGTTTTCCTTTGACTATTGTATCTGTTGTTACTAGAAGATCACCATGAAAACCCATCTAAAATGATATTCATTATATATCAAATTTGTGTTCAAATATACGCAAATGTGTTTAGTACTAAGTTCCAAAGCAACTATGTACTTTGAGTAGCCTTCAGCCTTGAGTTCTCCTGCATACAGGGGAAGTGCAACCTTTTCTACTGCATAAGGAGTTTTGATTTGCAGTGGAAGTTTGGTTTGTCGGCCATTTGACAGCAGCACTAATGAGCTTTGAAACCCATTAATTTCCACTGACATTGATTGCACAAATCCATGTATTTGACTTGGAAAACTTTCTCTTTTTCTAGCATAGAGCATACTGCAAGTGCCTTGGTGACACTATGAACAATATGCCTAGACCTGGAGGTCCCCCACCACCAAAAATAAAAGGCAGGCTTGTAGCTTTGCTGGCTTTACCTTATTTTTTTGCTCTGAACTCCACTAGTGTTGCACATGACCTGAACGCAGGTTCAGGGCATTCCATTTGATCTGAAAGGCACATTTGTGAAGCGATAGAACCTCTGCTGCTTCTTGGTACTATTATATAGCAATAGACCCATAAAAATTTACAAAAAATAATAAATTGTTTCAATCCTGCCTCAGAAAGCCTGAAGGCCATAACTTGCTTCTTTTCCTCACGCCATGTATTCAGCTGCTGCTGATGCCATTTGTCATTGTTCCACAGTGTTCACAGATGGATGCATTTTTAGTGGTAAGTCTTTCTATCTTAATGATTCCTTAATGTCTAAAAGTTATCATGGGTGGGGATATTAGTAAAAGAGGCTGTTGCTTTCCATTAAATCTTTTTGTCATTTGGATTATGGGAAATGACTTACCTTAACAATAATTCCCAAATGGGAATTCAAGCAACTTTAGTTTTTGTCATATCTGAACTGGTTTAATTCTTCATCCCCAGAAGCTTGTGCAGGCAGAGAGAACCTGTCCTTTTGCTATCAAGTGTATCCTTCTCCATATGATTGTGCAATGATGTGCTAAATTCTGCAAGAACTTCTGTATAGACAAATGCTCTAATTATGTGACTGCCAAATATAGTTCCCATGTCCAGTAATGAATTAAAGATGGACTGCATAGAAAATCCAAACCAAAGTCAGAGCAGCATCATAGATAAAAAGCCAGTGTTAAGCAGTAAGTGGGGTACCACTCATAAACCAGTCTGCGCCATACTGATTGGGATCTTGCCCGGCTGGCCCAAAAAGCATCCACCCTTTGAGCTTCACATAGTTCAGTCACCATAAGCATCATAAGTGAATTTGACTCGGTGCCAATAGTTTTCGCATAAAAATCTTCAAACATTCCTATCCATCTTGCATATGTCTCTATTGTACATGACTTACTTTCCTCAGTTAATTATGCTCAAACCTTTGTAGATCAATCTTATTACGTTTCCAAAATGCAAACTACATTGCATGTTTTGGGTTCCCATGATGTTGCCAAGTCAAAATGACACACAATCTTTATGTTATACGATTTTATCTTTTTTTATTACAGTATCAAAACTTGCCTAAACAGGAGGAAAGGGACTGTTTGTACTCTACTCTTATGGCATATACCAAAATAATTACCAAGTGTCAGAGATGTAGTGTTGGTTGTAAGTGTCTAACACTTTCAAAATCAAAATTTGAACTTTTCAGCATACTCGTAACAAAAAAAAAGAGTTTTTCTAAATGTATCAGTGACACTGAGCTTCCCATTGGGAATAATGGACTAACCCATAGAGCCATATGGAATAAAGCTGTTGTGTCCTTGGAGGTGTGGGTTGGCAACTCTGGTGAATAAGCTTGATTTAAGTAACAATGTATTTGGATGTACATTTGGTGCTCTTTCCACTATTCCAGTCCCGTTTTTGATGAACTGTTCTGCTGGAGGACTTAACTCATGAGGAGGTAAGCTTAATCTACAGCTCCTTGGTGTGCTGACACCTGTATGCCAGGGGGCAGAGCTTCATGTCAGAAAGTTGTATTGTAATAACATGATTAAAACTCTGGTAACTTCCTGTCAGTGTTTTTATTATTGGTGGATCAGTACCATGTTTCATGCTTAATCAATAATGTCCCATTGTATACAATGAGAATTTTTCACCAGGAAAACTTGCCAAAATAGTCCTACAGGTCATGGGACATTTACATGGGCATCCACTTGGTTTGACAGCATTCATGTTCAAGACTTTTTCTGGCCAAGGCAGCAGACATCTGAGGGGTTTTTACAAACACACACACAACATTGAATAAGTGAATGAGTTAAAGTCACATACAAAAAGATTATTCTGGCAGGTTTGTCAAAAAAGTAATCATCGTATAGCCGGGCCTTTTTTTCTTATCGGTCTGAAGGGGAAAGTCATTTTGAGTTGACTGTCTCTTTCACACATGCACTGCAGCTTAATTACATAAAAAGACTGTTTATGTTGACCCACAGTCACTCTTTCTCATAATTCACACAACAAAGAAAGATCAGCCCCACACCACTGTATTTTTGCACACATCAAGCTGCTACCACAGAATCGGATGAGTGACAACAGCACCATTGGTAAGAATGGTGTGTTCTGCGAGACAATCTTGTTTTGTGTAAACACACTTGGTGGTAATGTTTTGGCTCTTTTTCTGTCTCCTTTGCCAGCTCAGAGGTGTATTAGCAGTGGATTGGCTTCGACCAACCACTCCTGCTCTGATCATTCACATATGGTGCGATGTGCTTCAAAGCCACATCGGTCCCTATTTTGATCTACTTTCATTTTTTGATGTTCAGCATATTTTCAACTGAAGGGGTCATATTGTTTGGTGCATCACTTCCATTGCCTCAAACCTCTCACATCCACTATTAATGGCCGAGTTAGAAAGAGTGTGGCATCGTCTTCCACTTTTTGAAGATTTGTCCTACAAATGTTACAGCCACTCCCATTCAAATACAATTTGTCAATGTATGTAGGACTAAGACAGTAGGTGCATTCAAATTTCCCTCTAAAGCCTCCTTGTCACTCAGTATTGTGTTCTACATCATGCTGCAAGTGGCGACAAGCAGGCCTTTGTAAAGGAGGGGCAGGGGTGACGTACCGCTCACCTTAGTAATATTTGTCCACCAATCATGAGATAGCTTTTGTTACTGCGTTTATAGAACCTGTTACAGAAACCCAGAGGAAACCAAACAGCGTTGTGCAATTGTCTCTTATCCTAAGCACAGTTCAGTTCAGCTAAGCGACGGTAACATAACTTGTTTGGTCCTTTTATTTGATTATCTCCATGACTGAGACTCTCCTCACGTCATAAAAAAAAACTTTATAGTGAGAGCCGTTCACAGCACCACGTCACTCACAATGTTAGCTCAAATTAAACAATTTTTAACTCTGGCAGATGTCGGCTCACCTTCACCCCTGTTTCCTGATATATCTACATCCTTCAGATGCTCTGAGCATGACAAAATAGTCTGCACTTTCGTCTACCTTAGCATTTAGTCCCTCTATCTGGGGGGGAAGAGGGGGAGTAAGCTTATTTTTTTTCTTTTGTGCACCTATCATCAGAAAACTGGAAGCACTTTTACTTTCATATGCTGCCCCACTGTGCAAATGACCTATTTTCAAAAACACATCAGTAGAATTGTTTTCCTAAGTAGGCTGACAATTTGGAAGTACTCAGTGCAGCTAAATATGAAACTTGAGTACTTTGTTTTAAACTTTCTTTCATGTAAGAAAGGGGAGCTCTGCTTTCCAGGATGTTTCGAAAGGGGGGAGGCACTGTTCCCTCCCAGCTCATTCCATAGCTTTGAGCCCATAAATTTGGGTCGAAAACATTCTGGTTTAAAGTGAAACATTAAAAAAATAAGTGTCTTATTTTACACAACAGAACTACTTGTTATTGTTTTGCTGTAAAAGACAAAATAACCCCCCAACAACTATCTAGTGCAAAAGGAGAAGGAACATTATTACTCTTGGGATACAAATTCAGATTATTGTTAATGCTGTTGGCAACAATGAACTTACTGGCTTCAAAAGTGGAGTTGTTTTCCCATTTGTTTAATTGGTGGATGTTTCTTTTTTGCTTTTGATGAGAGATTCAACATTCTAGAGGTTGGCATGGCATTTAACGATTTAGAAACAAATAATTGATACAACCATACATCTCGTTTAATTAAATGAGCTAGAATTACTCCTAGTGCTGTAACTTTTGAGGAACAAAGAATAGGGTGGTAATCCAATTGTATCAGTCAGGTTGCAAATGTAGGATTCACATCTCTGGGAGGTCCTTTTCACCCTTTGTGCCTAGGTTTTCAGGTTGTTGCCTTCCTCCCTTTTTTTCCACGAAGGGAACTAGCTCCTGCACATGCCTACCCTGCTAGGAGGGGTTTAGAGGAGGACCAGCATTGGGTGGGGTGGCGCCATTTTATGGTAGGTCTTGCACACAACCATTTTGTGTGCAACTTATTAACCCTTTAAATGCCAGTGATTCCCAGACAGCAAGTCGGTCTGAGTGTCCAGATCGCTGCAGGTCCTGGTGAAACATTGTCAGAACAGTGACTGACTTGCACACAGGGGCACAAGCCCCAGGGGGGGGGACACTGTTTTGCGGAGTCACTGACACCACATGCAGTACTACCATGTTCCTCTGCATAGGGGAGGTGCAGGAGCAGCTGCAAGAAGGGAACCCATTTGCCTGCGCGTCCGGAAGGAGTCGTTCTACCGCCCCACCAGGCTGTGGTAGGGAGGGAGAGCCGTGTAACCTCGATGGGCGGGCTCTGTAGAGGTCCTTGCACCTTGTTATTGGTTCCAGGCAGACAGTTGTATAACATGCGCAGAAATTCGGGCTTATTGTTCCGAAGTGCGCAAATGGAGAAAATGGAGGAGGCTCTGCCATTCCAGTGCCGCAGTCCGGGGCTTTGCAAGTGAGGCGTCCCATTTCACGTGGGGAAAACACGCGAGGATTTCTACTCAACGATCAACCTCGGTGTTCAGTCCATGAGAGGGAAAAAAAGGTCTCTTGACAGCATTTCCCTGGAAGCCGAAAGCCATCGATAAAAAGAGGGGAACCGCTTTCTTTTTCACACTGACAAACAAAGCCAACGAGTAGCCTCCGTGATCGGAGTATATTACGCGATTATTACACAGCAAAGACTCATAACCGATTAACCTCGGGGAAAACTGAAGGCAAGGCATTCAAGAGCAACGCTGGACCGTGATCTGGTAAGGAGTCCTGCTGAACAGAAACTAGCTGTTGTTCATCGTTGCTAGCTAGCTTGATGCTAGATAGGGGGCTAGCTGTGGTCAGGACATCGGCTAACGTCTTGATAAAATGATCAAACACGTGGCAAGCAGCAAAGACAGCTTCCCCGTTTATTCGTGTGTGTTTTGGAAATCTTATCAGCTCCTACCATTGTCATTATACATTGCATTATAGACTGCCTGAAATCGCAGAATGTCTGAAAAATAACTGTCAAAAGCAACACAGTGTCCAGATAACCACACTGTGGGACGGGATGAAATGCTCGTCTCTGAGTTACTGTCACGTAAAACAAAACTTTACACGGTTAAGTTTGGGTTAAACCCTTGCTATACTCTGATTTGGGTGCTTTTAAAGATAATTTCTTACTTCTGAAGATTGTATTATTTTTACACATGGCTCTTAAACAATGTATCCAAGTTAGCAGTGGTGTGTTTAATGTTTTTCCTGTTGTAGGGATAATGTTTATTAGTCAAAACTATCACATTAACTCAGGTAATTCATTATTGATAAATTAATAAGTTCTGCCTGAAATCATAATTCGGTGCTTGGTAACTTCTTACTTGATTTAATGAAAAAGAAAAGGACATTTATTTATCTACCGGTCAGAAAAATATGTTTTCCCAGGCTGTCCTGCAGGCAGAGAATGACAACCCCTTGTATGAAAAAAGAAGTGCAAATATTCCACACATGCTCATTCCCAACTCTCAAACATGACTGACATTTTATTTTAATATGAAATAAACATTTTCCCAAAGCACACTGCTGGCAAATCTGAGCCTCCATTTGAACAAGAGGCGCTGTGATCTCCATTACTTTAGATCTTTCATAGAATGTAAAAAATAACTCACATTCTATAACTAACAAGCCAAATCCCTATTTCTCTAAACATTTTGTCTAATATTGAGTCATTATTATTGAGTTAGTCATGACTTGTATTCTCATTGTGATTTTTCTTTTTTTGGTCACTGTTTGTACATTAATTGGTAAATAATAATGACATCAATTTATATTAGCGGAGTAGTAGACTACATCGGATTTTTTTGTACATTATAGGATGAAAAGGAGTCCAATAAGATATTTTTTCCTCAAGATTGGGCTTTCTTATTGTGTCTAGTGGTTATCATCAGAAACTAGGATTGACAGTAATTGTCCTTGGATTTTTTTTCACTTCGTCATTTGATGTTTGCAGCAACAGAAAACACAAAGGATGGGCAAGTGTTAGTTTATGGACTCACAAAGCAACAAATAACGAGTTGTATCGTTTTAGTTTGTAAAGTTATATTGGATGACATCTTATAGAGACAAGGCATAATAACCCACCCCCCTTTGACAGGTTCAACTACACCCACTTAAACAACTTTAAAGGGGATGGTTCCTACAGCTAGCAACAGTATGTTTACAAAGTGCTATGTAGGCCAGATTTAGTCCCTAACCATCAGCAATGTGAAGAAACGAATATACAATCTTTACAGATGATTTCTGAGCCAAAGAAATTAACTTGTGATGTGCATGTTATTTTGTTCTGGTAGCGATTAAATGAGCAGTGTTGAGATCTCAGGACTGCTATTAATTTGGTCCAGGAAGCAGTTCATGTGCATCATCCTGCGTTCTACTTAAACGGATACGGGAGCTTGTCGTTGCATGCATGTTAAGAAACAGAAAACCTAGGCTTATACATAGATGATCCTTTGTAAACATGTCTGCTTTTTTTTCTTTTCTTCCCTGAGAAAAAACAAACTTAAGCTTTTGGATTTTTGTCATGTGTAGTGGGAAAATGCTAGAATGTTGACAATACCCTTTCCTAGTCTCACCAATGTCTGAGTATTTGTACGGTGAGTATTTTTACTTTCAATATGTGGGTCTTAGGGCATTTTAATTTTTCTTGTTGTGGCTGGGCAACTTTGCCATCGAAGGGATCAGACCACTTTAGCCAGTGGCTTTACCAGAGGGTTGGTAGCCTCAATGCACAATGTTAACAGCTTCTTCATGTTTGGTCGATCCAAAAAATGAGGGACTGGCCTGTTCCAGTTTGTGGCAACCTTCTTTTTAAAAATATTTTCAGCTATTAATTATTAGCACATTTTCTATCATGGATCAATTCCTGGCTTTGTTGGGGATTCAACAATTTGTCATTGGACTGTTGTCCTGTTTTTGTTTTGCATGAAAGTTAAGTGGGTTATACCAAGATCTTCATCCGTTCTCATCTTGGCCTGTGGTCAGAATGTCACATGGGGTGGGTCAGTTGTGAATTTTCACTAAATATTTAAAGTACTTGATGATGACTAGTGATGTTGTTGCTGGCTAGTAATATAGACAATTGGACAAAGGGTTTTTCATGATAAGAACAATCCTGGGCGCCCGTCAAGAAGTAAACAATTAAAGAGGGTGGAGAACTCCTGTGGGTCTACTCAGGACGGTGCAGATGTTGAGCACTGGCCAAGGTTGATCCTTTTGGAGACTTTCCAACGCTCATAACTGAGCACAAGACAAAATGTTGCTGTAGATTTTCAGTCATCCGGCTTACATTAATTCTAAGAGCTTGGATAAAGGCAACTGGACCAACTTTGAAGAGGAATAAGGACTACCTCATCTGTGGTGTTATCACATATGTCCTTCAGGCCAAGAAAAAGCCTTGAAGCCTAATCAAGATCTTAAGACCCCTAAAAGGAACCCTTGGCCTTATGGTTCCCTTTTCAAATTACATTAGATGTTTTGCTCCCGTTCAGTTTCTGTTTACTGGCAGAAGGAGTACTGTGCAGTTTTCTGCCTTTTCATAGCTGAGGGGGAGGGGTTGACTGCATTCTTAGGTGGTGTGGAATGTGATCAAGACTCTGCTCTTGCCTATGGGGGAAGCAAAATTATGGTTGAATATTGAGTGAACCCACTTGATTTTGGTTTAGTTTAATTCAGCATTAATGATTTCGGAGTCTCTGAATTCTGTAGTTCATTTACAGTCAGATGTAGGATTTTTAGACGTAAGATTTAACTGTCCAATTTCTAATTAGAACATTTCTAATTTTAACAGAAAATGATCATTTGCATTTCCATAAATACATACTTTCCATAAATAAACTATTTAAGCTTTAAGTAATTTACTTTAATGGTTGATTTCGGTAGTAATTGACTGTAATGATCTCTGTTTAAATTTGATGAGGCTACTGCAACAGTTTTCTAAGATTAGCTGTCTGTGAATTAAGGTTTTCTCTTTGTTATTAAAGAAAAAAGACTGAAGAACAAATTAGTGGTGATTGAATATAACATTATTATTCAATTCAAGTTTTTTTATGTTGAGCATCTTAATATTTTTAAGGAAACTAAATTTCATCACAACCCATAGGTGCGTTAATTGTGGTTCACACCAGTGTTGTGTCAGGTCCAATAGTAATAGTTAGGCAATTTGAAGGGCCCAAACTCAAAGGACCCTAGATAATTTATTGCAATACAGTGAAAAAAGGTCACTAGCACCCTGGCTTGTAGGACATGTGTAAAAAAACTACAAATAGGCCACTGGCAAGCTATCTGAGGTGTACCCCGTCTCCTGCCCAATGTCGGCAAGGATAGGGTCCAGTCCCCTGCAACCATGCTAGGAATAAGCAAGAAAAAATGGATGGATAAGCTAATAGTTATTCCCTGCATGTTAAGTTCTTGAAGAACAGGTTTTATTTATATCATAGTCATTGAGCTTTAGTTCAAAGAATGTTCAGCAACTCTATATGAAGCTCTTAATAGGTCAAAGAGCCCCCGATCTTGTTCCTAGGGTTAAACTCGGATAGCTTTTTAGAAAAATCATTTCAGTTGTATTTGTAGTCTCAGTCCACATCCACTACTCATCATCATTGGTGGGTTTTGTAACATAGACTTGTAATGGACTTATGCAAAATTGTCTCCATTACAAGTCAGTGTAAAAGAAGTTTATAAAAGACCACACCCTGGCAAGCAACATTTGCCAGAATCAGTTTGAGGCCAAAAATTATGTTCAATATCTTCAATATCTATCGCTTTATAACTGACCAGGTTATGTTCTGGAATGTCAGACTTAGTTGGATTGTACCATGTTACTCAGCATTGAAGGTCATCAACATAACCTATTTGGGCTCTGTCCCTGAGCTTCCTTGGGATTTTCGTGACTCTACGAGTGCAGAATCCACCAAACGGTGATCAGTTAGCTGCTTATCTCCATCCACTTGTCCAAAAGATGAAAGTATATAAAGAGTCATTGATCTTTGACTTAATTGGAACAATGAAAACGCAGTTTCACTGTTGCCACCCACAAGAACACCAATGTTTGCTTGTGTAGGGTAATTTTTTTGAGCAAAGCAGCATTTCATGTGAACATGGTGTGCAAATGAAACGGTTCTGAATAATAGTGTTCAGGGTTTCAGGGTTTAGGGCGGCTGTCTCAGTGGTAAGAGCAGTTGCCTGAAAATGGGTGAGTCGGTTGCCTGTAAATGCAGTCTTAAATGAGACACAATGTTCTATATCCTGTTTGTGTCCCAAGACCGGATCAATGCAAGGGTTGCCTCAGGAAGGATATCCAAAACTCCTACATCACATGTCGACATAGTTTCATGATTTAGAAAACAGTTCTTTGCAGTATTACATTGTCCTTCTTGTTTTTCTTTAGCTTTCTCATTTTGGTGGCCGCATCATTGTAAATTTGGATAACAATCTTTAAAATAAAATCTGCTATGTTTGGACCAGTGGTAACACATATGTAGTTGTTGACTTTCTAAATGTTTTATAAGTAATTCTAATGATGAAAATGTTCTTCTCTTTTACAGATACCCAAGATTTGAGATTCAGGTACGACCAGACATTTTACAATCAGGTACAGAACAATTTATGAAGAAAAGCAGTTGGGGATGGGGGTAGCCGTTTTAGATTTTGTTTCAGAAACAAAGCATCTGAAATTAATCACAATGTAAGATGTTATAATTTAAGAGAAAAGACTCACCAAAGCCTGTGTAATAGAGGAATTCAGAGGCTTTCCTCATGAGATACCTATATCTTCAAGACCTTGATGGGCACGTTATTTAGCAATTGGTTTCACATTGTTACAAGATTACTGTCGACTTGGTTAGAGTTGTGTTTTCACAGCACAGTTGTTACACATGATCTGCCCAACTTAAAGCTCGTTTTTCACTAAATTGAAAGGTGTAAATGCTATTTTACTAGTAAATCAACATCCTTAATCTGAAGATGGTCAGTGATTGTTCTTTGGTTTTCAGTCTATGTGGCACTTCTTTGTGGATTTTCCTGTGGGAATTTGGAGCTCCACAGTGCATTTTGCTTAAATAAACCTGACTTTTGACAGTTTTGGGTGAATACAAAAGGGTTGCTTTAACTGGCTCATACCTACTTTACCATTAGAGATGAGGCCAAGAGATTAGTGTCATAAGTGAACGACATAAGCTAGAGAAACTATTTTCTGGGGATCATTTTTTCTTTTGTTTTGAACAGGGAAAATAGCAAATGAAGAAGAACATAACCATTGGGGTTCTGGATGCTGATGGACTCTGGATCCTAAGCATGCCAATCCTTACTGTCTGACAGAAAGTGATTGATCCACTTGCAAGAGTATGGTACATTCAGCTGAAAAGCTTGATCAAATGCAGCACCAATATGCTTGTGTAAAGATGGGGTGATGTCCTCAAGGCGGATGATGTATAACATCTTTGGATTTAAGGTGCTCACAATGAAAGTCCCATTGGCTCTGGACACGAACTGTAGGGGGACCCAATAGTGGGACAATGAATGTTCGGACAAGTCAGCCAAATGATGTAATCACGACAGAGGCCATGGCAACTGAGCTGCTATCCTTAAGTTTTATCTCTACTGCCTTTTTGGAAATATGAAAATAGTGTATTTGAGTCAGTCTTATAAGTGATGCTTCTCCCGTTAATATGTTTTAAAATGGCTTAAAAAACTGGAGACACCTTGTCTGCAAAGTATATCTGGATGTATGGGTACAATGCGAATTTCAAGCAGATTTTGCACCTTATAGGTAACAACTTCTTACTCTTAAGGTTCCTTCTCAAATTTACACATTCCAGAGGTTTGTAAGCCATTTATGTAAACGCATACTCCTTGGTCCCATTTTGCCTTTTGCTACTGCTTTTTCCTAAGTCCGCCTTTCTAAAGTTGCATGGGTAGACTTAGACTTGACTTGACTTTATTTATCCCTTGGGATGACTCCTTCACAGAAATTCAGGACTGAGAATAGTTGTTGATATTTCAGAGGTTCTTGATTGAGATTACCTTTGTTGGCATGTGTGGTTTGAGTAGAGATGGACTTTTCAGCGTAAATGCTCAGATATTACAGGAATGCCACACGTGTAAATGATGGAATCAACAAGGGGACACACTTGATCACTTGGGATGAAAGTTTCTGCTATATTTGTAGGATGTAGGCTAGAGCTCTTTGATACAGTATATATGGGCTTAGAGGAAGTTTAGCTTTTTAAAATGTATTGTAAAATCGTGACAGATAAAGTGACCATGACTGGATCATAGAGACCCTGATTCAAGCGCAGGTAATTGACTAGATTAATGCATCCAAACATCAGAAGTAAATTCATACATTATCTCCCTAAATATTCCATCTTAAGCATTGATTTCTGTGAACATGGAAAACCAAAGTAACAATCAAACGCAGAGACAGCCATGATGTATGGTTAATAAAATACATTTCTGGCTTAGTCCACTCCATGCACATTATAATATACAGCCTTGTTCGGTGTATGATTAGTGAACAAGGCTGTACCCTATGTTGGAATGTATAAACTATAAGGAGTTATGCTAATTCAAAAGGTTTGGAGTGGAACAGTGTCGGGAAGTAACTGTCAAATCGTAGAGGTCAACACTGTCTGAAGACATGTTTCTGTGCAAAACAAGATGAAGACCTTGTTTTTCAAGATTAATTATCTAAGTGTAGCTCATCAGTTTGTTACTCGCCGAACACATGCAGTAATTTCCACGGAAATTAAATGTACAAAGCTCAGGGAACTTGGGTTTTAATTCCATAGATAGGAGACAAATAAAGTTAGCTGGAATGTCTGAAAGAGACTCAATTCCTGCAACAGAAAACACCCAAATTAAAAAATTGTGAAAAAAGTGAGCAAATTGAAACATGGAGGCTGCCGCATGTTGTGCCATTTTAAAGAGAATAAGCAGACAGGACAGAATAGTCATTTTTGGACATTTGCTGTTTTTTTTCAGGCACTTCATTGTGGAATCTCTATTGTCCACCAAAAGGTTGGTGCTATTTCAGTCCCGATTTTGTTTCCCTCAAACAAAATGCTTGGTTGCTGAAATGATTTGAAAGTTGTTGCTATCAGAACTGCCTCGGCTGAGACGGGGGAGAAGGAAAAAAGTGGTTCCAGTGAGGCAGTTATTTATTTTCCTCACAAGGCCCTATTAGCTCAATTACCAGCTAACCACTGAAGAAACCTTGTGAATTTTGCGATTAAGGTTACTGTTCTTCTTAGTTTGATCCCACAGTTCTTGGGTGAGTTCTTGAATTTGGAAAGGAATAATTATGGATACTTAGGCAGGATACATTTGTCTGCCCAGACCATTTAATTAGCCTAAAAGGAACTCGTAGGTTTTACATGTAGAATCTCCGGTATGTTGGAAAGAGAATTTCTGAATAACTCTAAGATATTTTAATGTAGTCACAATTAGATGTACCTTCTCAGAGATTGTTAATTAAATGTTGTTAGTTAATAAATATTTGTTTCAAATTAAACACACAGGAATTGTATATACTAAGTAATGACGATGATTTATACTCATTTTTATACAGGTTCCAAATCAGATGTAACTCAGAGCATTCCAGATTGTGCTTGTATGTCCAACAAAAGGTGAGGATTTTTAAAATAACCTTTTATATGGTAAAAATTGCTTGGAATGTCTCTTGCGTAATTTGCTTTTGTGTATTTTCAGGAGTGGGTACAGCAGCCCTCAATTTCCAGTCCATCCAGAGAATGGCTCATGGATGGGATTCATATTTCCATAATCTCACACCTCTCTCATCGGATTCTGGGACTCTGAGGACGTCAGAGTCCGAGGGAAACATTTCCCAACATTCAGAAAACGTAATTGGACATAATGTTTTCTCAGGCACAGCAGCTTTACAAGAAGCCCCCTTACCAAACTCAGACTTCAACACTAACTATTGCACAAATCCTAGTCTTGAAAATTCCAATTCAGACTGTGTTTATCAAAGGTATTGCAGTGAAGTACAATGGCAAGCTGATGGAGAACAGCTGGAAAAGGATTATTTGCAACGATGTGGAAATGGGGATTTCCCAGACTTTGCCACAGAGGGATTACCAACATCTGAATCGTTTCCTTCATCTTTTGCACCAGATTTACATGGACTTAAGCAGGACTGTGAAATTCTAGCTTCATCGTGTCTCGAGAACTACTCTGATGTCAGCAGCTGTTCGGATACAGATGTTACTGAAACACGACCTTCGTGTAAATTCATGGAAAAGGATTCATTTCCAAAACAGAAGACTGAAATTTTTTCGAAAGACAGTTCATCAGAGAGCTTTTTTACTGAGACTGGAAATATAACTTTCCTTACTGAAAGCCTGTGTGCTAATATTTCAGAGACTAATGTTTTGCCATCAAATGTGAAAGATGGAGAACACTTGGAAGGAAAAGTTTCATGTGCACAAGAAATTTTTGTAGGTCCAGAAAATACCATCAAAAACAACAAACAACGCAGTCCATCCTCTACTACCTCTTCGACAGTGGCAACTACAGAAGGTGAGAGTGCATTTGATGGGTATGACCATGAAGGTTTTCAGGAAAAGGGAAAAAAGGACAATGTGGAGAGAAATCTTAAAGTTTGTTCATATTCAGACCTCTCATTGCCAGAGGACATGACTGGAGATGGAAATTTTCTGAATCCGGTTGACAAGGAGGAACAGAGCCAGATCATGCAAACTTCTCCAGATCTGTTTAACAGTGAGCAACAACATCTGGATGAAAAGCCTTTAATGGAAAATAAGAATGGAAGTGAGGAATTCAATCTAGACTCAACCTATGGTCTAGAAAGAAATAGTACTGATAATGCGTTGGACAAATGCAATGTAGTAAGAAAAGCTGGATCTTCAGTTGAAAACAAAATTACAAATGACAATGAGTATTTAATTGCCAATTCCACCGTTTATGGAGTTCAACATTTTGAAACTGAATGTCAAGTGAAAGAAATTCAGAACAACACCCCGCTGTCTGCTGATCCACCAGCCTGCAAGGAGCAGCAGTCTTTTCAAAGTTTTGTCCAGGAAAGTTGTCATAAAAGCCTTGGTGAGACGAGTGATGAGGATTTAAGTATTGCCAATGTTGATAAAGGAATCAAGAAAGATGGATCATGTCAGTCATCTACAACTTTTACTCCGGCTGTAAATTGTAGTGGTTCATGTGACATTCAAGCCAGTAGTCAGGACAAGCAAGGCTTTGCTCGTCTTGTAGAACCTGGCTTACAGTTGAGTAGAGGTGCACATACAAATTCACAAGAGGTTCAGAAATTACCAAGGGAAGCAAACATAACAGAACCTTCCAAAGATGCCGATAGTAATGGTACTAAAAATACAAATGCTGAGAATTCTGCAATTGAAAACGGTCCTGATGCTGCTATTCATGTTCATTTCTGCTCACAGGAAAATGGGTTGAGCACAGATATTCTTCCCAGTTTAGAAATCGAAGTAGGCCTGTCAGAGAAGTTTCCCCCAGCTTTCACTCCAGGCCCACATTATAGTGCTCCCAGTGTCACAAATGACAATCTTTCTATTGATATTGATGACAAGAACACTAAAGGGGTTGACTGTCCTGATTCCTGCTTGCAACCAAATAGTTTAGGTACAAGCATAAATCCCTATCAAGAAATGGAAACAAATCTATTGGAGAGGAAAACTCTCACTGTCTCTCCAAGTCCAGATAATTGTGGACCCAGAGTCACAGGTCTTGACCATGATGCAAAAGGAAAAAATCGTCAAAGTGTGGAAACTAAACCCAAATCTTCTTTACAATCTGATGGCTCAAACACAGACTTGCATCCATGTATTGCCGACCAACACGAAACTCAATCTGAGAGTATAACATTTCCAACCAATCTCGAATTTAATGGTCAAGCTGTGAAAACCAACACAAATTGTTGTGCTGAAGAATGGATGGATGCAGAAAAGAAAATGACTATCTCCAGACCAGATCAGCTCCATTCAGTAAATAAAGGTCCCAAGGTACAAAAAGCACAGAATTCTGTCGAAAGTATTTCTGAAAATGAGGATTCAAACACCTTTAAAGAGGACCAATCAATGCCTGACCCGCTGTTTGGTGAACCTCTGTCAAGAGAGGACTCTTCTTGTGACTCTGATGAAATAGACATTGACCCATCTGAACTTGGGAAAACAACTGTGAAAGAACCTGTTGAGGAATCGGCACTTCATCTCAAGTCCTCTTTACAAATGAGAAACTTGCTTCACCCAGTTGTGATACTAAACACCTCTGTGTCAACAGATGGAATGAACAACTCCTACCATTGCACAGTTTGTCAACACACCACCCATAAAGTCGATGATTTTATTGAGCACCACCATTGCTGCCATCCAATGCTTAGTTTTAAGTATTGCCAGATTTGCAGTGTCTACCTGATAAACAATGAAAATGGCAAAAAGCATTTGTGTTCCGTGAACAAAGAAACTCCTCGACTCTCTACCAGTTCCATATCGAGAAAGAAAGGAAAATTCATGGGTCGCCATAATTGCAGTAAATGTGGACTCATATTTTCAAAACTAATTCATTACATCCAGCATATGAGGTCTCACACTGGGAAAACACCATATAAATGTAATGGGTGTGACTTATATTTTGCACAATCTAGTTCCCTGCGAAGACACAAGAGCGTACCTGGAAGATGCAAGTTGTCCCAACTGCCAGTTAGAAATTGTGATGCCAATATCAGTGAAAGTAAAACCTCACCACAAAAAGATGTGCCACAAAACATTTTCAATCACAGCATGAAGAAATGTTATGTTCGGCTTGTTGACATTTCCAGGAGGAACCTGTGTCACATATGTGGTAAAAGTTTTGCATCGGCAGAGAAAACCAAAAAGCACATTTACAGTGTGCACCAGAAAAAGAAATCATCAGCTGATCAGTCTGCCACAAATGACACTGGTGGGGATACTTCAGAAAGGAATAATAAGACCACAGAAAAATATAAATGTCCTCTTTGTCCACGACTTTTCAAGTACTCTTACAACAGAGCTCGGCATTTGCGTGACTGTGTCAGAAACGCAATCTATGGTGGCAAGGAAAAAGTTGAACACAAGTACGTGTGTCCCTTATGCAAAGCTGCCTTCACATTGGCATCCAACAGATATAGACACATTAAAAGTATTTGCCTAAAAGAAAGTCTTAATCGACTTGCAAAAGAAAGGGCAAACTTATGGAAAGACACTGAGAAGCAAAAAATTAATGAAAACGTGCAAGAGGCCCAGTCAACCGAAAATGAGCAGAATGCTGTGCAAAAGGAACATGTTCTGAAAGAGAAAAGGAAAGAGCATGAACCAAAAAAGAAAGCACTCCAAGCTTCTTCTCTTGGAAAACCCATTCCGCGTTACAAGTGCTATTACTGTCCGGCACTTTTTTGTCATCCCTCTGGAAAGTATAGACATATGAAAAAGCATGACTTGACCAAACTCACAGGGGAAAAGTTCAAATATAGGAATTCAGTTTTATCTTTCGGGTCTAAACCACAGACGGAAAGTAGTACAAAAACTGAAGAGACCACTGAGCAATTGCAAACCGCTGCAGAAAGCAAATGTCCTGAACTGAGCTGTCGTTTTTGCGGAAAGTCTTTCACCGCGTTGTCATCTCGGACGAGGCATGAGCAGAATCATCGTGGCGAAAGACCATACCGCTGTCTAGAATGCGGTAAAGGATTCAAGAAACATGCCCATCTGATCGGCCATAGAATTGTTCATCAGAAAAAGGTACAATGCACAGTCTGCAAAGATATTTTCCCAACTGTTGGAGAACTGCTCCAGCATAGGCGCTCCCATCTGAAAAGGGGAATGCTTCAGTGTCCAGACTGTCAAGCACAATTCCAGTATCCTGCACACCTACTCAGACATCTGAAGACCCATTCAAATAAAAACAAGAAGGCACGTGAGCCTAAGGAGACTGCAATAAGCTTACAGCAGTCCTCAGAAACTGTTAAAGAGCAGAACCAAAAGCAGGTGGAGTGTACCTTATGCAAAGAAGTGTTTGATGATCTCCATATACTGAGAAAACACTGTCTTACGCACATATCGGGTTCCTCTTTAAACGAGTGTCCATTTTGCAAGGTTAGTTTCAATGATCGCCGCTATTTGCTGCGTCATATGGACAAACATACTGGAGACAAACCTTTATCTTGTACCAACTGTGGAAAACGGTTTTATCGATCTGTGTTTCTCAGACTTCACTCTCAGAAATGTTTTCCCCCACAAACCAGTCATTCCGTCAAAATAGAGCCCAACAATAAGGCAAATCCCAAACCCCTTTCATGCCACATTTGTCCAAGGCAATTTTGTAAAAAGGATCGTTGGCAAAACCATATTATTGGCCACAGGAAAAATACTCTACTTCTGTGTTCAGGATGTGGGCAGTACTTTGGACAGAATAAAATAGGTCAACATAAACTCGGGTGCAGCAAAGTTACTGAGTCCCTCAATGAGGATACATCAACTACTTGCAATTTAAAGAAAAGCCCTTTAAAAGCAAGTCAAATTGAAAATAAAAGGCCTTTAAAGTCCAGGCCAACTGTGGTGCTCAAGTTTAAATGCCATTACTGTCCACAGAGGTTCAGGTACCGATCATTATACTTGAGACATCTTGTTTCACATACTGGAGTGCAACCATATGCATGTATGCGCTGTGGAAACAGATTTGGAAGTCAGACAATGTGTTTGCAGCATGAAGCATTCTGTGATGGTGTGCCCAAACAGGGACAGCCGCAAGTCAAATGTCATGCTGCTGCAGAGATGGACTCCCTTAGAGAGGCGACCCAAAACCCCCAACCTCAGTGCGAATCTGAATTCAAATGTAAATTCTGCACCAAGACTTTCTTGAAAGCACGAAACCTGAGATGTCACATTTTGACACACAATGAAGTGAAGCCATATCGCTGTAAAGCCTGTGACAGCTGCTTTTCAAGGTATGATCATCTGAAAGTGCATCAGGCTCGCTGCAAAGCCAAAAAGAAACGACTGGAGGTCAGGATCCCCAAAATAAGTTTAGATGATGTCGGCAAAGGTTGGCAAAGTAAGTTCGGCATAAAGCCCAACGAAAACCAAGAGACATTTAACTGTGAAGTCTGCTTGAGGAGCTTCCCATCAAAGTCCAAACTTTCCAGACACTTCACAATGTTCCATGCAACAAAGCCATTCCCGTGCACACGATGTAGCGCATCCTTCTCTCATGAGAAAACTCTGAAACAGCACAAGAGGATGAGAAAATGCAGAAAACCCCGCAATCAAACAAATGCTTCTCTACCACTGGGAATTAATCAGCCTTCAGAAAACGTGACCAGAACAATTGATGGAATGAGGAGTCAAATCCTAGTGAGTATCCAACCCCTTTTAAACAAAAAGTTTAAGTATTTCTGTGGCTATTGCCCCCGTGCTTTTAAAAACAGCTGGCAGTTAGGTATGCACACTCGTTTACACACAGGAGAGAAGCCATATCCCTGTGAGTATTGCGGAGAAAGATTTATGAGGAAAGATTATGTGAATCGCCATTATATAAAGTGCACCAAGAAACAACAGAACAATCAAGTTCTCTGTGACAGATGTGGAGGATTCTTCTCGAAAACCAACCTTGAAAATCACAAAAAAACTTGCACTCTAAGACAAGGCTCATCAAGTGTTTCCAAAAGCCAGCAGCCAACTGTTTCAAGCCCACCAAAAGGGTTTTCATGTGCATACTGTAATTCAAGATTTTTGCTTTTTTCACAGCTCCAAGAGCATTTTTTGAGCACACACAAGATGGAAACAGTTAATCCGCAAGTGTCAAGTGCTCCCTTACAACAGCTTCTGTTAAATATACCAAACATAAAAGAAGAGCCTATGGATGAGAGTTGTGAAGAGAGGCTGAATGATCATAACTTAGTCCGTAAACAAGACATACCTCACAACAGTGGATCCACGGACCAGCTTGTCTGCCAGAAGTGTAATATGTCCTTTACTAACAAAGCTGGACTAGTTGGCCATCAGCGTGTTCATGCGACAGAACTTCCCTTCAATTGTAAAATATGTAAGAGGGGTTTTTGGAATAAGACTGTACTCCGCAATCACTATCGGAAATGTAGACTTGACGCAACCCAACGGTTGGAAGTTCCTTTGAAAGCAAAGATTGATTTTGCTCTGAATGACTCCAAGGTTGTGATCAAAGAAGAGCCAGAGACAACTTCCACTGGGGTTTTGCAGACAAACGTCTATAATGATGACTCAAAAGTTGAATCCCAGCAAAGCTCTGAAGAACAAAAGAGCTCAAATAAAGAGAAGAAAACCGTTCAATACCAATGCTCTGAATGTGACAAAAGCTTCACAGATGGCTTGATGCTAATTAGCCACCTTGAAGACCATGGAAGAGAGGAGCAAGAAAGAAAGCGTAACACATGCACACAATGTGGGCGAGTGTGTTCTAGTCAAGCAAACCTTGAGAAACACCTTAAGTTACATGGAATTAGCCCAAAATACCCTTGCAGTGACTGCTCCAAAGTGTTTCCGACAATATCTGATCTCGACAAACACAGGACATTGCACAACACACATAAACCATTTTCTTGCAAACTGTGCAAGCAGAGTTTTTTTTCAAGACCGTCATTATGCGACCATTTCAGTTCAGATCATGCAGATGATGTATATTATTGTCACTTCTGCAGCAAAGTCTATGCAGTGAAAAAATCTCTGGCTAGACATTACAAAAGATGGCATCCAAATGAATGGAAGGATATTGGCAGTGCAGCGCTGAGGAAGGGCAGCAGTGACCAACTATCTAGCAGCCATGTGAGTACGACTGGAGAAAGTGATGAAGATGAAATTAATGGCAGTGACAGCAACTCAGACTCTGCACCTTATTTCCCATGCCATGTGTGCGGCAAGACGTTCTCAACGTCAGAAAGCCTCGAGGATCATCAGTTGTGTCATCTCGGTGAAAAGCCGCACGAGTGTGCAGAATGTGGTAAATGTTTTTTCCAGGCAACCCAGTTGCAGCAGCACCAACGAATGCACAAGTCCGAATATCAGTGTCAAACGTGCGGTAGGGGATTTGTCACGCTCTTTGCTCTTCGGAATCACAAGCATTCGCATGGCAAGAATCGTCCTCACCGTTGTTCCAAGTGTCTCCTCAGTTTTACAGGACCCACACAACTAGCAGAACATATGTCCACCCACCGTGAGGAGAGCTTCCCATGTGATATGTGCAGTCGGGTGTTTCAGTCCAAGAGTACTCGAGCTGAGCACCGGAAAAGTCACTCCAAGGCAGAGGACTACCCCTCAGCCTCCATATCAAGAGGAAACAATGGACCATCTGTGAGCTCAAGTTTTTACTTGACAGATTTTAAATATCGCTGTGGTATTTGTAGAGAGCGTTTCAGAGACCCAGAGGAGCTCTCTGAACATGGTTGCATGCAAGCCAAAGAGCGACCATACTCTTGTACAGACTGTAATAAACACTTTCTGCATCCATCTCATTTGAAAAAGCACCAGACCACCCATCAACCGTTATGGTTGATGGGTGACTGCGAGTACCCATGCAGTCAGTGCAACAGCAGATTTCTATCCTCCGCGCAGTTCCTCTGTCACCTCAAGAGCCATGTTGATACTGTAGCAGAAGCGAAGGGTGAAGAGCCTTCAAACTGTCTCATCTGTCCCATTTGCCATCAATGGTTTGCCAGTGCCACTCAGCTGATTCATCATTTTTCCACACATCCGGATGCTTCTCCTAAACATGGAAAAAAAAAACTTAACTCCTCAGAAAGTCAGGTCAAACAGCATAAGGAAAGTCTGAAGAAACCAGCTGAATATGAATGCAGAGAGTGTGGTGAAAGCTTTTCGGGGGTTGATTTTTTGCGTCGTCACCGCTGTTCTAATCAAAACCATTGTGTAAAGAAAAGTAAACATGTTAATCGATCAGCTGCATGCCCTTCTCAGGTCACTGGAGAGGAGGAAGAGATTGATGTTACAGGAGAGGACTTGTTCAAGTGTCCTGAGTGCTCAAAACAGTTTTCCTCCAAGAGTGGTCTTTTGGAGCATCAAAACAAGCACCATATGGATGAGAAGCGGTTCAAATGTGAGCACTGTGAAAAACAATTTTCTAAGATGCGATACCTTAGAAAGCATGAGAGTAGGCATAGGCTGAAAGAGAGTGATGACACTGTCGTTGATGGAGTGAAGACCAGGTTCAAATGTGCCCAGTGTCACGCCAAATTCAATACAGCCCAAGAATTGTCTTTCCACATGACAATACATGCTGGAGAGTACCGTTGTGACATGTGTTACAAGTCATTCAGTCAGCGGTCTCTTTTAAAGCATCACCAAGAGAGCCATGTTGGGGAGGTTGTCTATGAATGCACAGAATGTGAAAAGGCATTTGCTTTTCCTCATTTACTGGAGGAACATCAACAGACGCATAACAAGACCTCTCACTAATGGTTCCAGCATATCTGCCCTTCCATTATAGTCAAGGATATTTGAAATCTCTTTATGCCTTATGTCTGGCTGTGTACTTCCTCTTGTACTCAAAAGGTAGATCTTTGTTTTGTCCTAGCTGCAAATGTTAAAAGTGCTTGCCTGCTGACACTGACAGATCAGCAGTCCTGAGTTTTTTTGTGTATAGTCATGATCTAATATAGTCATTTGTATACAGTAAATTAGACTTAGTTTCTGGGAAGTGTTTGTAAATCTCTGATAAAAGTGGTAGGACAAACAAAGCTGGGAGTGATGACGTTTTGTTTGATATATTTTGAAATACTATTAATTTTGTTGAAAATATGTAGACTACTCTGATAATTTTAATCCATTGAAATTTTCTATGGTATGGCTATTCCTGTATCATATGTAATTTTGTAATTTTCTGTTCATTTAGTGTTTTACCAATGGTTACTTTTTTTTGTTTTTGGGGAATGTATAACATACCTTCTAAAACATTGAGAATATGCTCTATTGAAATGTTCTTTTCTTCATCCGAGGATGTTAACAGTTTTTTATATAAATATGTTGTTGCGTTCAGTCAAGGAGTAAAGTTAAATTTTAAACAATGTATAAGTATTGTATTTGTTTTTACTCTACTCTAAACCATTTTATAAATTGTAACTAATGATGTGCGGGTTTGTTTAACAAACATTGATTTATATTGACTGAGAGCAGCAAGCTTTAACAGTTTGCATACCAAAATCTGAGCAAACATGATAGGACTGCTTAAAGCCTGATTGCATTTGTCAGGATAACTGAGGATTCATGTCTCACCAATCATCTCAAAAGGGAAAGTATAAAAGCAGCTTGCAAGCTGATGCCAGCAGTGTGCTGAGCGTGAAGACAAAAAATGCTGTTACATTGAGGCGACTTGAGAACACAGTTGCAGGTTAACGAATAGATACACCCTGACCTATGGTTCTTTTAAAAATAAGCACAAACTATACAGTTGGAAAATTATGTTAAAACAGTGATTTGATAAATCATTAATTGGAACCCATAACCAAAGTATAATATAAAACATTTTTAAAAAACTGATTCTGCCGACCACATCTCAAACTGGCTACGAGGACTCCCAAATGCTCAGGAGGTTGCTCTCAGCCTGTTGTCATGACAATGGATGCAGCTCTCCTGGAATATGAAACGGGGGGCATAACGTCTATGTTCTCAAACTCTAAAAAAGGTGTTTTTGATATGAATTTGAAGGGTTCACCTAGCCTGTGATGGACTTGCGACCTGTCCAGCGTGTACCCCGCCTCTCGCCCAATGTCAGCTGGAATAGACTCCAGCACCCACCGTGATCCGGACAGGAATAAGTATTGAAGAAAAAGGTGAATGGACGTGTTCTCGCAGCTGAATTAGTACGCTTTCTGTACCACTATTTGCTTGGAATATGAAATTAATTGTGGGGTACATGTGTGACATCCAGTGTGTATCCCATCTCTCGCACAATGTCACCTGGGAAAGGCTCCAGTTCCCCAGCGAACCCACTGGGAAAAAGCAGTATAGATAATGAATGGACGGATAGTCACCAGGTCACGTATTTTTACTTGACTGCTCCTTTGGGTAGGAAAACCGTGCAGCGGACCAGTTTATATTGTTAATGGTCAGAGTGTACTATCAGCTTGAATTAGCAAAAGATTCAATGGGCCGAATTAATTTTTCATAGTCTTGTCATGAATTGCCCCGATTATTTTTTTTTCTATCTTAGTGATCCAGTGTTCTTTTCATCGTATTTGGTGGTGGAACATATTGACCTGCCAGCCCTTTTTTTAGCTACTACCTTTAAATAAATTTGGACATCAGTCAATGAATCTACCAAATTACTGACCTGCCTGTCCAAATAGAAATGGATCCAGTCTGCTCCCTAATCAAGTCTATAAGCAGTGGTGGGAAGTAACGAAGTACAAGTACTTCGTTACTGTACTTAAGTACAATTTCCGTGTATCTGTACTTTACTTAAGTAGATTTAATAATGGATACTTTCGACTTTTACTCCACTACATTTAACAGTAAGTATCTGGACTTTCTACTTCACTACATTTCTATACAGCGTTTCGTTACTCGTTACATCCAAGACGCATTTCGTTTCTTTTTATTTGTTCGTTAGTTTGAAAGTAACCAATGGCGAGAGCAGAATCAGTCCGCTGAACCAATCCAAAGCGGGATATAACCATTAGGCCCTCCCTCAAGAAGAGCAGCACAGTACGCAGGACCTGCCGAATCATTAACTCCCAGAATGGAGTCCAAGGATAGTCATCCTCCAGAAGACCTGCCCCACCCATGGCCGTATTTAAAAAAGTTTTATGTAATCTTAGCAAGCTTTTTGTTGAACTCGTCTGCAGTAAATAAATACGATTACTGTATATTGTTATAAGCTAGCGTGAACTTGCAAGTAACAGTGATTACTGTGGTCGTGATCACTTCTCCAGCCATGAATGTTACATATAAGTTGACGCTAAACTCCTTCACGTCCTGGTTATTAAATAATGTTAGCCCCATTAAAATAATCTCCATGTAACAGTTACAGTCATATTCAATAAATTAGAAGGTCATCCCTGGAATTCTCATGCATAGAATAAAATATCTAAATCTAAACTGTCACAGGGGGTAAACACAATAAAAACATGCTTTATCTGCAGCATTGCTCATTAAAATGGTACATTACTGATTTATTAAAACTAAATACGATAGGTACACTTAATGACATTATATAAGCCGTTAGGTATTATGGTTGGCAAGTACTTTTACTTTTAATACTTTAAAAGCTTTCACTTTCTTACTTTTACTTGAGTAAATTTTTGTCTGTGTATTTGTACTTTTACTTAAGTACATTGTATGAGTACTTTCTCCACCACTGTCTATAAGTCAAGTCTTTCTGCACACAGAGGTTCTGACTGGGGCCCTTTTATCTGACTAAGAGTCCTGATCATGTTTTGAATTGGGTTATATGGATAATGAAGGATTCTTCTCTCAGTCTTAACCAAGTAACATTATTGTTAACTCTACATCTCATTTCCTCTGAATCCAAGCCAAGTTCCCAGGGGCTGAGAGACTGGCTGTGTTCAGCATCTGGGATCCCAGACATCTTTCCTCATTCATTTGCCATCCGAGCTTCATTTAAGTCCTGACTCAGAAAAGAAAAAAAACGCTAAACCTCCTTTTTTTAGCAGCTCATGGCAGCCAGTCTGAACCGCTGGTCAATCTGAGTGTGGTTACATTCTCACCTGTTGATTGTCTCATTGTGTGACAAGGCTGAGTCGCAGGGTCAAAGGTCTGAATGACAAAGAAATTTGCCTGGTGGGGGAACAAAACAGCATTGTAAGTGTAGGGAATGTGATACCTGAGAGTTCCTCTATTCAAAGTTCGATTTTTTTTCTATCTGTCCTCTTAGTCCAGAAGGTTTACATTAATGTCCTCAAACAAATTGTTCCTTATCATTGAAATGGGGCTCCAGCCTGAAGTGCTGGCTCTCCTGTGCTGTGCTTATGGGGCTGTTGCTTAATCTCTCCAGCTGAATGAGTGCACCACTGTTTTCTCACCTGTATATTGTCTTCACGAGAGAAGGACAATGTGCAGGTGAGAATGATTAACGATTCTCAGATTGGCCAGGGTTTCTGGCTGTAACGACTCTTCTAGATGATACTCCCCAGCATATGGTTAGATCTGAAGAAGAGGTGAAACGTCTTCCGGATCCAGGAGACAGTCAAACTGCCTTTATCCAAGCTCTCAGATGGATGGAATGTTGTGTCAAATGTAAATAGATAGAATGTTGTGATTTTTAGATCTCAAACATACTTGCTTGACTGTGTAGTATCTATAATCCAATTTCAGGAAGGAGCTGGGCTTTTTAGTCCTCAGACCAAAGCTTCCAGTTGTTAAAAGTGTCCTTAACTTGTTGGAATCTAAGTTAGGAACATTATGTCTTAGATTGAGGCAGAAAAACTCATAGATGCATTTATTACTTCAAGGTTGCTTCTGCAAGTCTTTATTATTGAGCCCTCCAAAAAATCTCTGAAAAACCTCCAGTTGATCCAGAATGTTGCAACCACAGACAATTAAACAGATATATTTTTCCAGTTTTAGCTTGTCTTTATCAGTCCCCTATTTTTATCCTAATATATGAAGCTATGAATGACCAAGGTCCATAATTTCTTAGAGCACTTCACTCTTAGAGTGCAGGTGTACTTATTTCTAGAGTTTCTAAAAGCAGAGTAGGAGGCATAGCCTTACTTTACCAAGCCTCTCTTCTGATGGAAACAGCTACCAATATTTGTCAAGGACGCAGACACACTCTCTACCTTTAGGCTTAGGGTTAAAACTTTCCTTTTTCATAATGATTATAGTTAGAGATGACTCAAGTAACCCTGAAATTTCCCATAATTATACTGCAAAGGAAGGGGGACCTCCAATGATGAACTTCCAAATCTGGTGCCTTCTTTTTGCTTTGTCTTCATGTACATGAGGTGTTACGGCGATGAACTCGTGTTTCTCTATCTCTTCAGGTATCCTGAGCTAACAGTGCGTTGTTTTAGGCTCATATTTCCTGTCATCAAATTCTAGCAATAAAAAAATAAATCATACATACATCTAACAATAAAAAAATACATATATATTCAATAATCATTCCCCAAGTGACCTGTCCTTGAAACAGTGGTCCCCTAAATGTAGATCTCATATTTTCCTCAAAAAGAAACAAGAAACAATGGGCTGAAACCGTAACAGCAGAAACTACATTTTGGAGGCCTGGCTGTGTCTGTGCAGAGTGTTTGGGGAGGCTTGATTGCAGAAGTGGATGCAGCTGGTGGTTCTCTGCTCAGGCTGTAGGGCACCATCGCTATTCCTGCAATCCAGTGAGCGCCAGCACACAAACACACAGGGGAGGAAAGGCTGCAGGTTAGCGCAGAGGTAGGATACGGAGCAAGGGAGGGAGGGAGCAACTGCCCGCACTTCGCCTTTCTCTTCTGAGGCCAGTAAAATTTAGGTTACGTATATTTTCTCATCGGAGGCAGTTGCAGACAAATGTTTTATTGCTGTATGTAACCACGTAGCAATGTAAACATGATCTGAATCAACATATTACTATCAAACACAGGATAGAAAAAATAACTTAAAATGTAGATAAATTCAAATGTTTATAGTATCAATAACCACATAATCACTATCACCTGAACATGGTGATGGATTCAACAGATTCAAACAAGGCCACTCAATCAGTAATGTATAGAATGGCAAAATACACGATTATCAAAATTTCCAAATGGGTGGATATTATGGCTAAATTGATGTCAGGCCTTTGCCGAACAGAAGATGGAGTTCTGAGTATCTGCTTTCCCTTCCCAGTGCTGTTAATCCTCGTATATGCCCAGAACATAATATATAGTTAATGGCTAAACAACAAGATTTTTTTTATCTTTTAAACTCCAATTACGTTACTCTATATTTTACGGCGTTTGTCACTTGCTACACGGAAGAGAACCATCTGCCCATGATAACGCGACCTGTAATATCAATGGTAACCACATTGATGGAGCGCCGCTCTCGAGCGGCCAGTAGAGGTTGGAGCTGGAAGGCATGCGTGGGGTGCGCATGCGCGGCGCACAGCACTCCGCGCCTTGTGCTGCTGCAGTTGAAGCCCTCAGCCCGGAGCTGCTCCTCCTGGCACAGCATCACATTTGTTCACCACAGAGACGAGAGTCTCCCTTCCCTGGGGAGTTTCTGCTTCAATTTGGACGGATGTCACCCGAGCCCCTTCTCCTTTCTCTCAACGCCGTGTTTATGCCTTTTCAACAGGAAAAACAGTAGCGCTCCGGTGACTGGTGAGTACTTATAGATGGAAGCGGGCGGTTACTTTGTTGCTTCTTCATAGGTCAGGGTAGCTAGCTTGCAAACGCTCCGATGTTCATCTCTCCGGCCTGTTCTAGAACGTGGACGGTCACATCCTACCGGTTAGCTTTGACTAGCAGCCCTACGGAGATGTTTGGGAGAGACCCGGAGTCTTCAAAAGATCGGACCAGCGATAATCTGACTAATGTTGCTGAGTAATGATCACTTTCTAAACGCTTATCTCGAGAATGGTTTTGGTAAAGGACACCATCAATCCATTTAATGGTAATTTATAATGTAACATTAGTAAAACAGCATCGATGTTTTCCCCTTTACCGTTTTGGGTTGTGTTAGCATGCTAACCTAGCTCGGTGTTCCCATGCTGCTGAAAAATCAAACCTAGCAGCATTTCTATGTGTTGTGATATGTGAACCTCGTGGTGGTTTGTGGCGGAGCTCCTTCACGTTCCTCTCTCAGCTATATAATACATCATTTAAATTTGAGCCATATGCTAGACTCCCAAATGTGCTGTTTTGAGCTGGTTTAGTTTATGTCACCTTGTTATTTCTTAGTCTAAAAAGTGGCCTAAAAAGGCCTGACATTTTAAGATGCTCATCTTCATAAAAGGCACATCTTTCACGGTTGGTGTTAGCCCGGACCCTGCCATTTGTTTATTTTGAATTCTGTCATCTCAACTTTTGTAAGATAAACCATGATTTTATGGTGATGTTGGCATCCTTTAATTGGGGATCATTTGCATCAAAATTGACCTCTCTAAAATCATTACTTTTATGACCCCAACTTATCTCAGCAAGCTTTCCATCCATATTTCATGGCTGGTGTTCTGGATTTTACTGTGCCAGTTTGAACACATAAGATGAGATGTTAAGATTTTGCTCAAGACTACCAAGCATATCCTAGGTGGCACCTTAGTTGAGAAATATATTGTGGCTGGAAAGCATGAAGTGCAATGTCAGCGCAGAACGAAGATGCGTGTTTTGCCTGAGTTTATAGTTGTACAGGGATTTTTTTTCATGCCTTGTCTGTTGGCTGATGATATCAATGCATATCTTATATTTTTCTGCCTGTCTAATCTTTTATATTTTACATCATGATAATGTGATCAAATCTAAACTCATCACTACTACAGTTCCAGAGGCAGACAGTCTGAATAGTGCGACATGCGTATTGTATCAAGTGTCCTGTATGCTCCGGCCAGGTGTCAATCAGGAATATTTTTCAGTGGACGGGCTGTCTCTTCATTCCCAAAAAACTGCAGCCACAGCTGCATTAGAAACAGCTGTAAGCCACACAAGTTTTGAGTCAAACTGTAGAGGAGAGACTTTACTCAGGGCGACTCACTTAGGCACATGAAGATAACTCAATTCTGTTAATAATCTCAAACAGCGTGGTTTTACCTCCCATGCCGACACTGCAAGAGAACATACAACATTAAATGTTTCTTCATTAAAAAGAAAAAGAATTTCTCTCTGAAAAACATTTTTCTTTTGCTTGTGCCACACAAAGCGGGCAAAGCTTAACACACTTTATAGGCACATTCAGGACAGGGGTAGTGTTATGATTTGTTTTGTTTTAATGCGTTTTAGCATGTGATATGCAACACGCGTGCTGCATTTAAATCAAAAGTTTCCAGCATTACAATTACACTGGGAATTTTTTTATTTTCAACGCATCCGGAGTGTGATGAAGATGGTTATCTTTTCATGTTTTTTTGTTTGGAGTCTTTGAAATGCCAGTCTAAGGCATAGCCATTGTTAACATGCCAACTTGGTTCATGGTGTTGTGGCTCTTCTGAGAGGCAGTATCACAGTTCTTCACGATCTTTTCTTTTTGAAGTTTCACCTGATCTTGGGAGTGGAATTAGGGCACGGAGTTGCTGCTGTAGGGTCTTATCCTATTTCTGTCAGAGGACCTGATGGATTTGTTGACCAAAGGGAGACCATGCTGTCGCTTTGTGCTGGAATACAGGCCATACCTTTGGCATACTGTCGACTGAGGTGTTGCAGAAAGCTGTATCTTTTATGGCATGTCAAAGTTGTTCCCTGACCTATGTTGAGGGCTTCTTGGAAATCACGTGAGGCATTTGTTTTGGGGGTGCATAATGACATTTCAGTTAACTTGTACATCGTTCATTTACATGTTTATTTGCAAATTGTGTTCTGCCCTTTTTTTTTTTAAATATCAATTATTTCAACCTCTCATTGTCAATCACTGACGATGTAAGAAAAAAAAATCCATTAGATAACTAATTTGTGAAAACATATTGAAGTCATTTGAAATATTTACATATAGAAATGTCTTAACTGTCATAATTTGGACTTTCTGTTCACTCTTAGTGACATTTTTTGTGTATGTTATTTGACTCTTACAGGGATTTGCCCATCTTGACGAGAACAACTGCCTTCCTGGGTTTGGCCGCCATAATGCTTGGGCTTCAGGGAAATAATTCATCCCCCAAAGTGTATCGTTGTGTGGCGTGCTCTGCTACCTTCACTGGGCTGTCCTCGTTGCTTGTACATCAAGCAACCCATGCAAGTACACTCACCAAGGTCTCTTCCCCGCCTACAACACAGTCTAACATCAGCCCACCGGAAAGCCAGAATGTACATTCAGACTCAGTCAGAGAGTGCCACAATCCACCAGTGGTCTTGCCTGACAGCCCCTTACCTTCTTTTTATATTTGCGATTGTGGAGAGGAATTTCACAACTTTGACCTTATGCTTGAGCACAAACGTTGTCATGACTCACAAATGGAGTTACTGCAGCCCCATGACAATAAGACTGTCCTTCCAAGTGAAACAGGATGTGATGAGACTTTCCCCGACCCACATGTATCATTCACTCCTGAAACGCAGGCAGGTTTGGTCTTAAGTAGCTCTTCCACTTCCCAATCCTCAGCTGCTCAAGATCCCCCATCAAATGCTGTTAAAGGAGATATGGCCTTGGAAGACCGTGTTGCCTTGGTAACCCCTTCTCAAGGCCAGTTCACTCCCCCTTTAGATATCATTGAGAAACAACTTGAAACCATTTCTGCCACTGCAGAGCAATCGCCAGAGACTTCTGAAGACAAGCATTTGCAGGAGAAAATGGTGTCTGTTCATCATAGAGCACAGAGTGAGACTTTTCCTACAAACAATCATCTAATGAAGCTGCTGGCTAAAGCATACATTAATCGCTTTCCACGTCCTCTACCTGAGATTGAAAATAACAAAGTTGTTCCAAAGCAGGAAATTTTACCAGTTGATGTCACACCAGGAGGAAAAGGACACATGTCTCAGATCAATGATCTCTCGATTGCTCAGTTGAGACGACTGCTTGCTAAACCTGGTATAAAAACAAAAGCCCCTTCTATTAGCAAAATACTTGAATCAAGTAGGAAGCGGGTAGTCTCACTCACTAAGACTTTCTCTCCTGTTGTAGTTCTTGAGACTCGTCAAAAGCTAATGGACTCAGTCAATAAAGGCGTGTATGGCAGGTATCAATGTGGCCGCTGTCGAAGGGTCTTTCAGAACTTGGACAGATTGACGGAGCATCATTTTTTGCACAAAAAAGAGAGGATAAAATGTTGTCGACATTGCAAACAGCTTATCATTGGGCGGTTGCCTTTGCCCGACAGTCACATCTGCCCTCAGTTAGGAAATAAGAGTGCAAAACCATCCTTCCCTTTCAAAAACAAGTTCTCATTCGGCTCCAAGATAGTGCCATTTCACAGTGTTAATGCAAAGAAGGTTTACTACTGTCCACTGTGCAAACATAGCTATGCGCGTAGGTGGAACCTCAAAACACACCGGTGTCAGGGTCAAATGGCGCGGCAGCTCGGTCCCTCTGTTCAGAAAATGTTCACAATAAGGTCAAATAGTGATGCCGAAATTGACGAGGATGAAAATGAGTATCACAACTCAAAGAGTGTCGCTGTTGGTACAGATGTTACTGGACACGTTAAGGTTGAGCTGACTCCTTCAAATTCAAAGCCAACTGTTGTCTCACAGTTTGCCTGGGCCCCTCCAGCCAAAGCTTTTTCCCCATTCTCTGTTAAAAGGTCTTCAGTAGAGCAGCATGAAAATCTATCTCTTAGTTCAGACCAAGAGGAAGATGAGGGCAGCGAACACTCTGAAGAGCCTGATGAGGAAGACGGCAACAAGGGGCGCTGGACAATGCCCTTAGATGATGATATGCAGGTGCTCAGTTCCAGTAATGATGGTGAGAGGAAGCAGTCTGGCTCAGAACATGCAGAGGTGGCACCACGGGCTCTGCACTACTTTGTGAGTGACGGTGTAAGACGCTACCCCTGCAACAGGTGTCAGAAGACCTATAGCCGGGCCTCCACCCTACGGCGCCACCTGCGACTGTGTGCTTCTATGGAGCATGGACACGGGCCTGCAGGACAGAGTGGCCGTCAAGGGGCCAGTGCACAAGATGGCAGTAAAGCGAAACCTATGTTCCCCTGTTTTGTCTGTGGGAAGAACTTCAGTCGCAAAGATAACATGATGGTTCACAGAAAGCGGTGCCAGCTTCTCCGAACAGTGCCTGACGTGGACAGTGCCAATGTGCTGCAGAGTGCGCCGGGGTCTGTGGCGACTGACTCTGAAAATCAGGAGGATGAGTCGAGGAACTGGGGCATCATGTCACTGCCGTCTGTGCTTCCAAGGAGGGTGACGTGCGAGTGTGGGGTTGGGTTCACCTCTCCGAGGCTTCTCCTTGAGCATTTGCAGAAGCATGCTCAGGAATCGTACACATGTCCTACTTGCGGGGAGACTGTTAATTCCTGGGCTGACTACGAAGTTCATCTGCAGGTCCACATGCATCCTCACCGCAAGCTGCAAAAGCGTTTACCACCACAACGATCACAGCCTCTTTTACTTAGATTTCAGCGGCAGCAGCAGCCGTGCCCGTCAGTGCTCCATTCCTCACAGAAACAGCCACACCACGAGTCACTTCCAGTTCCAGCAAGGAAACGGCATGTGTGCTCGCGGTGCGGAAACAGTTTTGCAACTCGCTGTTCCCTTCGAAGGCACGTATCCTGGAACCGGTGCAAAGGTGCGCGAGCTATGAATCCAGCCTCAAATCCGCCCAAAGCTTTTCACTGTTCACACTGCAACTCTGACTTTCCCAACTCCATCTCTCTAATGTTTCATCAGAGGAATGGAGCTTGCAAACTTGTCATCAAGCCTGTTCGTTGCCCCGTTTGTCTGCGCTGGTTCGGTACTTTTGACAGCCTGCAGAAACACCTGCTCACTCACAAACAGTCTGAATCATATCGCTGTGATGTCTGCCAGGGTACATATCCCAGCCTTAAATCTCTCAAGAACCACCGCAGGAGGATTCATCGCATCATGGCAGGAGACACGCTGCCAAAAACGCAGGAATCACTGAGTGGTTAACGCCTCTGGAATTGAACAGGAATAGAGTAGTATGTGAAAGACCAGAGCACATTTAACTTGTTGCATAGGTGTCATGCTTTTATTTTTCCTTGCATGAAATTTGACATTGTATAGATGCAGAAAGTGTTTTTAAAGAACATGTAGGTGTAATTTGGCTTTTTACTGTTTAAAAAAAAAACTGACAGACATTTTACCTTTTTTTCCAAGCTATTCCCAAAATCTCTTAAACCTAATTGGCAGTAAGTCATTATTGGGCTGTCGAACTTCTTTCACACAGTTGGTATTGTAGCTTGATGTCGTTCATGGTGTTAATAAACATACATATGTGTGAAACGTCATTTGTATATTTCTTGTTTGAGGCCAGTGGTCGTTACTTTGAAGCATTAGAAAATTTTAAAAAAATACACTGTTCTATGATGGGTTATAAATAATACATTTTAAGCATAAAAATCTGGTGTATGTCCCATTTCAGATTCATACAATTACCCACCATGTTCTAGAGTTAAGTATGCCTAAAGTAGGGGTAAATAAAAACATTAAAAAGCTTCAAATCACTTTTAGTGTACATGAATTCTGATGTCCTTTTACAGTGTTGTGTTTTTTTTTTTTTTTACAGTGACAAAAGTTGGCTAATATACAAGTTAATATTGTGACTCAATTCCCTGTGTTTCATATTCAAAGAGAAGCAGTGCTCTGCAAAGATCTGCTAAGTTGTTCACAAGCCTCCATTCATGAGAACTGAGAGATTTCATGGTTAGAAGAAGGACTGCAATTACTGTACCATCATCAGCAACTGATAAGAGAACAGAATCAAATAGTGCAAATCTATTGCTTTTTCATTTTAAGTGTGTTCATACTGTTGTAAGCATAATTATCAACATATCAAGCATTTAATAATGAATGACTGGATAGAAAACAGTTGCATGTAATTGAAAATTGAATAAGTACAAGCAAAATGGTGATTTAACTAATATTTTTTACATCTATAACAGAATTATATATATATATATATATACTATACTGTAAGAATGGCATTGTGAGCAAGTATTTCTCTTGAGTAAAATTATCATTTGGGGTATAACAAAATATGGCCATTGTAAAGACTGTGAACTGTTTTTTTTTCATAGATCCAATTGTATCTGATCATTTTTCTATCGTAACACAAATCTACACTTTTTCTTGGACCATTCTGAGTGATAGGAGAAACTCAACTCATGGAGGTGAGGAGATATGCGAGTTATTGCAGGATTGACGGAGGATGAACCTACGCAGCTAGGCGTCAGTATAACCAGAAATACCCGGATGTTATGCATCTGGGCAAGTTCCGTAGAAGAAGAAATTGGGCTCTTTTTTCCCCCACCCCACATCTTTTCTTATTTTGTGTGGTTTGATGGTAACGGCTACATAGTGGTACAAAACACCGGTCACTAAGCTGGAAAGGGACTACCTCTCAAAAACGAAGTCGGACAAGTGTCAGTTTTCTGGAGGATATATAACATTACTGATTCACTTTCATTTGCTCATGAAGGTAAGGCACCCGCGACGTTTGTGAGCTAGTTGAGGCTAACGTTAGCATTAGCATGATGCTTTTAGTAAAGATAGCCCGCGTTTAAAAAAAAGTGCCCTTCTACAGTTATAACTCATGACATGTTAAAGTATTTTGTTCTCAACACTCTGCTTTATATGATTGAAATATTATGTGTCTCCGTGTTTCTTGATTCGGTGAGAATATAGCCTTCGGTTTACAGTCTGAAGTTTAGAGCAGTTTTTAGAGAAAATATTTCATTACTGGATGTTTGCATAATTTATTTTAAATTTTAAAGACGAATGCATAATTTCCCTGAAGTTAACTAAATTGGGAGTGAATAATAGACTTAAGTCCACTCTGTAGCTTAAGATACAGTTACAGCCACATACAATCCCATTCCTCTTCATAACTATGTCGCCATCTTCTTATATCCTGATGTGTTACTGCATTGATATATGGTCTGTTTCTGTTAATAATGAAGGCACTCCAGTGGACCCCACATCTGCATTGAATACATATCCATGCCCAGTCTAACGATGAAGAGGGGAAGTGGAATGCGGCAGACCTTCCTGAACGATGGCCTCTGCACAGCCTCGAAGGACGCTGGCCATATTTGCTTTAGCTGTGAGCAGATATTTGCGAATCGGAAATGCCTTGAGGAACACACGTGTTCCTCGGTTAGCTTCATCTGCTCCTGTGGAACTGAGTTTACTGAGTATAGAGACATGCTGGAGCACAGCACCACACATGAACCAGGTCACCAAGTGCTTGATCATGAAACCATAAGGAAACGCAGGATTGAGAGACGCCAAGAGGAGGAGGAGAAACTGAAACGGCTGCAGAAAGGGGAGGTTGTCTGGAAGGCACCAAACGTGGGCAATATACCTTCGGTTTCATCACTAAAACAGCCTGCCGTGCATGTATCCAAAAGTTCAGCTCTTATGTGCCAAACACATGTTCAGGCTGCACAGATTCCACAGTTGCCCGCATTGAACTCACCTATGTTGCAAGCATCCCTGCTCTCGAATCCAGCGTCCTCTGTTACAGACAGTCCCAACACTTTATCTGGCATTGGTGCACCAACAGTAGACCTTTGGACACTTTATCAGCCAGTTGTGTTGTTGAAAACAGATCACAAGTTTAACATGAGAAAGCCATACACCTGTGGTAAATGTGGCCAGGGGTTTATGTCAAAGGCCTCTCTCATGTCTCACCACAGCTCACATGTCATTGATAAAGTTTCTGGCTGTATAGGATGTGGGCTGCTGCTCTCTAGCAAGAAGTTTGTTCCTCGTTTCCATGCTTGTAACACCCATAATAATCACACCAAATTCAGACTCATCACAGCAAAACCGCTGAGTTATAACCCACCAAGTGAAGCCGTGACAAGACAGAGACCAGCTATCCTTCCACCTCAGGGCACTTCCTTCTCACAGTTCAAAAAGAACATAGTTATTAAAGGAAGCCAAGCATTTAACTCCACTCAAGCCCTCAAAATTCAGCATATCAGAACATACAATAACCACAATCGGGGCCTTCATAGTGCTCCACCTTTGCAATCAAAGAGTCAAAATGTCAGAGCATCCAAACTGTTCTCTGGTGTCTCATCGTTAACAAAGAATCAGCATCCCACTGTGCTCAGTAGAAATGGTCCCTACTCTTACTCTGCACAACTAAAGACGTCCACAAGTACTGTAGCCACTCTATTGAGAAAGGCTAGAGATCCATCTGAAGTGTTCATGTGCCGAGTTTGTCATATGCCTTTTGAAACCCCTCATATGCTCCAGAGGCACAAGTGTGCCAAAGCCCAGGAATTCATGGCAAAGCACATGGTGGGTGGCAAACAAAATTATAAACTCAAGAGACTGCCACCGACAGTAGGCCCAAATTCTCCTCGTCTGAATGGTGAGAGAAAGCTGACATTCTCACCTGTTAACACAAAGAACCAACTCATGTCTGTGAGTCTTGACAAAGGAAAAAGGGGGGTTCCTGTGAGTGGAGAGATGAGAGGAGATGTTGATGACGATTGTTACATTGTTGAGGATGAATCGGAAAACCCTGCTGAGATGATTTATCAAGTCACCTCATCTGTCCCCATAAAGACTTGATGAATATCCAATTTGTTTGCATGCCGCCGATAATGTGGAGTCAGGACCAAATGCATAGAAATCTGTCAGTGTTGGTGGGTGGCATCAGTGTGAATAATAATACACACATTGCTTTCTGGTTTTCTCCAAACTGCTTTAAAGCTTACAGATTAGTGATAACAAATGTAGATTTTTTTCTTTGGAGTCTTGTTAGCACAGAGAACGTTCAGGTTGACTCCCAAACAATTTCTATTTGAGAATGGGTCATAGAAATAGAATGTGTAAATTTAGGTTTTCCCATTGTGTATGTACCAGTGTTTGATAGTATAACCTGGCACTGTAAAATAGACTTTGTTGTGACTGTTTTTGTTATGATGTTTAGAAAGAATGTGATGTGAAGATTTTACTGCTAAACCTTCTGTTATATCACGCTGTTGAATTTTATTAACACAGTTTCTGATTGCATTAAAGTATATTTTCAAAGCTGTGTATGTTTTCGAGTAATATTCCTGTGACCTTTTAAGAGTATGTAGATGGCAAGCTAATTGTTGACGTCGCCCTCTAACCCTCTGAGCTCTAAGGTGAATTAGTGCATTAAATATATTTAGAACGCCAGTCTTTATAGACCAATTGAAAGGAAAGAGTTTCAACATTATTATTCTGAACCCTTCCGAGACGTCATTGTTTCCAAAGTCCATTTGGTAGGGTTATGTGAATCCAGCAGAGGAAGCCATTTAAAAATAGCTGAAGAGAAAGCCATGGTGTGTCACTTGAAGATGAGGTAGACTTTGGTTGTTGTCCAATTGGGTTTATGACATGTTTGAAATGTTTTACGTTATTACAGTTTCCAGTTGCGCTCGCGATACAGTCATACTGTTTCAATTAAGAATGTCATAACTGTAGGAAATTAGGCTTTTTTTTCTCACAGTCGAGCTTTCTTTATTTGTCCGCTTTGATTTTTTTTCCATGAATAAGCACAGACATATGCAGGTACAATTTGACACAATAAAGATAATTACAAAGTAAATTTAGGCTTTTATCATTCATGTGACAAAATATAGCCTTATGTGTGAAACGGCAACAAATACCAAAATAAATTTAAAAAGGATCCGTCAAGATGGAAGAGCAACAAAAGTGTGCAGAGATCTGTGACCAGAATTGAAAGGCAAAATAAGAGAAAAAATAATGCATAATAATCTGTAGACACAAAAAAATCGAGGATGCGTACCGGCAGTGTGGCCAAATGACCAATAGTTTCACAACCTATTGATTTTGGCAATTTATGTTAACTTTTTACGAGGTGTTGTCTATTTCTTAAAGTTTCTTCTGAACAAGTCGCATTTCCGACAGTACTTAAAGTAGTTTATCTGTGCGCCTGCGCAGAGTGCTTGACGTTTGTCAGGCTGCTTTGTGTGTGGATAGCGACTGACACATTGTCGCAAACTGCACCGAGAAGAAGATAAAGCTTGTTCCTCATCAGCAGTTCAGTTCCCAAGTTAATACTGTGTCGGAGGTACCACAAATCCAATGAGGGACAGAGATAGTAAGGCTTCAGTTAGCCAGTGCTAGCTAGTTCTGCAACGACCCGTGCATGGCTACGCAGAAACCCATCCCGACTCCCCCAACACAGGCAAGCACTTTGTGTTTACTACCAGTCTTGATATTCCGCGGCTGGCTTCGAGAAACGGTCTATGCCTGCCTTATAGCAGGAAAAACGGCACCTATGAGCTTTACAAAGAAAGATAAAGCTTTGGTCCTTTTGTCCCTAAACCATTTATGAAACGACGGTTATGTGGCCTACCAGGTGAAAACGCCTTTCTTTCATTGTTAGTCTTGTCTTCTAAGCCTCTCATATTAACTAACAACAACATCGCTATCATATGCACTTGAAACCTGTTTGTGGCCTGATGGATGACGGCTCTTTCTCAGTAGAGAGACAAGCCAAAGCTATACGTCCCAGCAAGTGTCCATCAGATGGAACGCTTCTACAATGGATATGAACGATGCACCGTGTGGGATTCTGCTGCATCACTTGTTGTATTTAATGCAGACCAGCTCTGGCTTACAGCTGTAGTATCACACCGTCCCCCGGGTTCACACACAGCTCAGATTTGTGTCTTGAGTTATGTTTTATGAGACGTTCACATGTTTTGAGTTAAGTGAACTCCTGTGTCAACAATGAAATACATGGATGAGGTAGTCCAGAAGAATATATTAAGCACTATAGAAAGTTGTGCCATTGAGAGGGAATATAACTTGTGTTTTATCACATCTATATATGGGATAATTGTGTGTTTATATATTGGTAAATGTATTCTGTACATTGAGAGTGAGATTCAAAAATTTCTTTACACTTGATAATCGGAGACCATTCTATAAAGAGACATAATTCTTTCATAGATTGTAGGGTTAAAATTCAAGGGGAGACTTATTTTTAATCTTGTTGAGACGCATTGAAACTTATGTTCTACCCAGATTGGAGTTACTGGTATAAGTTTTTAGGGTTATGTTTCAGTAGCCGTGTGAAAACCTTCCTGACCTGCATTCCAAACTTTCACTTGTGATTATTTTCTTCTCACATTCGCGGGAATTTTTGAAAACTGATGGAGAATTGTTCAATGAATGCAGAGTAAATGTGGACGCACATGCTGGTGTAGCTCCCCCTGCTTCATGTTTTCATCACAGTTCGCTAATGATACTTACTTTGTCTGAGCAAACTGAGGCCAATCAGCCACCTCTGAGTTTGTTTCATGTACCCTAAACAATATGACTTTATGGCATTTTGCTTTGGACGGCACCCTTTTTGTGCGTTACAGCCTTTTTGCCACTGCTTAATCCACAGAACCTTGACATGGGGAGTAAAATGTCCTTCGGCAGAGGAAATGATCCAAATACAGTATCTGACTTAACATCTGTGGCACCGCTTCCCTGCAGTTCCATTCGCGTCCCCTTGGCCAGCAAGCAGGTAGCCAGTGACAAAAACATTCAAACCCAGAGTGAGTACCGTATTTTCCGGACTATAAATTTCAGTTCTTTTTCATAGTTTGGCCCGGGGGTGCGACTTATACTCAGGAGCGACTTATGTGTGAAATTAGGAACACATTATTATATAATTTCACATGTTATTTTCACACTATACCACAAGAGGGCGCTCTAGGCCTGTGGTGATAATTTCAACTTTGGTGGTAACTTAGAAAAACAACTGAGAAGGGCTTAACAAAAATGGCACAGAAAAGAAAATCATATTCTGCAGATTACAAGATGCAAGTAGTAAAATATGCAGCCGAAAACGGTAATCGAGCAGCAGAAAGAAAGTTTGCAGTTAGCGAGAAACTTGTGAGGGACTGGCGAAAAGCGGATGTCACTCTCACCGAAATGAAGAAAACCAAAAAAGCCAATCGCGGCCTAAAAGCTAGGTGGCCACAGCTAGAGGAACGAGTCCGCACATGGGTTCTTGAACAACGTGCTGCCGGGAGAGGCCTGTCAACAATGCAGGTGCGTCTCCACGCCCAGGTATTCGCCAAGGAGATGAATATTAATGACTTTGCAGGAGGACCCTCTTGGTGTTATCGCTTCATGCAACGCAATCGCCTCTCTGTCAGAGCAAGGACAACGATGTCCCAAAAAATGCCCGCAGACTTCCAAGTCAAAGTCGACAGTTTCCGTGAGTTCTTTGAGAAGCATGTAAGTGAGCACAGTGACACCGGATCATATTATTAACACGGACGAGGTCCCCCTCATGTTTGACATTCCCATGGGCCGAAGTGTTGAGGAGAAAGGGCCAAAGAGTGTGAATATAGGAACAAGATGACATGTCTGTTCTTGGTGTTGGATTTGATCAAATACATTTCCCCCCAAAATGCGACTTATATATGTCTTCCTTCTTTATTATGCATTTTATGGCTGGTGCAACTTGTACTCCGGACCAATTTATAATCCAGAAAATACGGTAATATGGGAATGCAGAGCATATGTTATGCCTGAGTGAACAAAATGTGCGCAGTGTGTCGTGGGCTCCTCTGTTTGCAGGCGCTGTTAGGTTTTTACTAAAACACTCTTTTACCTGATAGCAAATTACATCTATTTATTTCTGTTTTAGAATCATGAAGCTTTGGAGCCAATCGTTACACATTTCTGACATTGCCTTTTCTTCTTCTGTAGATACCCAACTACAAGAGTCACCTGGGCAACAAGTGTGGGGGTGAAATGAGAATGGATCCGGGCCAGCCTGCCCTTGAATCACACTCGCCTGGTGGCCTGGGGTCTGATGGCCATGTGATCCCTGAAACAGTGGACCGGGCAGGCTGTCAGCAGAGTGAGGGGGACTCCTCCAGGAGGCGCATGGACACCAGGTCCCAAGCGGCGTCGGGCTCCGCGCCGGACGGTCCCAGGAAGCGTGTGGTGGTCCGCAAAAAACGCGGGAGGCCTCGCAAGCAAAACCTGACGCTGCTGACTGAGGACACGGATCCCAATGGAGCTGGCCCAGATGCTGTTCAGCAGGAGAAGGCCAGCACGGTGGTACCTGAGCCAGCATGTGCTGTGAACCACAACGGCAGCGACGAGCCCAATGCGGCCGACGATCACCTTACCATCAGTGGACCTCAGGGCGAGGTGACCGCTCCTCCGCCTGTCTTAAATGATATGGAAGTAGGCAACGTCCCCGTGTTGGTGAAAAGAAAAAGAGGACGGCCAAAAAAAACAGAAGTTTCCGCTTTGCCGAAAGTTTCTAAGACTGAAACTGCCCATCGTCCTGCCAGCTCTCCTTGCCCTGCACGCACCCTGAGAAGCAGAGGAGGGCAACACCCTCCGGCACAGGCCTATAAACCCCAAACCCAGGAAAAGCTCCAGCCGGCCGATACAGCCTCCGTAAAGAGCCCAAACGCGTCCTGCTTTCCAGGTGATAAAAGACAAAGGACGAGTAGTCAGATTGATCCACAGGTCCCAGAGAAAATATCCAAGCTGGAGGATACCCAGGAGGCCCCGTCGGTGTTGAGCAACGGCACAGACTGTGGCAGCAGAGCAGAGACAGACGGACAGGTGGAGCTAAGCACTGAGGCGCATCCAACCAAAGCAGATGGAGGTGGTGGTCAGCCTTCTCTGCGTTGTGGAGAGGAGCAACAGCAGCTGGCGCGAGTGGTCGAGGGTCTGGAACCCAACATTGAGCAGCGTCCCCAGGAAAAGCCGGAAGGGATTTATTCTGAGGATTTGAATACTTTGGAGTCAGTAAACCCTCCTCAGTCTGAAGACCCGACAATAAAAGAGACGGCGAGCGTGATTGCCTGTGAGGATCAGCAGTCAGAAAACCCCCAGTCCTTGGCTTGTGAAACAAATGCAGAGTCCTCTGAAACAGGCAATGTAACGACGCCCGAGGAAAAGGCTGCATGTCTGGAGGAGCCCTCAGCAGCGAAATGTGAGAGTACAGACGTAGGGCTGGATGACTCCATCGCTGTGTCACTGTCGGATACTCCCAAACCTTTTGAACACCATGCCAACACCACCGTTAAATCACAGGGTCAAATCACGCAGCAAAGCACTTTTAGGCGCAAAAGAGGCGGCAAGAGGAGGAGGAGAATCACAAACGCTTCATCGAGGGAGCCCCTCGATGAGAGACAAGACGCTGGTGCTGGTGACACTCAGATAAAAGCAGGCGGTAGCGATGAGAACTCAGAAGCTAACTCTGACGCCATCACAGATGTTACCTATACCAAAAAAGGGGGTAAAACTCTGCTGAAGTGTGGTTACTGTGGCCGTCTGTTTAGATTTCTGTCTCAGTTTGTCATTCATCGACGCATTCACACCGGAGAAAGGCCCTTTAAATGCGCCGAATGCGGTAAAGCTTTTAGCAAAAATTCCAACCTAAACCTTCATCTCAAAGTGCACAGGAAGAACAGTATGTATCAAAAGTGTCCCTTTTGCAAGACCAAGCTGCTTCGCACCGAGTACGCCTCTCATTTGAAGCTGCACACCCACGAGCTGGACCAGGAGCAGAGGAGCTACAAATGCGAACAACAGGGCGGCGGGGGCGGCGTCGAGGACAGCGCGCCCACACCGGAGAAGAAAGAAAGAAAGATTTGCCAGTACTGTGGTAAAACCTTCCCGTTTCAGTCGGCGCTCGTACGGCACGTGCGTGTCCACACGGGAGAGAAGCCGTACACGTGCAACATATGCGGCAAAGCCTTCGGCCAGGCTTATTTCCTGCGCGTTCACGAGCTGACGCACTGGTCCGTGAAGCGCTACAACTGCACCCGCTGCGAGAAGTCCTTCACCCACTACAGCAACGCCAAAAACCACACGTGCCGGCCCGCGGGGGCCGGACACGAGCCCCAGCCCAGCAGGCGCATCAAGCCCTCTCTGACCTACACCTGCCACATCTGCAAGAAGGTTTTCGATCACCTGCAGTCCTTCAACAGCCACATGAAGGATCACACCGGGGCCAAGCTGGTGCGCTGCCTGCACTGCGACAAGCTGTTCGGGGCGCTGTCGGAGTTCGAAGCGCACCGCAGTCAGTGCACAATCGAGAGAGCGGCCGCCAGCTCTTCTATAAAGGAGGAAGAGACGATGTCGTTGATCCAGTACGCGGTGCCGGCTCTCAGGGGCTCTCTGGGACGAGGCCCGTCGGTGCAGAACAAACCTCCCGCGCTCAGCCACAGGAAACGCTCCGCCTCGCCAAAGAAGCCGTTCCAGTCCACCGTCACCCCCCCGCATCGTCTCTCCCACCTCGCGTCGAAGCTGAACCAGCTGGACAACAGGTCCGACCCGCGGAGATACCTGTGTCCCAGCTGCGGGCGGCAGTTCAGGCACATGGGCCGCTTGCGAGCCCACATGCTGACGCACGCCGCCGGGCAACGCTACAGCTGCGCCTGCTGCGGGAAGACGCTGACCAGTTGGAAAAAACTGTGGCGCCACCAGAGGGTGCATCGGCAGGAGAGGGGCCGCTTCACCTGCCCACGGTGCGGCCGAGGCTTCCGGTTTGCGGGGCCGTACAAGCAGCACATGAGCGAGCACCCAGAGTTCCGCTGGATCCAGGACAGGCCCAGGAGGGCTTTTCTGCCGTACCAGTGTGAGCAGTGCCGATGCGGCTTTAAGACTCTGGGCCTGCTCCTCAGTCACCAGCTCTGCCATTCCTCACCACAAGACTCACCAAAAGACTTCGATTTCAGTTTATGTGTAGATGAACACAGTTCACTGTCCAGTAAAGACATGCCCACCCCTACCAACAAGTTGGTATCTTCCCTTCCTGTAGCTGAAAGGAATAACTCCCCAAGTTCTCCAGCCACAGCTTTTCAGATGTCATCTCCAGTGCCCATAATCTCTACTGCTTCTTGTCAGGGTCTTGAGTTGAACAGTTTATCTGAACATCCCATCAGGATACCTCCAGTACGTGATAAAGAAACCAGTCCGGAAAAAATAAATCCAAAAATACCCAGAACGCCCATTACCCCTTTAAGAGTGGTAAAAACATACGAGACTAAAAGTCCAAGCAAATCAAACGAAGGCATTTCAGATGAAGCTAACTGTGATGTCTGTGGACATGCTTTTTCTTCTATTTCAGACCTTTACCATCATTACTTGCAGCACGCCAGGGCTCAAGTGTAGAACTCTATGTGGAAAGATTGTTTATGTTTTATGTATGTTTTTAATGCCAATTATGGGATGACTGTCATCAAATATCTTTTCATGTAGTTTGATGTAGAAGTCAAGTTGGAAGCCACTAACCACATGTTTATATCTAAATGTCCTTTGTTTTTTTACATAAAAAACTAAGTTAAAAGACTGCAGAAAGAGTGATAGAAGTGATTCTCTCCCAGATGTCCCAGATATTTTGAGTATTTGCAGCATCGATGCCTACCTACAAATGACGCCAGAGCAGATTTTTATTTGCCTTAAAAAGTGCTCAGAGAGATCATGTTTGTTCTACTAAAGCAAAAAAGGGTGTCAAAGTTTTGTCCTTAAAGTTAGAAAATGGCAGCTTTGTACATTTCCACCATTGGGCTCACCATTGAAAATATCCACCTTTAAAAAACAAAACAAAAAAACTTTGACAGACAAACATTTAAATTGCTTTCATGCTGGCCTTTAGTGCGTTTCAATCATGGAAAATCCCCGAAGGCTGTGTCCTGATTCACATCTTGCGCTTTTGTGTGTAATTCACTTACAGTTTTTGTTAAGAAAATAAAGTCCAATTTTATTAACATGTCATTTTGGTTTGTTTTTCTTTATACCAGGACGGTTTATATGAATATGCAGTTGGCAGACGCTTTTATCCAAAGCGACATATGATTTAACGCTTTAGCTTCATGAGCTGTGGTACCAAAAAGTAAAAAAAGAAGCATTAGGTCTCTTTATGTCGTCTATTTTTCACTTTGATTAGAGAAATTGATCATGAAGGAATTTTAGTTAAAGGCCATGCAGTAAAAAGAGCGAAGGCATTAAGTACTTCATGATTGTGTCACTTCCATTAGTGCATGCACAGCTCCACTCCTGCTCTTTTCAAACCAGCCTTATCGCCTCTGCTATCAGTGGCCAAGGACTCAAATAAACATTTTTGTATGTGTGAAATGACACATGGACTCCAAGGGCCAACACGTGCATGATTTTAAACCTTTTCTCAATACTCCTAATGGTCGTAATTAAAAGCGGAGTTGTTGATGATGTTATTTCACTTTAACACTTTTTCTCTTCCTGCTCATGTTTTCATGAACAAGCAGTTGCTGATGATCATGTAACACAAGAGTAGAAAACAAGAATCATCTAGAGAAATGCTTTATCTTATATAAATGGTGTGTTCTGTGTCTTTTACATTCATATATTCATTCAGCCTTTCAACCAGACTCATCCGACTAATTGAAATTATTTTTCAACCGCTGTACCGCCTCCTTGCAAACTACACATTATAAATATGAAGTGTTGAATTGTTGTATTTTTTCAAATAAGTATTTTTTGTATTTTAAGGAGAACAAATTTTTTCTCTTTTCTGTTCCTCATGATTTTTTTCATTAGTAATACTTTTCCATCCAAGAGCCAAAGACAAGAAGACAAACAGTTGATCATTTATTATTTTAAGGATTCTTTTGTGGTCATGTTGGAATAAGTGACTCGTCCCGCTTAGTAAGAGGACATGACATTACGAATCCAGGCGTTGTAGTTGCAGACTTTGGTGTAAACTCCAGGCTTGTTCCTCTGGGCGCAGCCGTAACCCCAGGACACAACACCCTGCAGCTGACCGTTGCAGACCACGGGACCACCGGAGTCACCCTGATACAGAGAAAGGGTCAGATGAGGTTTGACTGGTGGATTTCTCCTGTCCTCTTTAACACGTCGTGGCTTTAGCTCTTACCTGGCAGGAGTCCTTGCCTCCCTCGAGGAATCCAGCGCAGAACATGTTGGAGGTGATCTGTCCGGGGTAGGAGTTTCTGCAGCTGCTGTCGCTCAGGATGGGGGCATCCAGGCACCTCAGGCGGTCAGGGTAGTAGCCTTTTCAAGAAAAAAGGATTGTGTATTAACATTCCCCCCTGCTCTATCATACATGTAGTATTTGATGTGAGTGTTTCACTGACTTCCAGAGCTGCTGGTGTTTCCCCATCCGGAGATCAGACACTTGCTGCCAGACCCAGCACAGCTGGAGGGCAGAGACACGGTGCGGACGTAGCTGTTCAGGGAAGCAGGGGAGCTCAGCTTGATCAGCATGATGTCATTGTCCAGGTTGTAGCTGTTGTAGCTGGGGTGACGGATGATCTTAGCAGAGTTGATGAACTGCTCAGTGCCCTCATTGGTGGCAATGTTGTGCTCACCGAGACGCACCTGAATACGACTGAGGAGAGAAGCAACAAGGTACTTGTGTCATAGGCAGACACAAGTTTTCAAGAAGGCAGTGTTTCAAATTCAAAGTCCAATTCTGTCTTTAAGAAAAAAAACATCGGCCAGCATAAAGGATTTATATTTTGAATTTTGAATGTTCCTGAAAGCCATAAAATGGTGTAGTTTTATTCTCTTGCCCTGAATCTTCACTTACGATTTGTAGCAGTGAGCAGCAGAGACCACCCAGGTGCTGGAGATCAGGGAGCCTCCACAGAAGTGGTAGCCAGCGTTCAGAGACACCTGGTAGGCCACAGAGTTCTTTCTGCACTCATAACCTCCGACAATTTTGTCGTCCTCAATGGGAGCAGCATCTGTAACACAAAATTTGAGATCTGACAACTCTGTCTTAACAGAGCTATAACATAAAAAAATCCATTGCAAAAAACTTACATGCTGCAGCAAAGAGAGCGAAGACGATGAAGTACTTCATGGTTATGTTGCTCCTGAAGAAGTCTACACGCAATTGGATAGATATCGTGGGTTTATATAGAGCTCAGCCACCCATGGCCACAGGTTTTTATCTAACACTCTCTCCCAGGATTTTTCCATGTGCCTCTCAGGGTGATTGAATATTATCCTGCCTGAGAAACGGCCGCATGGTCAAAGATAAAGACAAATTAAGGTGGAGCAGTCACTCATTTTTAAGCTTACAGGTATCATAACCATTAAATAGATGGTTATTGAGGGTAGATGACTTACAATAACTGGCCATTTCTAAGGTTACTTTTACATAGCCTTTTATCAACTGAATTTGAGCAATGTATATATAACCAGAATAATTATTGGTGAGTTATACTAATCCACACAGTAGGTGCTTACCACAATACCACAATACCACAATCCAAAGATCATAAATTTAAAAAATTTAAAAATTGAATAAAATATTTATTTTGCATCCACGGAATTCCATGAGAAGCACTTGTCTGTCTGAAACCAGTCTAATGTTTTAGAGGATAGGCCACAACTCCCTGCAGACCAATAATTTCATTTTTTTGCCTGTATAATTGAACTGCTTGTACTGATTAAAAATCTCAGTGTTTTAATTTGAACAGATTAAACTTAGTTGAACCAATTTGTATGGTCTCTGTATTTCCCATTTAAATTCCATTTTAGATATTCAAGCAGTTAAATGTATATATGTACTTAAAGGTGATTACAATTGTGTCTCGTGGTTAAAAATGATTTGATTGGTTATTTTGCAAATTTAGCTCAAAACACAGGAAATATAAATACATTATTTTTTCTTTGTGTTTATTTTATTTAATGTGTTTATAATCGTATGGTGCCTAAGTCTCCCAGTAATAATTATGCCAATTAATATAATTTATTAAGTGATTCCGACAAATTATAAGCAAAGTAAACTGATTGGTCCTGAACCTCCTAATCCTGATTGGCTCCGAACATGACGTCAACACTAAGCGACCGTCGAAGGTTTGTGTTTCGCCTACAGAGCTAACAGCTGCACCAGTCGTGTTTTGATTGGGATTTGCCTCCCTGGTGGAATTATCTGGAGGTAAGACGTAAAACAAGGTCATCTTTCCTACGGTCTCTGGTCATTTTTGCAGGAGGCCCAGAGAAAGCTGCTGCCTCATGTGAAGTTGTGGTAGCCTGTTGGCTAACTACTAGCTCCATTTCAAGATCAACACCTAATGTATGCGGAATACGCAACCATTGCGGATGTGGTGCAGAAAAAAAATGCGCATCGATGCGACATCGTAAAAACATTGAATAAAAATGCCACCGCACTTGTAATGCTCACTGCAGCATTAATATGTAGTTTCTGCTGTTTGCATTTCAGCTCTGGGAGCGAGTCTGGGTTTGGATGATGCATCTCAGAGGAAAACAAATGGACGTATACATGTAGCTGCTCCAGGTGCTCCAAGTATTGCACACCGAAATCGGTGTTTTCAAAGACTTATTTATAGTGAAGATTACTATATTGAAGATTGTCATGGCTGGAGTTAGCCAATGAAATATCCTATGACCAAATATCAGACAGTTATTTTTCAATTGCTCAAAAAAATGTCGTGATTATTTTATATGAGTGCTGCCAGAAAACTGCATTTAAGAATACTGCATATTTCCTTATAGGGGAAATCATCATCCCACACTGTTTGTGGGAGCTTCAATCACAGAATCATTATGATTCTGTGAAACTCTGAAGAGCTGTAATGTCTTAAGAAATTGTAGTTTTTAACTTGTGCGAATGGAGCAAAAGCTGTCAGTGTCAGAATTGGCCCGCCAGTCAGTTCTGCTGTAAATCAGGTCTGATCCATGACTGAGTACTACGAGGAGGGGGGGCTGCTGTACGAGCAATCACCTCCCATGCACATCAAAGTGGAGTCTCCGGAGGGACCCTTTGGAGGGGGAGCCTCAGAGAACGGCTTCCCCAGGGAGGACGAGGACTCGGACGGCAGCTGTGACCAGAACAGCGGCCTACCCGGTGGACTCCCCTTCAACGTGGTGGTGGTGCATCCAAACATCATGGCACCTGGCATGTCCTCGGACGACATCTTATCCATTGAACAAAGTAAGCCTGGAAATACTTTTTTATTACAGAATAGAGAAAATACTATTTTCACACACTTTCTACCTCTACAGGTTAGATAGGTGATGTTCTTTCTCTCCACAGACAGAGCTATGTCAGCTGCGCTGGCAGCTGGCGGAGCAGGAAAGAGAAAGAGTCGTTTCAGTGGAGCAGAGCTGGAGGTGTTGGTGTCAGAGGTGACCCGGTGCGAGGGAGAGCTATTCGGCCCCGCAGGGAGACTCCGACGCCGTGAGAGAGAGCGTATCTGGGCGGGAATACTGGAGAGGGTCAACGCTGTGTCCAGAGTTCCACGCACTCTTAGGGAGGTGAAGAAGCGCTGGGACGATTTAAAGAGGCGAAATGGAGGCCGACTGGCAGATGCCCGTCATCGCAGCTGTTACCTGCCATCTGGCAGAGGGCCCTCGATGCTTGGGCGTCCCATCCAACCAAGCCCACGGCTTCAACAAGCCAGGCAGAAGCAAAGCACCAGACCAAAGCCAAGTTTCCCATGCTTCCCTGACTCTGACACAGGTAACCATAAGATGTATGAGAAGTCATCTGTTTGTCTGTGAAGATCCTGTTGATGCTGCACATGTTCACAGCAGTCTTGTCCACTTTATACAGGTGTGGGAATGGAGGGATCAGAGAGAGATGGTTTTGAGAAAGATGAGGACAATCCTGAACGTGAAAGAGAGGTGGGAGAACCTGACTGTGAGCCAGTAGAGAACAGTATGGAGGACAAACTGGGATTAGGACTAGGTCTGGGAATAGGACCTCCCCCTCCATCGGAAAGATGGTTGCCTCCGTCCCCTCTCTATAGTGCTCCTTTCCTCAATGGCAGTCCACAACCCAGCAGTCCCCAGCCATCACTTGGAGGACACCAGGGTCCTCTTGAAGCCCCCCCACGTAGCTCCTGGCTTGAGGATGAGCTTCGAGGATTGGGGGAGGCTGCAATTCAGCTGGGAAACAGGGTAGAAAAGAGTCTCCAGGATTTTGGGGAAGGTTTCAGACAGGACATGAGGACCCTTGTCGCTTCACAAGAGGCATTAGCGCTCAGTCTACAGCAAAACAACGTCCTCTTGCAAAGGCTTTTGGGGGTGCTCGAGGCCCAGCAGCAACCCCAGCCACAGCAACATCGTGTGCAACAGGCGCCGCCGTCACAGACACCTCAGCAGCACTTACAGCCACAACCAGTTCAGCAGCAGCTACAGCACACAGAGCCACAACAGCAGGAGCGGGTTGAAACCCCACAGCAGCCTCATGCTGTGCAACAGCTCTCACAGCAGCACCAACTGCAGGTCACCCAGCACTCAAACAATCACTCAGTGACAGCACTGGCGTCTGCACCAGCATCCCCAGTTATTCATGGCACTTTCCCCTCTGATCCGGCCACAGACACTAATGGAAACGTGCCGAGGCCCCGACGTGGGCGAGCTGTTGACCACAGGCGCAGAAGACGGCGCTGAGGAGAATGTATTTTAAAATCTGCATATCTTATGTTTTAGAATGTGACATAACGCAATGTTCCTCTTTCCCTTTTTGAAAAAGCGGCCGTTTTTCTATAACTACGAATAATATTTGTAGTTTTACATCCCACTCCAAATTTGTACTCCATCTCGCACTTTCTTTTGCACTGTGGTCAGAAAGGACTGATGCAGGTTGGTGAAATGCACACAAGATCATATGTGGCCTTAACATCTGCTTAGTTTCCCAGACTTGTGTACATACTGTTACACTAACAGAAAACAACTGATCTCCAGAGCGACAGCTTGACTCATGACACACTCAGAAAAATGACTTAATGTAAGTGCAGATGCTCAATGTGCATGTGTCTGTTCAGTATTGGCTAATTTTTCCTGTTAAATTAGCTACATAGTTAATAAGTAATTTTAATCTACAGCTGTTACCATATATTATAGTTATGAAGCTATTGTAATTACATGCTATTGTATGCCTGTGCTTCTTTATTTTGAGGATGGAGCATTTCTTTGTCCTCAAGAAATGGAAATGTGGAGGTATAAGGAGGGGAGTGACATTGCAGCAAGACCTGTCGCCTCACTGCTCAGGGCATATGTGCCCGAACCATGCTTGCAGTGTTTTATAGGTCTCATGGTGCTTAACTGTCCAAGTTTTGGTTGGACTATATACTAAGGCTGTGTTTTAGGCACTGCATTTTAAAACAAAAATGACATATTTTGAAAAATTTGCACTTCTAGAAGATATGAGAGGAAAGCAAAGTTAAAAGTCTGGCCATAAACATGGCAGTATGTTTCAGAATTGAATTCATGTTTACGGCGACTTATAAAGCATACATGAGTATGTTGGGGTTATTGATAATCTTGCATGCAGTATCATGGATGTGTAAATAGTTGCAGAGAAGCAGCATATGGTCATCATCTGCGTAGTTTTGCACAAGTTATATTTTGTAGATAGCTGCTGTTCTGATGAAATGTAAACTAAACTTAATAAAAAGACAGCCGTGGACTGCAAATGAACCAACACGGGGAAAAAATGCCACAGCACTCCAAGTAGTCCATGCAATATTAGTTAAGCTGAAAAGTTTGTGTTGAATTAATTAAGTTTGGAAGAAGTTTGGTGTGTAGAACAACAACATTCTCACAGTGGAAACATGACGTTTAAAGCTTCAAAATATGTTTGAAGCAAACATATGGAAGGCAAATCCCTGAAATAAGGGATCACATCTGGCTGTCAACAATAGACGTTTTATTTTGAAGGTTCTGAGCGGAAATGAAAGTCCTGGCTCGCTTGATCCTTGTGTGCTCTGGACAAGGGGGTGCATGGGTGAAACATGGCCGCCTTAGACCCATCGCAGTCTCCTAAACGACCGAAAACCCCTGTGGACGAGGCGATAACATCTGGGCGGGAGTCCGAGTTGGCGGAGTCGGGGTGCAGTTTAAAGCAGACCGGGGACCCGACTTGTGGGAAAGTCGCGGGGAACCCCAACAACGAGTCGAGGGACATTGTTGTCAGAGACGATGGCTCCGTTGCCGGCCATTCGGAGGGTGGTCTCGAGTCCGGTGCCGGAGCAGGCGAGACCCAATGCGTCTCACCAGAGGTCCTAACAGCGTCTGAAAAAATGGCCGAGGCCCCCGGGAACGAGCAGCGGGACTTCGACTGGTCCGAGGCTGAAGACGACGCTGGCACGGCAAAAAAGCACGGGGGTGGGAAAGATAAGTACGGTACGCTAACGTTTTTTATTGACAGTTAGCTTTAGCCTCCGGGGCTAACCGGAGCCGGGGCTCTCGCGGCTGGCTCAGCACCAAGTGTCACCCCAGCTAATGTGAACCGTGAACAGCAAAAACCCAGCTCAGAGGGGGGGGGGGGGGGGGCCCCGTGTTTAATGGTGTTGTGTTGCACCGTGAGCCCGTTCCCCGGTTGTTTTCTAAGTTATTACAGTTTTGTGCTTCTCTCCCTCAGACCATGATGATGTTACTGAGACTGCCGAGGAGGCGATGCCGGACAAGCATGCCGGTGATGACGTTGCTCCAGATGTTGATAAGGCAGATGTGGGCAGAGACTCGCGCCCTGACGATATGGGGTCGGTGGAGTTGTCGGACAAGTGCCCGGGAGGGGAGGTTGACGGAGGGCGGAATGTGGTGGAAGATGCTGAGGAGGCTGACCGGAGCGCCAAACCGAAAAGGTGCCGTTTGGTGTGCAAGGAGTGCGGGAAGAGGTTCAACCGGCGCGAGACCTTCAACCTCCACCGCCACTTCCACGCGCACGAGGACGAGCTCACACCCCTCACCTGCAAGGAGTGCGGCCTTACTTTCCAGCACCGCAGCAGCCTCATCAAACACAGGAATGAACACAAATCCAGGGAGGAGCGGCCTTTGACTCTGAAGAAGGAGCCGCAGGCGGAGGAGGGCGGGTTCCAGTGCGCAGAATGCCAGCGGACCTTCTCCGCCGTGGGCAGGCTGAGGGACCACAGCTGCAGCGGTGCTGCGGAAAAGCCTTACCACTGCCCCCTCTGCCGCCAGGACTTCCAGTTCAAGGTGTCGGTCACCAAGCACATGATGACACATTCCCGGGAGAGCGCCTTCACCTGCCAGGAGTGCAGCCAAGCCTTCCCCAACGCCATGGCCCTGCGCCTCCACCAGAGATGCCACGCGGCTCTCAAACCCTACGAGTGCCCGGAGTGCGGCATGGTTTTCAAGCACTACTCCGTCATGGAGGACCACCGCCGCAGGCACACAGACAGCGGGCGCCCCCACCTCTGCAACACCTGCGGGAAGGCTTTCAAGTACAGCAGCCTCCTCCACCAACACCAGTACCTGCACACGGGGCAGAAGCCCTTCCGCTGCCCCGAGTGCAGCAAAACCTTCGCTTTTGCACAGAACATGAAGGCGCACTGCCGCCAGCACAGGCTGAAGGGAACCGCCCCCCTCAGCGATGCGTCCAGCAAACCGGCCCCAGTGTCCGCCCAGGAGAAAGAGAACACCAGCCAGAATGAGGAAACCAAGCGGATATTCCACTGCCCCCTGTGTCCCCAGACCTTCTGTGTTCCAGCCAACCTGAGAGCTCACATGCTTATCCACGAAGCAGAGTACGAGAAGCTGGAGAGGGCTCCTCAACCTCCCAAGTACTGGGAAAAAGGGCACACCTGTCCGGACTGTCCCAGCGTTTATCGTGACGAGTCTAGTTTAAAAGTGCACCTTTTAAGCGTGCACAAGTCAACCACGCAATATTTAGAAAGGTTTGCACCTAGGCAGCAATTCACTCCAGTAATCAGTGACAACGTGCAGGGGAAGTGGAAAAGCGAGAGTGCAGACATTAAGTCTCACAAGTGTTCCGAGTGTGGGAAAGCCTTCCGCCATCGCTCGGTGTTAGAGTTGCACATGCGCATACATTCCAAGGACAAGCCTTACCAGTGCAAAGTGTGCGGCAAGGGTTTTAGATTCAGCAGCTACCTGCAGCAACATATCATCATCCACACGGGCAAGAAGCCATACAAATGCCCCGAGTGTGGGAAGGAGTTTGCCTTCCTGCAGAACATGAGAACACATCAGAAGCTGCACCAGGAAAAGCCCTTCCGCTGCACCAGCTGCCGCAAAGGCTACAGTGACGAAACCCAGCTGCAGCACCACATGCTGTCGCACAATGGCGACAAGCCCCATAAGTGTCACCTGTGTGAAAAGAGCTTCGGGCTAGCCTATCTGCTCCGTGACCACATGAACACGCACACAGGAGAGAGGCCGCACCGCTGTGACGAGTGCCACAAGACATTCTCCTGGTTAAGCAGCCTGCTGGTTCACCAGAAAATCCACGCTCGCAAGAGGCAGCATTCCAGCCAGTACGGCTCTCTCCCCGCGGGCGCTCGGACGAGAGGCAGGGGGAGGCGGGGTGGGAGGGGAGGGTGGGGCTGGTCTAGACCTGTGGGAGGCACGGGGATGATTCCCCAGCAGCCTCTGTACCCACTTTCCCCGCTGAGAGATGACGAGCTGCACAGGAGGCAGCAACCGTCTTCCGTGCTGGCATCTGGCTTGGGTTCACAGCGCCGGTCGCAGAAGGAGCCATGGCTGTCCGAGCTCCGCCCCCAGCCAGTGCAGTGGAAAGTGGACGGGGGAGAGGTGATGCCAGTCCCCAACCCGCAGCAGCAGGCGCAGGCAGGCCTCCAGCATCAGAGAGGCTCTGGGTGGGCGGACATCTCTTTGCTGGCTCAGTCGGGCCCCACGTCAGCTCAAAGTTCCGACCACCTCATGACAGAAGGTGTCGGCTCTCATCCAGCCAACACTAAAAGATCCAGCCCGTCCGCATCAAACGAGACGGTACAGCACAGGCAGCACAAGCCCGCTGCGTGGAGCAGCAGCCCCACGTCCACGGCGCCGGCCACCACCAGCTCCGGCCCACAGGACTTCTCTGTCTCCTCCTCCTACATGGACGGAGCAGCCCTGTGGAGTGTGAGGCCCGCCCCCCTCACAAACACCCAGGGCTCTCCGAACAAGCTTGGTCAGGAGCTTCAGCTGCCACGGTGGTCCGGCGGCCCGGCGCCATCGCAAAAGGAGCCGTCCACTCCTCCCAAAAAAGAGGACAGAATTTGGGACTTGAGCAGTCCTAAAGTTTTACCTTCGACTGTTACTCCGCCAGAGAAGCCGTGGAACGGCTGTGAGCCGCCAAAGCCTCGGGCCTCCGGCTCAGCAGGGGCATCCACCTCAGCTCAGATTGACCAAAGCAGTGTTAAGCCAATTCCCACTCCCGCTTCCCACGGGGTGGGGAACCCTTTATTGGGCATTCAATCACCTCCAGGAATTCCAAAGACTATAAACTCCTCTGAGAAATTAGTTAAAAACACAGACTTTCAGCTGCCGCAAAAGCAGGCGTCGGCGGGATGGGCCGCCGTGCAGACGGCCACTCAGAAGGTTCCCATCTCCATCCAGTACGAGCCGCATCGTTTTGGCCAGGGGATGGGAACTCCAGTGTGGGGCTTCCAGAGTAATGCTGTGGGTCCTCAGCCGCTGCTCTCAGCGCAGCTTAAAGCGGGCAGTGGGCAGGAGCTGCAGCAGCAGCCGATGGTAACGGGCACTCAGATCATCATAAACCAGCCCTCTCCCTTTTTCTCCCCTCCACTTGCTCCGCTCCCTCTTGCTTTGCCAGGCCCCCACCCTCTTCACTCCGTTGCAGTTGGCGCAATTCCAAGACCCCCACACCCGAATATCTTTTTCACACCACAGGCGGTCCTGAGTGAGAGGCCGCACATGCCCCAGACCCTGTCCCTACCTCAACTCGCCCCGCAGGCCGAGCCGCACAAACTGGGATCCCGTTTGCCTTTTGCCCCGGAGCGGCTTCTCCAGTGCATGATATGCGGGTGCACTCTTCCTCGCGAGCTGGATCTACAAATGCATTACTTGCAACATGCACAAGGGGAAATATGAACTAACTAAAACTTAGTTCATGTTTTTACATATACGAGTTCAATTCTGTTGAACCTCATTTGTCTGACACTTTGTTGTGCCGGTTGCACCAGATGAGTGGACCGGCATTAAACATGAAAAAAGGATGGTATTCGGTTTGCACATTTGACTTTTAAGACTTTCACCTCCAGACATGACTGTTCAGCGTGTTTGAAATGTGCTGTTAAAATGGATTTCGGGCTCATTTAAGAGCTTATTACGTTTTCCAGATGAGGTTCTTAGAGACATTTCATTTATTGCCAATGACATCTAGATTTAAATATTATTACTACTTTTATAGTTCTGTTCATATGTCTTGAACCATTTGTACTGTGTTTCTTCATGTATAGTATACTGTGTGCCTTTTATGAGTACAGTCTGCATGTCTGCTGTCTTGGTATTATAAGCCCTAGTTTGTGCATAAGGTAGACTCAGCAATGTGACCTCACTCCCAAAAGGCAGAGCAACATGACAATGAAAGGTTAGTTGTTGCCTTTTGGTGAGTTGTTGGTTCAAAGATCCAATGACAAACTGCTCACATACATGTATAAATCGACTGAAAGCACTTGTACTCACAGGGCCGTGGTCTGGGTCCAACAATGTCTTACCGGTAAAGATGTCATTGTGGAAATTTGGTCAAAGCAAAAGGAGCAGGGTTTTTCTGAAAACTGATTGTTTGATCCTGCGTCCCTCTCTGTACAAGAATTACTATTTCAGATTGGAATGTATCCCTGTTTATAAAAAAAAGTCCACTTTTGAGTGCTTCAATGTATTTTTGTGAATAATGAATGATTTAATCCAGCAACTGTAAGTTTAGCTAATCACAGAATCCTCTTCTCATCTCCTCTCTGTTGAAAATGGGCATTTGACAGGTGGTCCAGGCCCTGTAGTAGACTGAAAACCATTAATACTAGTATTAATTAACATTTGCTTTGTATACATGATAAAAAAAATCCCTCTTGTGCATTCTCCGTGAAAAAAAGCCCTTCTACCTCTGTCCACTGTTTAAGCATGGAAGATTTTTGCCCATCATGTCTAGTTATTGAATAAAATAAAACTTACCTTTGATTATAACACTGTGTGGACCAGTTTTTTCTCAAATTATAGTTCAACGTTAACATGTACATGGCTCATTAATCAGGACATAAATAATAGGACACCTGCATGATGCAATTATTGTAATTGGGAAGGCAGAGCTATGCCTATGAGGAAGAAATTGACAGAAAATCGTATTTCAGAACTTAAGTTTTATTTTGTGGTAAATTAAGTATTCCGTTTTTTTTAATGTTTTTGTTTACATTCGTTAAACAAATGCTTCCAAAAGGGGCGGTAACGTGAATGTAAGCTAAATCAGGAGGAAGAAGAAGAAACAGCAGCAGCAGCAGCCACAGAAGAAGAAGATGCGGACAGACGTACTGCGCATGTCTGAGAAGGTTAGTTGTTTTGTTAAAGGATATCTACTCTGATGTGACATACATGCGGCATTATTACGCGGGAATTAATCGTTTCGTTGCTCGTTTTACAGACTGCCATCCATTCTCCGCCTGGGCCCATTGCGCTTTGACCAGATAAACTACTTTTAATACAACACCGTTTAGCTTACGAGGGAGAGATAGTCTGCCACGCCAAGATGGACGAATTTGCTGCCGCAGCAAACACAAACGAAGGTGCTGATAACAACTGCTGTGGAGATAATGAGAACTTCGTGGATACACCGAATGAGGCCTCGACTGACAGTGAGTATCTAGTAAATAGCTGCATTCCCTTTGAACCGTCACCACAGCACTTGTATGGTCATGTGTTCTTCGGTTAACTGCAGCATAACATTACGAGACGAATATTTGAGCGTTATAATTTGGCTCGTTTTAGTCATTTATTATCCTTAAGATCTTTGCGTGAGTTGTATGTTGAAGAAACCCCCTTCCTGTAACTAAATTGATACTCGGTCTGATTGATAAAACCTGAAAATAATCTGTATTATCACTTTGCTGTTGTTGTGTGTCATTTGACCAAAGGAAATGCGCCATACGCAGCATTGCACTCATTAAAAATATAAGTAAAATTCTTTAAATGGACAAACTAACCTGCAGCTCACTCACCATTTAATGTGATGCTTTCACTTTTTTCATGGGTTGTTAGCAAACAGTACACCTAATCTGGCAGCAACAGATTTTTTTTAAATCTAGTAATTCGATTTGTACGATGTTAAACTAAAGTAACTCAATAATGAAGCTCACTGAGTTTTCTTTCTCCATTTTCAGGCTTTATACTTATCATTGTTGGCTTGCATAGAAATGATTGAATTCTAAGTCATGTAGGGATAAAAAATGTCTTCTTACCATTCCACAGAACCTGTCAAAGTACATCAGATGTATGAAAAATACTAACATTGAAACACCTCAGTGACTGAACATGTTTTTCTCTAAACTCCTTCCAAACTGATTTAACACGGCAGACTTGTACTTTTAAAGCCCTCAAACTTTCCTGTTTCTTAGAAAACATGAATGAGTGAAATCAGTCATTGAGATGGAGGTCAAACATCTAACTGCTTTAATTATCTGTATTCAAATTTTTATCAGATTCAGAGAAATCTGAGAAAAACTAAATTGTTATACATTTTCCTATTGTATATTTATTCTGAATGGTATTAATGCAGTGAGATGACGTATTATTAGTTTAGTTGCACTTACCAACTAAGCTGTACATATAAAGTTTTAGAAACAATTGTAAACAGTTTTACTGTATGAAACACATATGAGCTATTCAACATGAACTGTTTCAAGTAGAAAAAGGCCATTTTGTTGCTGGGAAACGAACAGCAAATTATTTTGCTTGGACCCCAGCGTATTGGCATAAAGTGACGTTCCCCTTAGCTCTTAAAAATAAGTTGATATCGCACTGTCTGGATCATTGTAAACTCTTCCTACTGGTATGAACCCCCAAGTAAAGTCTGATCACCAAAGGGGATTTCGGATATTACGGTTCTTCATGTATTATTTTGATAAAACTTTAAACAGGCTGGCATGTGTTATCAAATGTGACATTTAAAGATAATCAGTGGCACCTTATGATTTTCAACAATTCACTCTTACTGTATATGTAAAAAGATTTGTATGAGGTAAAAGTTAAATATTTGCAACATTTTAGTCTGTCGTTTACTGCATAGTTGATTATTTTCAAATGTTTTTCTTTTTATTCTTTCATTTATACATTCCTTTGTAAAAATTTTATGTAAATATGTTTTTTTTTTTAATAAAGATGGTTCACACTTGTGTGTTTTTGTTATATATTGATTTTCTTTCTTTCCTTCTTTGGAAACAGGAGTGGCTTTGACCTCCTATTTTCCCATTTCTTTTTCTAGGGGTTGGGGTTTTCTGCTGTCGGGATTGTGGAGAAGGCTTCAGAGAGGAGGCAGCCTATTTGAAGCATCGGCGCCAGCACCCACAACAACATGCATGTTTAGGGGAACAATCAGATGGTTTACTTAAAAAGGACAGTGAAACGCCTCATATCTGTTCTTTCTGCTCACTCTCCTTTGTTAACATGAGTGAACTCCACCTTCATATGAAGAACCACGATCAGGACTCTTCCAAGGAGCCCGACACTTTGATTAACCCTGGAGTGCCAAAGCAGCATCAATATGAATGTCCAGATTGTGGGAAATGTTATGTTGTTATTGGACACTTTCTCAATCATCAGCGCTCGCACCAACAGCCCTCCAAGTCTGTCTTCCATGACCTGGAACATTTGAAGAAAAAGTCCTTTCAATGCGAGACTTGTGGACGGAATTATTCCCGCGCTTCAGCCCTAGATGCCCATCGACGTTGTCACGAGGAAAAGTTGATCAAGTCGAAAACTAGGAACTCGGGAGACATGGTTCATACTGATCGGCGTGCATTGGAGGTGAAGCCCAGTGAAGGCCCAACAGAGACTGAGGCAGAAAAATGTCATAAGTGTCTATGCGGTAAAGCGTTTTCTACCGTGCTGAGGCTGAAGACACATCAGCGATTTAGCCGCAACAGCCAGTGTTCTCCAGAGGAAATCAAACAAAAGGCAAAGAAGACCAGCAATGAATTTCACTGTAGCGAGTGTAATAAAGCTTTCAATGGCCATATCGCCCTCTTTAACCATCAGCGATGGCACGCTAATCACTCTGATGACTCGGCGAAAAGGTTCTCATGTGAGGCATGTGGGAAAGTGTTTATGACTCTGACCTTCTACTACAGACACCAGCGCACGGCACACAGCGATGAGACCCCGGCAAAGTCTTTTCTTCATCAAGTGTGTCAACTCCAGAAGAAGGCATTTGAATGTAAAGATTGTGGACTGAAGTTTTCCAGGGCTTCAGCACTGCACTCCCATCAGCTTCAGCACACGGACGTTTTCAGAGAAACAGAGAAGGAAGCCCAGATGCGTTCTCCTTTGTTGCCTGTGAGTGAAATGCCAGAATGTGGGTGGGAAGCCACGCAGCACTCTGGGGGTTCAACAGAAGGACAAGGGCTGACCGAAAGCAGTCTTCCTGCTGCTATGCCTGAAGAGTCGCACATCAGTGAGGCTGATGAAGATTCAGAGAGCTATGAACCTGGAGACTTTAACGTACAGGTGATCAGCGCAAGCGAGGACGAGGACGATGCGGACCAAGACCTGAACCCTGACCTAGAACTGCTGTGCGAATCTGATCAGGATGTCCGAGATGACTGCGACGCTGAAGCTGCCCCCAGAAGTCTTGTGCTAAAACCAGAGATGGACCTGAAAATAGTGCGGCTTGACTTTGGGCACATGGACGAACAGCGCGCCCTTCTGGCCTGGGAAGCGGAGGGGAAAGCCGACGAGGAAAGACACGATTGTCCAGAGTGCTACCGCTGGTTTCCTAGCCCTTCGTCGTTATGCGTTCACAGAATGTGGCATGACGTTCATAAGAGAAGACAACAGACTCAAGGTCAGTCAGCGGTGGTTTGCAAATGCCACAAATGTGGCCATGAAACCAATAGTTATGAAGCACACTGCAGTCACATTCAAACCCACAGTGATCAAAGCCAGAGCGATGACGTGCTGAACCCCAGAGAAGACTTGGAGATCAAACCTTTAGTATGCAGTGACTGTGGTAAAGTTTTCTCTCAGTTGTCTGCTTTAGTCTCTCACCAGTTGCATCATTCCAAAAGAAAACAGTTCCAGTGCCCAGATTGCATGGTGTCTTTTTTGCATGCGGCCAGCTTGTTTAACCATTTGAAGATCTGCTCAGCACAAAAGAAGGAAGACATTTCTGCCTGTAAGAAAGAATACAATCCAAAGAAAACTCTACTTGGTCCAAAGATTTATCATTGCGAGCACTGCGGAAAGGGTTTTTGGTCTTTGGGGGCTTACTCGCATCACAAGCAAAACCAGACTGAGTGTGTAGACTTAAGGCTGAGGAAAGGCACCCCTGGATCATTGCACTCCGTTAATGGACGTCAGCGCTCCAGCGGTAAGGTGGCTTGTCCAGTGTGCGGCAGGAAGTTCCGCCACAAAGGTATCATGGCATTGCACATGCGCAAACACGAGAACGGAAACCACAAATGCGAACTCTGCAGCCGCTCCTTCCGTCTCTTCTCCAGTCTGCTCAGACACCAGGTGGTGCACAGCGACCAGCTACTCCCACCACCCATTAAGTCTTTCCAGCATCAAGTGGAGCAGCTGAAGAAGAACACGTACAGCTGTCCGGACTGTGGGAAGCTGTTCTCAAGGGCAAAGGCCCTGCAGTTTCACATGAAGAGCCACGGCTACGAGACCGGCCACTCTCCATCATCACCGCGCTCCACAGCCCAACTGGAGGACCTGCAGTGTGCAACGTGCCTCGCGCATTTTAACAGCAAGAGCTCTTTAAGGGCTCATCGGAAACTTTGCATAAAAAAAGAGAACCAAGTGGCTGAGAGGATGGAGCCATTAGAAAATATGGGATTACCTGACCAAAATGTACATCCTGGTTCAAAGAATGACATTAAAAGTGACGAGCTGAAGACAGAAAAGTACTTAGATATGGGCAGCAAAGAGAACTTAAGCTCAACTGACCTTAAATATAAATGCAAGAAGTGCGACAGAAGCTTTTCAGTGGTTGGAGCTTTAAATTTTCATAAAAGGGTTCATGCCGAAGGCAACAAAACCTCAAAATCTAATTTGGCTATTTCTCTCATGTTTAAGAAACCTAAAAAAGAGGAGCCAAGTAAAGGACCGTTTCATTGTTCGGAATGTGGAAGGAGATTCACGACTAACTCGGCTCTCGGGTCGCACAAACGCTGGCACAAGGAGAAGAAGTGTTCACGCACCTCACTAAAAGAGGATGACCTAAAATCCGAGGATGGGCCTTTTCATTGTACCAAATGTGGCAAGCAATTTTTCAACCGCCGTGTCCTGCGGCGTCATCAGATCTTCAACCTTCGCTGTCAAACCAAATCTGTGGCAGATTCCAACAAAAGTGCAGAGAGCAACTGCACATCGGACCGATTTTCATGTCCAGAATGTGACGAAACGTTTGAGCAAGGCTCGTTTCTGGCTTTTCATTTTCAAACGGAGCATGCAGCAGACCGCCAAGGACACCAACAGCTCGTTGGTGCTCGTGTTCCCGAACAGGTTGGTATGAGTTTGATGGAGAAAGAATCCTTGTCGCAAACACTGATGCCAAAGGCTCACCAGTGCCCCCTCTGCTCCATGACCTTCACAAAGGCAAGAGGCCTACGCGCTCATAAGTGGCAGGCCCACTCAAAAAGCAGAAAACGCAAAAACAAGCTTCTGCTGAGCCCCAAAATGGAGCCCACTGACCCTAACAATGAATTCAAGATGGAAGATTCAGGATGGGTGAATAACTGCAGGGGAGCGAAGAGAAATGGATTGGACCCTCTACCTGAGAAGTCAGCATCTCTTGACTGTGCAGATGGATCCGTTTATGAAATGGAACTCGGCTATGTTGGTGTTGCCCCCAACCTCAACAGAGTGAGCTCAGAGTTCGGCCAGGAGTCCAAACTGGAGATCCAAACCCACGAAACCACAGCCGAGGTTCCTCCATCGCTCGTCCGTCTGTCGGAACACGCGGTCAAATGCTTCTTCAAGTGCGGCAAGTGCGGGAAGGCCTTCCAGACCGAGGAACAGTTAGGAGCCCATAAGACCAAGGCCAAGGCCCGGCCGTACTGTTGCGCTCTGTGCTGCCACGGCTTCTGGAGCGAGACCCAGCTGCAGCAGCACCTGGCCTGGCACGACCAGGTGCGCTGCCGGCTTCCCAACGAGGTGCGCTTCAGGCTCAGCGCCGCCATGACCTCCAAGCCTCAAAAGTCCCTCCCTGCTTCTCCCGCAAACCCACCCGCGGTCAGCGCAGCCAGCCAGTCACAAAGCGCTCCGAAGTGCCAACACTGCGGCAAAGCCTTCCTCTCAGCGACTGCGTTAGAGGAACACCAGACTCAGGAGTGTGGCAGCTGCTCGCTCCACTGCGCCGTTTGCCTCAGGACCTTCAGCCACTTCCAACACCTTATCGATCACCACCAGGAATGTAGCGGTGATCATGAAAAACGGAGCCAGAGCCCTGCTGCTGACTCTTAGAGATACCGGTGGCCTTACTCACCTTGAATGTGGCACTACTGCTTGTTAGGAGACTCGTTTTCACCAGCCTCACAGAACATGCCGTGGGTTTACTTTTATGTAAAATCAAGGAAACGGAGACACTATAGAATGTGGCTTTTTGATTTTCTGAGGCCGAAAAATATGTGTTAAGCAAGAACATTCTGCTAGTTTCCTCCTCAGGCTTTTCAGTACACTGGACGAGGCCGTCTGCTATGTAAAAGTATTAAAGTATCACTTCTCTTATAAACTTTGAGCCATTTATGGAGGTATTTTGGTTTGGAAGTTAACTTGCGTGAATATGAGTTGACCTTTGTTGATACCTTGAAATTTAAATGGAAATTTAAAAAAAAAAAGGAAACATTTTCTGTATGCATTAAACCCAGAAAAGACGTGGAGAACTGTTGATACACTTCTTCTGAAGTTCTAAAAGGACGGAAATTATTTATCACCCGAGACATGTTGGGGTTTTGCTGCTGTATTTTCTTTGTTAAAGGCTGGAAATATATTGCCAAATCAAGCACTTCTAAATATTTGACAGAAAATGAAATATGCCTGAAACGTAGCTATGTGAGCTCTTTCCAATATTAAGTATTTCTTTTATTCAGAGTACAAATTGAACGATTGTTATTGTATGTTTTGTACAATATGTTTTCCTTTAGCATTATTCCTTTGTTGTGTTGTTTTTCTTTGTTGTAGAAAGACTACTCTTTGCTAAAATATTGTTGCTTAAATTCCTGTAAATTACTTGTCAGAGGGAAATATTTGACCTTAATTTATTATTTTTATTTGACCACATGACCATTGTAGATTGTGACTACTTGTTTAAACTGCTGTTAGAAAAGGAGATAAAGTTCTTTTAAAAGCATCTTACTGGCTGCTGTAATTCATTCAGCCTCAGTTCTCAGATGTTTTAATGTGTGGCACTTTGTCCATGGTTTGTGTGGGGGAAAAAGTCTAAAGTTTTCCTGCAGTTCTTTTCGCATTCCATGCTAACACACAGCAGTGGATGCCTCTGTGAAGGTTGACATAGAACTTATAATACATGAAGCCGAAGAACACATGCAAAACACATTTAATTTGTCCAACAAAAGTTTATTTTATTTAAGCCATTGTGAAAATAAAATAAAACGGAGGTGAAAAAGAATAGCCTAATGTCTGGAAATCAGGTAAAGAATTAAAACAGGCTTGTTTGCTTGAATTTTTGATGAACAGAAAAATGTGGTCCAGCGATATAAAACCTTCAAAATGTAAGTAATAGCGAAATACTTTCCTTTCCCCCCTTTATTTTGAAAACCTATAACATTTCCATTGATCAAAGTGAGATGTCTTCAGCCATTTCGCAGTTCTCTTTCATATGAGCTTAGTCAAATCTTGCGGGTACATTTGAACATAAATCTACCTTAACAAATACAGCTTTGTCTCTGCGGTCACAGAGTCATTGATTATTTAATAAGCATGGAAGTTAAAAGGATTATTGAATTTGTTGCCCCGAAATCCCTGTAAAATATCTCTGTAATATCTTTTTTTCTTTTTCTTCGTAGTTAAAGAGTTCAGCATAACTTGTAAGGATTGTGGACTGGTGTTTACTCACATGGGCACCTACAAGACTCACCTGCACCAGCACGCCCTGGAGGAGGAGGAAGCTCAGATGGGAGACGAGGCCGCTCCAGCAGCAGGCCCAGCCGCTGGGATTCTAGATGATGCACAGGGGAGAGATGGAGACACGAGCGGTGATGCAGATATGTGTGATGTCAGCAGGTCAGCACAGACACAACCCTCAGAGTTTCTGCAAGAAGCTGGAGTTCACACGGCCTCCACGAAGAGCACACTGGGAAAGGTGTATGCCTGCCTCATCTGTGGGAAGGTTTATACTTACCTGGTTTCATTCCAAAAACACCAAAAGCAGCATGACAACGAGCCTGCAGAAGAGAAAAGTCTGGAACAGAGTGAACAGAATCTACGCAAGTATGAGTGTCCAGACTGCGGGATGTCTTTCATCAGGCGCTCGCGGCTGATCGGTCATCTGAAAGTTCACAGGTCAAATCGCCGATATAAAGCAACCCCTGCAAAGTGTGATCAGTGTAACAAATACTTCACGTCTGCAAAATCATGGCTGGCTCACCTTGACCTGCACAAACAGAAGCGGTTTTGGTGTTTAAGCTGCGCTCAGGGCTTCTTAGACGAGGTGTCGCTGGATAAACACCTGCAGAATCACGGTCTGAGACAGCATAGGCAAAACATCATTGCAAGGAGCCCATATCTGGCTCAACAGCTCACAAGTCATTTAAACACACATGAGAGAGTAAAACCTCATCAGTGCCCTTGCTGTGGGAACAGCTTCTGGCATCCTGAAGAATTGCTTGTGCACAGACAGAAGCAGTGTGGGGTTGATTTAGGGATCAGCGGTAATCCTCCTGAGAGCTCTGCATTTGAAGACAGCGAGGAAGATACCCAAAACGGCTCTCCACTCACCTGCTTCAAAGATGATGCAGAGATTAAAACAGCTCTTCCAGGTACAGAAGAACTGCTAAAAAATCAAGAAAAAATAGAGAGAAATGAGGATCAGAGTCTGTTGAAGGATTCAGAGGTTGGAGGTCCAGAGGACTCAGAGGAGTCTGAGGAGTCTGATTGTGGAGAGCCTGTGCATTGCTTCCAGGGGACCAAACCTACAGCCTGCAATGATCCATCTGACGGGAAGAAATCAGAACAGGAGCTGGGTGAGAGTGAGCCAAACAAGCACAGGGAGCATAAGTATTGGGAATGGGAATGCACAGAATGTGATATGGGCTTTGATGAAATGGCCATGCTGCATTTGCATTATATACAGCATGCCACTGGGGAGGTGCCGATACCACACCATGATTTAGAGGGATGAAGCCTTCCAAGAGCTTTTTTGGTTTTACCTTTAGGTATTTAGTATTAGTAACAGAATGTCATAGCAGAATTTTTTAACATTTATTTTGATACATGAGATTAGATTTACCAAAGGGACAAAATGAAGGTTCAAGCCTGTAGCAAAACTATGCATCATTCCTCTTGCTCAGCTAAATAAAATGAAATGTATTCTAATTGTGTTTGGTGTGTCAATTTGTTTATTTTTTTAAAAATTATCCGAGTATATGCATCCAAATATATTTATGACTGACCAAAAGCAGCAGTGTTGGCAGGACTGTCATCCATTGCGTAACTCGTAAATGCACTATATGAAGACCTAGAATAAATTTGCCTGGACCATAGGTTGCTCAGCGATTCTTTTCATTATATCAATCTCTCAGTATTGATTGGAAGTAGGATTTCTGCATTCCATGCAGTAGTGCTTTGTGAATGAGCTAGTTGCAGGCAAACTGCACTGCATTTGCATGGACAGCTTTTCTCCACTACCCCCATCACACTCAGGGTTGAGTTTTGCCCATTGTTGGTTACCGTTGAATTCCTTTGAATTCTTTTGCTCTACACAGTTAAGAGGAGAGAATACAGGAGCTGTTTTTGTCTAATTGTGGCTCCATACTCCACCTTATTCTGGCTTCTAATATACAGTCATTTTGATCATATTTCTCAGTTTAGCAATTATTTAATACAGCTCAGCTTGTAAGGCTGAAAATGAAGATGTGATACAGCTCACGAATTGCACACACATTGTAAGCTAACCACTGTTTCAGAATGAATATAATAATGTTTAGCTAAAGCCATTAATGTTTGAACAGAATCTGAAGGATAAGTGGATATGGAATACCCTTCAAAATGTGTCTAAGGGAAAGTAGGTCCAAATACAGGAAGGATAACCTTTTTGGTTTCAGGGTTCTGGTTTAGGAAAACCACAAGTCCCATGATTCCCACCGCGCGCCGCCGCTTAGACGTGACGTCACGGTGTCTGCTGCTACTCTGTGTTTGCTTTGTGACAAAACGACGCGGTGATGTTTGGGCGGCCGAGGCAGCCCAGGTAACCTCCTCTGAATCCTCATTCAGGATTACCGGTGTCCATGTGCTTGTGCAACCGACTGGACGACAAAGGTAAGGGACTATTTAGCATCTTTGGTCTCCTTGCGGATCAGAAATCCAAATCTTTGCACTATATTTCACTAAAATATGGAATCAGGCTAGCGATGCTATCCTTGTATCGCTGTATCTTCCGATTTTTTGGAGCACTTACTCAGGAAAATAGTTAGCACATTCCAAATGTGCCGTTTCGTTTTTTCTTAAAATCGCGTAATTGGAAAGCAGACGCTGTCTTCCGTGTCCTTCCGCTAGCTATTGTAATTCAAATAGCATACGTTCTTGCTCTTTTATGTCTGTTTAGGTAAGAAATGTGCCATTTATTGCTTTATAAATATGCTAAATGCTGTAGATATATATATATATTTCCCTGTGTAATAAAGTGTGGGTCTTTTGTGTGCGAAGGGCCTGATATCACAGACACATAGGAAGCTGTGAAGCAAAGAGCCATGCAGAGTGAGACCCAGGCGCACACGGAACCAAACCCTGTGACATCAGAGCAACATCGGAACACTGCGGCTGAGCCAGTGCTAAGTCAACCACATGCACATGACAAGGAGAACGGATCAGCTCCTCCTGCTGTGTCAGAGACCGTAGTCGCGGGAGAGAACCATCCAAGGGAAGAGCAAACACCAGAGAACTCTCCAAGTATGACTGCAGTCACAGCACCAGCAGAAAATAAGCCTGGAGACCAGTCCCAAGCCCAGTCTGGTAAAGGCACCGGGGGAAGGGCCGGGGACCGTACTGCAAAGCCAAATGCTCCAACAGAACCTGATAGCAGCACATCACGTGGATGTGATGAACAAACGGCAAAGAAAGAGGAAAAGGGTGATGGAAGGAAATATGTACCTTCCAAGAAAGCCATGCTGGATCCTCTGAAGATCGATATGTCCAAACAACTGCTTATGCCTCTCACATGTAAGTATTTCCCGTTGCTTATGCATTTTAGCGTACAACTGTCAAACAATGCTTGGTTTAAGAGACCGTAGTAGTACCCTGGATACCAAGAATGAACACACTGAAACATCTATGAAAATGGACTGAGTGAAAGCAGAGCCTCTCTGAGATCTGTCGTAAAGTTGTACAATAGTAGTTGCATGCATTAGTGGCTGCTTAGGCAAAGTAGCAAAAGGTTGTGAGTCTCTTTTTCTCAAGCACCATTAAATGATGGCGTTCATCTTTTGCAGCCTCTGTTATTCAGACTTACTTAGCCCAGATGGGTGGAACTCGCAAAATACCAAAATTATTGATGCACACTAATATTGTCCCTCCCTTTTTGTGTTTTCCTGCAGCATCTCAGCTTTCTCTACAGTGCATGGAGTGCCACATAATCTTCAGTGATCTCAAGAGCAAAGAGCGTCATCTGAAGCTGAGCCACCCTGCCGAATATGAGCAGTGCATCCTGAGGAATGCCCTTTTTGCCTGTTATGTGTGCGACCGCCACTTCACCAATTCCATAGAGCTCATGGCCCACCAGAAAACCCACGTAGAGAAGAAACCCTTCAAGTGTCCTATCTGCAGCCAGGCCTTCAAGAAGTCATCAGAGCTCACTGTTCATAAAAAAATTCATTTTGGTCAGGATGGTTATGCCTGTGTTGACTGTGGAAAACCTTGTAAAACACTGACATTGTTGAGGTATCACCAGCGCACCCACACAGGGGAGAGGCCGTATGTTTGCAAGGAGTGTGGAAAGAGGTTCACCTTGCCCAAAAGTCTTCAAAATCATTTGATTTCACACACGCTGGAGGGAGATAATGGAGAAGGCGGAGGAAACGCGGCTAAAGTAAAATCAAAGAAAAAGGCTGGTAAGGAAAATGACCAGTTTAAATATGTTTCCACTGTATTTTAATATATGAACATGGGAAGAATATATCTTTCTTTTTTCTTACAAAAAATGTATGACACTTGTAGGTTATGGTTTTATTTGGTCCAAATTAATCACCAAGTACATATCATAAAAAATATCGATGTACCTTACAAGCTCACTTGGCTTTGTAGTGTGTAGTGCGTGCATGATGGGATACTCTGGTTTTAATTGTGTATATCTCTCTGAATCAGTACTTTCTTCCATCTTTTGTTAAGGTGCCTCTGCAAGCTATCCCTGCTCTGTATGCAGCTCCACTTTCAAGAGTTCAAAGTCGCAGGCAAATCACATGAGAGCTAAGCACAGTGGGGCACCTTCTGCAGCCAAAGCTGCTCTCCCTGTCGAACTGCAGATGAAACAACCTACCCCCATTATAACTCCAATATCCATTTCTCAACAAGAACTGTTACAAGTGGAACCCCATGGACCCCTGCAAAAAGTCGATGCCAATATTGACACTGAGCATATTCGGAGACTTATTGAATCATTGGGTAATGTGCAGAAAGTGAACCAAGTTGTCATACTGGGGCAGGTACCTCCTCACGCGCCCCCACTAGGAGTGCAGCAGCTATTACAACCAGTCAATTCAGTCAATTTGAATTTAGGTCCACCACAGTTAAAGTTTATAGGGCTAAAACAGCCAGAATCTAAGTCAGACGAACCAGAGCCTTCACGCAATCATTGTGATCCAATGGAGCAAACAATTATATTGGAACCTATTACTCCAGATGGACAGCTAGAAAACCCCTCCTTCTCAGATCTAGGATCTAATGTAGCAGTTGGTGAAAATGTAGAACTTACACTAGTTGAAGCTGAACAAACGGAGAGACCCGAAGGAGATATGATGCATCAGATCCTTCAACAATCTCAGATTTGTTCAGTTCAGTCTGACCCAATGGTGTGCCACAGTGAGGTTGATAGTCTTAAAGAAAACTTAGAGCAAACAGTCATATTAGAACTCACCCCTACCTTGATGCCGATAATGGAGCTGGAACGATCCCAAACCGAACAACAAGATGAAATGCCTTCCTCCTCTTTGGTGCTGAACACAGACCAAGGGACTCCTGATCAGGTTGCAGATCAAGCTGTTGTAGAGGAGCATGAGAGAAGCCTCTCAGCCCGACCGCTGATGCCCACACTGGAGCTGGAGTTGACATCTTTACAACCAGAAGAGGATAATCTTTCTTCTTGCCCCTTTGTTCCAAAAGATGCACTTACACAAGTTCCAAATGAATCTGATGGAAGTTCCAAAGAAGACATAGATTCACAAATTAAAACAAATTGTCCACATCAGGCGGCTGAGACGGATGAAAAAACACAGGAATTGGCTGAAGAGGATAAATCTGACAAATTGCCAGAAGATGAATGGAAAGATCCAACTAAAATGGATATCCCACCTGCTAAAGATGAGACTTTGTCACATTTACAATCTAAGCAGAAGATCCAGAACTCAGAGGTACCTATAAATGTAATGTCTGCTCAAGAGCTGGTAAAGGTGAGGAAAAGAAAACCAGCCAGGACATATTTTTTACAAGGATATATGCAAAACCTGGTTGAAACTATATACGAAGATGACTTCCAGATGAATGCCAAACCTGCCAAACGCCAAAGAACCAGAAAAGGTCATCTTGTTGTTAAATTTGGCCCTCAAAACAAAGAGAAGAAAAACAAGAAACAAAAGAAGTCAGCAATGTGTGATAAGACGCCACCAAAAAATGATTCATCGCCGAACAAAGGAGGAAAGGGGAAAAAGGACAAGACTGGTGGCAACGTAGCATCAGGGGCTGACAGGAAATCCCCTTCAGCCCAGGCTCTACGAGTGCAAAAAATGAAAGACAAAGGCAAAAGTAACATGAAAAAACAGAAAGTGGCCCAGGGAGGTGTTTCACGCACGAGCGAGCACAAAGCTATCACTTCACCCATGTTTAAAAAGAAAAAACAAGCTAAACTGTTTCTGGCTAATCAACCCAGGAGTGCACATGAGGGGAGGGCAAAGAAAAACCTGAAAATGGAAGACCTCTCCGAAAAGGCAAATTCCCTGGGCTCTCACCTAACAGAGGAGGCCCTGCTTCTACTGAAAGGTCACAAACAGCCGCAACTGAAAGTTTACAAGCTAGACCCTTCGAAGGCATCAGGGCAGACACCTGAGACTTCCCCTGACTCGCAAACAATTTCCCGTCTGAGCACAAAAGAATCCCCAGATAATGTCACAGCAGAAGGTAAGACAAAGGGAGCAAGACCCAAGAAGAGCCAGAAAGCTCTTTCTCTGTTGTCCTCGTTGCAGGTCACCCGACAAGCTGCTGAGATGCTCCCCACCAAGCCAAAAACCACCAGGAAGCGGAAAGCCTCATTGAGAGTGGAGACTGAAGGTGTTATAAGTGCCAAGCGTGCCTTAGAGTGCAAGGACTGTGGGGAGAAATTTAATGAAGTCTCGTCTCTTCAAAAGCACAAGTCTACCACACATATTGTGGAAAGTCCAAGTCTCACATACACCAATGGGAACATTTTTGAGGGAGTCTCGAGGTTAGATCTGTACCAACTACCAAAAGTTAATGAGAAGGTAGTTGGAATAATGAGTGCTGCAACAGACTGGGATACTGAGCCAGAGATGGGAGAGATGGCCTTAGAGGAGAGGGAACACAGTGTTTCTTTTCCAGCTTTGATTCCGTCTCCGTCTTTACCAGTTCCTCCTCAAGATCTTGAAATGAGTGCTTACAAAGATATGGGTGGCAGTAGAATGTACAAGTCTCCTAAATCAACTAAAGAGCCCTCGCCATCTAATGAAATGAAAAGTGGTGAGACCCAATCAGATGTCCTACAGCAAACTCAGGCAAAGATCTGTGAGACAGAAGAGCCTTTGGCATCAGACAAAGACAAACAAGAGGAAGAATCCAGGAAGAATCCCAGCTCGGGGTCTGATGCCCAGGCCACCACAGATGAGGATGTTAAGGAGGATTTACTCCTTGAAGTAGATCTGGTCACTGTTGGGGAGCAGAGTGAGAAGGAGGAACCTGTAATGCATGCAGAGGCCGTCTCCCAAAATGGCTCCAGTGGAACCTGCAGCTCTGTAACAGGAAGGCACACTGAGCCAGTTAATGTTCAGACAGCTGAAAAAAGCCTAACCTCTCAAACTGTGTCATGTTCCACTCATCAAGTGGAGGTCAAAGAGGAGGAAGAAGAAATGTTAGTCCAAAAAGGAAAAGAGGGAGATAACGGAATGCTGAGGACTTCTGCGAGAGGTAAGATAAAAGGACCGGGATGTCTAAAAAGAGGTGCATCATTGAAGGCTAAATCGGTTGGAAAGTCTCTCAGAGGAGGGGCAGAACCAGAGAGTGATCAGGATGAATGTGAAGTAGTTTATGAAAAGCGTTCCGTCTCCTCAGAAATTCCTGAACCTGAAAGCGATACAAAGATTTCAAGCAGTCCTGAACTTCAGGCCAGTGAAGCTGCCATAGCAGTGTTACCCTCCATTCCCTCTGTGTTAGAGGAACCCCATGAAGAGCCTGTTGTGTTTGAACTGGAGTCACTGACAGCTGATGTTGAGGAAGTGATGAAAGAGCACGGTCAGCAGGAAGGAAAGGAGGATGATAGGGAGGCTGATCACTCCCCCGGCATCATCCTGGAGAGATTCATTACCTCTGGACAAAGAGAGGCTGCCCATGAGGGGAATTGCTTGATGACAGTGAGGAGCAAAAGGAGACAGGTGAGGAGCAGTTTGGACCATCAGAAGATTTAAACTGAAAGCAAAGCCTGTTTTGGATATTTAACCTGTCATTTTTCCCCCCAGGGCTTGGACCGCGCTGCTGAAAACGAAGTACAAGTTCTTGGCAGCCAGGAGATCAAAGTGGAAGAGAACACCTCAGACCCCCTGCTGTTTGCACCCGCCTGTCAGAACAGACGGAGTGCGAGTGTGCAGCCACAGCATCATCGAGACATCAGAACCATTCTGGTGAAAGAGGAAAGCAGCTCAACGCTGAATGACCCTCAGGCCAGTACGCACGGTGGCAAACACATGCGGCAGTGGAATGTGGAGCCAGTCGGCATTGAGAACACAGCCATCCCATGTAAGTGGTCAGGAGCCCAGTAGGTTTTCATCAACTACTACAACTTTAGGAAAGACATTTGAATGAATTTCCCTTAAAGTAAAACATTCCCTTTTTAAGTAATGAATCATGAAACCCATCTGGTTGTGTTTGTCATTCTGTTAATTTCTTTTCAGTAATGGAGACCGATGACGCAACAGGAGACTGTCGCGTCACTCCAGAGTTTAACAGCAGCCAGTGTATCTTTTACCCAGTGAAGGAAGAGGAGAAGGAGGTCCTGCTGGAGACTACTCAGCTCAACAGGAGTACGCCCTCAGACACAGCCCATGATACAAGTAGGACAGGAGATCAGACTCCAGATCAGGATGCAGGTGAGCAACTCTCTGTTTTATACTTCTTAAATCTCTTGCCTGAGATTATATTAAGAGTTGAAGTTATAATGTTGATCGTCTTAAATTAGGTGAAGAAAGACCCTCTGCACCAGACTATCAAGAGACAATAGTTAGTGGTCTTCAACCAGAACCAGAGGCCGGTGACATCGCTGACGGTTGGTATACCTTTTTAGATTTAATATTTGGCATATGAAATATCAATGGTATTATTTGAGTTGTGTATTAACATATTCCATGATCTTTCAGCTGTGTCAGACTCCGAGTGGCAGCATCCGTCAGACGTACGAGACTTTGTCCTCCAGAGTTCTGATGAAGAAGATACGAGTCCTTTTGAACTGTCTGAGCCACAGCTTGACACAGAAGCAGAAATACTGACCTACTTCAGCAAGAACCAATGCAGCAGCGAACAACAGGCAGATCAAACATCTCCAAAGTACAGTAACTGTAGCAACTTTCAATGGACACAGATATTCTCAAAAATGACTCTCTTTAAGTTTTTTCAATTCAGCCACCCTGTCATACTGTGCAGAAATATCTGGGACTGTTAAGAATGAAAGTAGCATGTAATCGCAAATTAGGATTAACTAATTTTTTATTCATTTTTGTTTATTTTAATTTTTCGCCTTACACAGCTTGCCACCTTCTACAAGTCGCCCGCAGGGATCAAAGGATGAAAACAGGACCAGAGAGCCCATTGATTACTTCTCAAGATATCTTGGCTGGGACACCTGGGTAGAAATGACCGCTTGCACAAATAAGATGTCCAACAAGCCAAACCCTGTCACATCCAGGGAGGTTGCGTGCTTTGTTGGGATCCACATTGCAATGGGAACCTTGAAGGTCTGTATTCAAACTGAATTGATTTCATAAACAAAAATCTGGCTATAAGCACAATGCAAGATCCCATATTGCATCACTAAGTTGTTGTGTTGTTACGTCTCAGTTTCCCAGCCCAAGGCTCTACTGGGAGGACCTGACTAAGGTGCCGCTGATTGCTGAAGCCATGCCGCTGAGCCGATTCCTTGAGCTGTCCCGCACATTGAAGCTGACCTCTTCAAAAGATCCAGCCTGCAGTCATGTAAACAGTCAAGAGCAAGGCCAAACCCGCCCAAGCAGTCCCGGAGGAATCTCTCAGCACAGTCACGAGCAGTGCCAGTTTGTCATGGACAGACGTTCCAGAACACAGGCTGATCCTCTGTGGAAGGTCCAGCCGTTGTTGCGTCGTTTCAACGCAGCGTGCCGGTCACTGAGACAGCCGGGGGACTACGCCGTTGACCAGTATCCTCTTCCCCTGTCTAGGAAGGCTCATGACAGCAAGCCATCTCTCCTCTGCACCTCTCTAGTAGGGTTTGATGGTTTAGTCTCACATGTGGATCTCAAACTGGATCTGTCTGACAGAGAAGACTCCGTCGAGAGCATGGTCCCCAAAGGAAGCATGGTGTTTCTTTGCAAACAGGAGTTGTCCACGCCGGCCATGCTAGAACGTCTTTTAGCTGCTGGTGTTCATGGAGCCGGCAGGGTGGGTGGAGCACAAGGACACGTCGGAGATGAGTTTGTAAGCTCCGACGGGAAGCTGGTGCTGCGCAGATCACACTGTGGCTTTATACTTTCCACTGCAGGTAGTAGCCAGAGGAGCATGGCTTTACTCCTAGACAGCTTTGAGAAAGCCCAGACATCAGCCCGCCACAGCAGAGATCTGCAAAGTCTGTACTCGATCCCTCTCACAGCCTCTGCACCGACCGGCTGGCCGCAGGCAGTGCTCTGGTACCTCACTGATGTGGCTTTGGTGAACTCCTGGCTCTTATACCGTCAGGATCACACATCAGCGTCAGCCCTTTTGACTCTTATGGCCTTCAGGTTGGAGGTTTCCAAGGCTTTGATACTCTCCAGTGGTTCAGACACCCAGGACTCCATCCCCCCGCAACCCCCCACAGAGGAGGCCCACATAACCAGGGATGCTCCGAATCCCCTCGGGGTGGAGGAGAGTCCCCTGCCAGATGCAGCCACGCGCTACGATGGTTCAGGCCACTGGCCCGAGCAGCTCACTGAGGGGGAAGGGGGCAGGTGTCGTTTTAGGGACTGTCAAAGAACATCACGAGTGCTTTGCCTGAAGTGCTGCGTCTTTCTTTGTATCTCACGCAACCACAACTGCTTTTTGAATTTTCATAATCAAGGGAGTTTGAGAAAAGAGTAGTTTTAATATTATCTGTACCCCGAAAATGTAAACATATTTATTCATAATGATCTCCACTGATCAGCCATAGCATCAGGACCACCCACCTAATAAAGACTAGATTATCAATAAAAAGAACAACACTAAGCGCATTGTTCATGAAATTGTGTTGATACATCCGAGTGTGATCAGTTTAAGGCTTCTTTAACTCCACGGCAATAAAAAAAAAGGGATAGCAGAGCTCCTACCTGCCAGCATAAATGACTGTTTAAAATGACAGCTTGTAATGATTGCTTACATGAAGAATATAATGTAACAAATTGATTTCCCATTGCCATTTTTTTTTCTGCCTAAAGCCATCAGTCAAGTTGTCCTGGTGTGTGTGTCCGGAGGTTGTGAGCTTAGATCCTGTGGGTACTGTAGGTTTCGGGTTTTTTGTGAGTTACATCCTTGTCTTCCTTTTAAAAAAATTTTTGTATCCCTTCTAAAGAGATTTCGTCTGGTCCTGTTTCTGTTAGGCAGGCCTAGAATGTTACAGTGGGAGGGCACTGCTGACAGTGGAAATGAAAATATTTAAAAATGGTTTTCAATTTGCAGCTGACTGATTTAGGATAAGATGCTTTCTCATTGTATGAAAACCCCTGTGATGAAATAGCAATGGCAGCGTCTTTTTTTTTTTTTTTTTTTTAGATCATTGTGATGCCTTTTAATCAGGACAAATGTTTTGTGTCTGGGCTTCTTAAGTCATTTAGCAATTTTTGTTAAAAACATTTTGTAGTACAATCTGTGATGATCTTATCTATAGTTTTATGACTTTTATCTGTGAATTTCTACTTTATTTATTCTTACACCCGAAAATAATAAAAAGAACAAAAACATGGATTACTGATTTTTTGTTTTTGTTTTTAGCATAACTTTTTCATAGTTATTGAGCTGTTGAATGTCACAAACTGGAACTGTATTGAAGTGTCGCTGTAAGTCATGATACTAGGAGAGGAGTTCCACAATTGTGAAGCCGAAGTGTATTATTTTATTCATGATGTCTTATTTTTCTACAATGTCAAAATGTTTTCCATGAAAATGATAACCTCACTCATCTCAAAAGAGAAATAAACTGTCACTCTTATCAAATACGTAGTGATGCTTTGGTGATATAATAAGAGTTCTAAATATGTTTTGTTTATAACATGTTTAGAACATGCTTAAAGGTTGTACCTGAAGGTCACAACAAGGCTTATTTTGGCTCAGATTAAAAATTTGTAAAAGGTTTTAAGCCCAGAGAGAATTGTAAGATTTACAGTTCTTGTTCCTATATGTCAGCTTGACATGCTAACAGTAATTTCAAATTGAGTACCAATCCTTGATCCTTCAAAGACATTGTTGCAGAGATTATATAATATTATCCATATCCTGATTGATATTACATGTAGAAATATTATTATGAGTCCAAACCACTTGATCACTTTGTATTTCTAAAAAATAATGACACTGTACTGATCTGTGCTTTTTTTTTTTTTTAAAGCAAACGTCAGAAAATGAGGAACCTGTTGGTACGTTTTGTTTTCTTCAACACCTACTCCAGGGTTTTAATGGCTTCACATTCAAAAAGAGCCTCTATATTTTGAATAAAAATCAAGATTTCTTAGTTATATTGAACAAAGGGTTTGCAAATTGCACAATGAAAAGAATATCTAATAACAGCACACAGGAAGAAAATTTTGAGTTCCTTTTGACCAACTTCTTTCGGGTCACGTGACGAGCATCAGCGACAGAACCGTGCAGCATAGAAAAGCAGACACGTTTGTTTTGCTTCAATGGTTCAAATCTTTGTGTGAACTCAGAATAGTGTTTTCGTTGTTGTTTTTTTTTGCTACTTATATCATTAATTATTCATAAACTGGAAAGTATTATGGAGAAATCATATAATATGTTACCATATGCATATATTGGTAGCGATGGCGTCATGTTTTTGTTTTCTATAATTTCTATACAATATGGAGGGGCGTCTTTTATAAATGACACTAAACTTTTAACTGTGTGTGTCTAGCATTACATTGATTTTTTCGCCCCAAATATTTATTTCGTAAAAGCGAAAAGTCTGCGGCAGCCATCTTAGTATTACCAATCACAACGAAACACCAGGAAGTGTAAGATCTATTGGATGTACTTCTAGGGTCACTCTCCCAGTCAAACTACCCTCAAAGAGCGGTTAGAGGTAACGTCTACTCAATTTTGCATTGTTATTTAGTCGGTAGTAATATGTATGTGGCGTGTTTATTATTGATCTTCGGAAAAAATATGCAAGTGCAGGAAAATTACTTTAAACTCTGCATGTAACAAGCGTGAAGTATCCGACCGTTGCTCTTTGAATGGCAGAATGTTGTTAGCGCTAACTAGTGGGAAGCTAGCTAACGTTAGCCCGCTTCACTAGCCTCGTACTTTGTTATTAGCGTTTGCCGCGTAGATAGACATGAAACTGAAACGAATGTGGCAGGTAACTGGACAGTTTAAGTTTATCAGCTTGATTTGTCAGGCTATTGTGTGTAGGTACTTTATTATTAGTTGCTTGTTGATTTGGATGAATGTTGCTAGTTAGCTTAGCTGGCGGGCCTTAGTGTGATGTTTAACGATGGGCTGAACTAAAACTTAAGTTAATGTAGTTGTACATAACAACCCTTGTATCATTTACGTTTTAGCTTTTCAAAATATGTATTCATAGTTGATAATTACTACTAAACGACATTAATTCTTTATATGCCTTCATTCGTTATACTCCAATGTTTACATCTCAGTGTTCCGTTTCCCGAAGTGAATCCAACTGGTCGTGCTTTTCACGTGGTATTTACTTCTTTGCTCATTCATTGTTCGTGTCTTTTATTTAAACTAGGATAGTTTAACCTCCTTAGGGATCCAGAATCGCGGGATGGACTCTGAAATTTTGAACATTGAGGAAATAGTGATGGGACGGGGCTTGCCAGATCCACCACCTGAAGCTCCCCCTGAGAAGCCTGCAGAACCCTACAAACCCATCACTTTGAATGGACCTCCGGCACCTCCCGTCCAGTCCTGTAAGTGGAGTAGATGTCCCCAGTGCAGCTCCGCTCACCCCTTTCAGTGAAACCATAAATGTCTCTTTTTGATCTTTCAGATCAGCACGAAAACTTGCAGTGTTTTCAGTGCTTCATCACGTTCTGCAGCGCCAAAGCCAAGGAGAGGCACATGAAGAAGAGCCACCGGGAGGAGTATAAACAACAGCTTCAGCAGGTACGGTTCACACCAGCTATATAAATGGTGACATGAGGATTGAAGTGTAATAGGTCCTATTTATTTAAGTCCACATACAACCCTTTTCGATAATGCAGACACGTATGACAGTTTTTCGGGATATTATTGGTATATTAATTTGTATATGTATTGGCTTTGTTGTTACCCTTCTGTCGATAACTTAAAACAGGTGGCTGCATATAGCCTCTCCTTTGTGAACAGAGTTTTGTTTCTTTGCAGGGCAACACACTGTTCACATGCTATGTGTGTGACCGCACATTTCTGTCGTCTGAGGAATTAACACAGCACCAGCCAACACACAGCAAGGATGACAAGCCTTTCAAATGTGCTCACTGCAAGGAGAGCTTTAAAACATTCTCTGAGGTGAGTGGGATATAATTCACAAGTCATACTTTGCCTCATCACTACACTGAATAGAGCAAAATTTATGTTGTGCCGGCAGTGGTTCTTAATTTTTTCATCTCACCTTTGTAGCTCACAGCGCATAGACGACAGGTGTGCCCAGAAAGACAGATGGTGTGTAAAGATTGCAATGAAACCTTCCGAAGTGCCGGATTGCTGCGTGCTCATCGCCTGACCCAGCATCCCCGCCAAGACGCAGACACCACAGAGCAAGCCGAGGAAGCTACAAAGACCCATCGCTGTAAGAAGTGCAGTCAGGGATTCGATACCGAATCGGAGCTGCTGGAGCACCAGGAGAAGTACCCCGAAGGTCAACAGTGCAACGGCAGCACCTCGCCTGTAAAGAAGCGCGGGCGACCCACCAAACCTGAGGAACCAGCCGGCGGCGAGAAAAAAGGAAAGCGGAAAAAGAAGGACGAGGGAGAAGCATCTGAGGAGGCGGCCAAAGCCAGCACCACATCTGAGCCAGCAGCCCTCCCTGCTGAGGAAAAGGGAAAAGCTGCCGGAGCAAAGCGCGGCCGGCCTTCTAAAAGCGCTCCGAAATTAGAAACGGAGGATAAAAAAGGTTCTGAAGATGAGAGTCAGGCTGCGGCAAAGGAGAAGAAAGCCAAAGCAGACCCGGCCCCATCCCGTCAGCACCCCTGTCCTGAATGCGAGCTCTCCTTTCCCGGATTGGTTCAGCTGCGCGCTCACAAGAAGGAGAAGCACGCCCAACGGAAAGCCCACGCCTGTGAGGAATGTGAGGAGAGCTTTGCCCGTCCCGAGCAGCTGGACGCCCACATGTCCAGGGCTCACGCCGTCGGCCGCTTGGCCTGTCCGACCTGTGGGAAGAGCTTTGGCCGTGAGCGTACCTTGAAAGCTCACCAGAAGAGCCATCCGGAGGAGCCTGAAAACCCAAGTGCAAAGAGATAATTGAGACCTGCAGAGAGTTTTCTTCTTTCTTCTTTTTAAAAAAAAAAATTTTAGCCATGAGTTGTCCCTTTGTCTTTTAACTCGGGAAACCTCATAGTCAAAATGATGTTCCAGATGGATGTTTTGGAGAATCAGGTTTTTAGCTGGTTGCTGAATTTAAATTTGATTTTGATCATGAGCTGTTAAACTTTTGGACAGAAGCGTCTCATGAATTGTCTAACCAAGTGTTAAGCCCATATATTACGCTGTTTGTCATGAAAAATAGTTTATTTGTAAAAAAACAAAAAAACAAGCTTTTTTGATTAACTTTTTTAAATGATCTCTCTTCCTGTGTTTTTTTTCTTGTTTTTTTGTTTTCTTAAGTGTGAAATATGTGTGCTATGAATTTATTACTTGATGTTCTCAGTTGATTAACTCTTTTTGGTTTGAAATATTTTTCCCTCCTCATTTCCCCCAAAACAGGTAGAGTAAGAACACAGTGATGTGTTATGTACAGCTTCTGGATCATTTTTTACTCTTAATATTTAGATCATGTTTTTCTCTAAATTAAGCTTCATTGAGGAAGATTTGTAAAATATCCTGAAAGTGATAACCGCTTAAAAGTTATTTTGGCTGAGTGCTCCAGATTCAATGTGGAGTTGGCGGCATGTGGGCAGAAATGATCCACTATAATCCTGATTTGTGTTCTGCTGAAAAACTCTTTAATTTCCCCCCATTGGTTAAAGTAGTGATTCATATCTTAGGATATACAAGGCACTCTTGGCTCTTCAGATCCCTGAAGTCCCATTTAAAAACTGTATGTGATGTTATTCACTGATTGGATTGTCTTTCCCCACTTGTCTGGACACTGCTTTAAAAAATGGAATAAACTATGCTGTCCTGAGGGAGGCTGCTGAAGAAATGACTCAATTTTGTGTTTTTGTTCTTAATTCTGAGCAGGAACCCAAGATACTCTGTACCAGATGGTTTGTAGTGTCAGCTCAAATCTTAAAAAGATCGATGTCATATCTTTAGAGGGCATAGCTCTGTAAACTGCTGAATTTTAAACATTATTTAATCTCACTTTTTGGTGTGATCGTAGTCTCGTAATCGTGAATTTTTTCCAGATAGGCTCCAGTTCCCCCTGCAACCCCATTAGGGAATAAGCGGTAACACTGATGGATGGACGACATATAAATCACTTTATTTAGAGCGCTGCAGACTCTGCGTGTAATACCACTCCAGGACACCAGGGGAGCGCGAGAGCCCACGTGGTTTCCGCGCTGCCGCCGCTGCCTCATCTGTTTGCCTTTGTTGTTAATGGATCGGTGTTTATCATGGCAGGAGGGCAGTGCTGCTAGCTAAGAAGCGACGACCAACGCTTAATACCCACGCGGCTTAGGGAAATACTTTTCGTTATTCGCGTAAAGTGGGAGAAAACGTGCTTCAGGGTAATACAAATATAATTTAAATAAAAGCTATTAAGGAAGGTAATGCACGTTAACGCACTATTTTACCATCCTCGGCTCCTCCCGCCAGGTGACTCAGGTGGTCATGTAAGGTGTGTCAGTGAGGAGTTTCCATGAAGACGAGAGTAAATATTTAAACATAAGGAGAGACAGAGGAGTTGTCACACGGATGTAGTCGCTTGCGAGGTGAGGTTGAAAACAAATATGTGTGGCAGTATCATTTTCGTGCGGTCCAATTTCCCACGCGGCCATTGCCTGTCGGACGTCGGCTGAACTCCTGCTCCGCTCTGTTTTACACGCTCCGCTGCCTCTGCGGACAGCAGCAGTCATGGAGTACACCCTCGACATCCAGCTGACAGAGTTGGGCTTCCCGGACGTCCTGCGGCCGGAGGACACCTCAGACGGGCAAACCCCGACTGACGAGCCCTCTGACCTCTCCGCGGGCACCCCCAGGCGGTCCAGCAGGAAGTGCTCCGCGCCCCGGCGTCTGCCGGAGACGGCCCCCCGCAGGAAGCCCGGCCGCGCGGAGGGTCCAGGCGGGGGGAGCGTGGACGGGTCACCGGGGGAGGACCCCCCCACAGAGACCGGGGATGGACAGGCAGCCGAGGAACAGCCGGCACACACGGACACCTCGCAGGAGGTGGAAGAGGTGGAGGATGACTCGGATGACAGCGAGGTATCCGAGATGTATGAGGATGATGATGAAGAAGACGACGACGAGGAGGAGGAGCTGACCAACGGTACCAGTTTGGGTTATCTTTCTTTTCTTTATGCTGTTCTTATAAACCTTTTTTTTTTTTTTTTACTTATGCTTTACAGTAGACTTGGCCAAAATGCTTTTCAGAAGAGGAACAATAACTATTTATACTGTTTTATGTTTAATGTTGCATACTTTTAGATCACTTCTCTAACTACCTGGTGCGGCTCTCAATGTTGTTTCAACATTTTCAAGCCACATATGTTTTAAAGGATCAGTGCACCCTAACACGTTTTTATGTTCTTTCTGATTTATAAAGAGGCCAAAAATATCTGGTTTTATCTGCCTTTTCTTACATTGCTAAACTGTTGCAGAATTCTGAGTGTTAAACCTGACCTTTACCTCCCCATTTTTCTTGGATAGGAACTAAAAGTTGGGACAAAAATGTTGTTAGGTTTAAAGATTATTTAAAGTTTTGATTTGAAAACATTGTTTTTGTGACCAGTCTGTCGGCTATATGTGGGCATAAATGGATAATAGTGATACCTGCTGTACATTTTAGGTATGAGAGGTATTGGTAAAGTACAAGGAGAATGATCAATGATGGATGTTAGTGTCCATCCGTGGTAATTCCTCCATTAACTGGTCCACCTTCATCTCTTTTCTTCAGAAACAAGTAACTCAGGTGACCATCGCTGCAGCGTCTGCGATCTACAGCTGCCCTCCAAATTTAAGCTACAAGACCACATGAACCTGCACACGGGGGCGCGTCCCTACTGCTGCGCTGAGTGTGGGAAGCGCTTCTGCCAGATCCACAACTACCGCCTCCACCTGCGCACGCACGCCAAGATCAAAGCCGAGCGCCACTGGTGCCGCATCTGTCTGACTGGCTTCGAATCGCAGGAGCATCTGAAGCGCCACCTGTCCAGAACTCACTTTGAGGACACGTTCTACGAGTGCGACCTGTGCAAGCGCGTGTTCACCTGCCTGAAGACCTGCGAGCGCCACGTGCAGCTACACAAAAGTGTGGTGAACATAGCGTGCGATGGGTGCGGCCGCAGCTTCCCCTCGGAGAAGTCCCTCGCGCGCCACCGGAAGAAAAGGTGCCTTCGGATTTTCAAGTGCACCGATTGCACAAAGACCTTCACCAAAAAGAACACCCTCCTGAAGCACAGCTTCTCCCACCTGGGCCTGCTGCCTTACACCTGCGTGCGCTGCCGCTGCCACTTCCGCCTGGCGAAGCTGTACCGCCTGCACAAATGTGAGCCCCAGCGCCTGCACTGCGTGGCGTGCCTGCGGGAGTTCCTCAGCCAGGAGGATTTCCAGCAGCACAAAAAGGACACGGGCTGCTGGGGCAACCAGGAGCCCCACCAGAGGAGGGACGAGATCCGCTGCCTAGAGTGCGGGCAGAGGTTCGACACTCCGGAGGAGCTGAAGAAGCACGCGGGCGCTCACCAGAGGGTGCTGAGGTGTGCCGAGTGTGGGAAGGGCTTCCGCTCGGCCTTGCTGTTGATGTCCCACATGGGCGGCCATGCCGGCAAGTCGCCCTGCTTGTGTCAGACCTGTGGGCTGGGCTTCCCTCACCAGCAGAACTACGACGGCCACCTGAAGACCTGCGGGCAGCCGTCCCAGCCAGCGGTGAGCGACGGGTGTATTTGAATGATAACTATGATACTTTGCATGGCCTCCGCCTGGTTTGTAAAGCAGCCTGGAAACAGAGCACAACGTCCATAGAGGCCTTTGTCTCTTAATTTACATGCAAATTGGTGCTGTAGTTTTGATTCTTAAGCCAGACAGGGAGCTTACACAAAGTTGTAGAATGTCTCTGTCTATGAACAGGCAAACCAGCCCCTCCTGTGTCTCTAACACCGCCTGCCCGGAGATGATCAAAGTTAAGAATGCTCTCAGCTCTCACTGCTGACTCTTTGTGGCTGAAACTTGTCAATGTCTCACCAATGTTTAATCTTTTTCTTAATTCCAAACAGTTTCATTCTGTTTTTGTTTTTTATTCACCCAAACACTGCAGCTCTGACATGTTTTCTACCATATTTAGAAATAGGTTAAAAATCCTGCTTTTCCTAAGTCCAAGCTATTCGTATGACAGTAGAGGTAAGTAAGGAAACTTGGATCAGGTTTGCGTGCATGGTGTCTCAGGCTTGGCATGTTTTTTTTTTGGACAGGGTATTTATTGATATTATGTGCAATATCAGCATCTGGTGCAAAACATCTGGCAGCAAACTTGCAGCATACCAAAAAGGGCAGTCGATAATAAAGAAACAGTACAAGTACAGAAACCGGAACAGAAAACAATGTGTTAAATTTAAAAAACAAAACAAAGAAAAAACCGATGGTCAACCTTTCCAGATGTAAACCTTGGATTCATAAACAGACACCGCTCGCCCATCGGTTCACAGAAACAAATTATATTGTTTATTGGGTTTTTCATTTTTCTGGGTCAGTGATTTTGTCTGTGCGTGCTTTGTCGTCACACTTGCGTTCTGTGGATGGGATTGAATGACTTTATTTGTGTTTGCCATTTCAGAATGTTCCCAGGAAGAGCCAGACCTTGAAGAGCGCTTTGCCTGGGATAAATCTGGGGAAAAAGTCAAAGCCAGATTCCGCAAATGTTTCAGGTAGTGTTGTGAACAGCCCCGCTGCCCCGGCAAAGGACTCCGGTGGTCCTGGAGTTGTGGCAAGAAGTCTGCCTGCTGGCTCAGGACCGTCACATAGGTTGTGGAGTCTAACTCTTGATAAAAAGGTGCCTCTGGGCCTGAACTTCGTCGTTTTTCTTCCTGTCGGCCCAAATAGCGGGCTTTCCATTCCCCCTGCTGTCTCTCAGACTCTACCGGTGGCAGCTGTGCGGCCTCAGCCTCAGCCGCCTGCTTCTCCAGGGTCAAACAACGTCCTGCTGGGAGTGAGTGCTGCTGCTGGGGCCTCACTGACCGCCCCCCTGCAGTTGTCAACAGGGTCTGCGAAGGGCAACGCGGCACCATTAGATTTGTCTAAGAAACAGAGCTCATCCGAACCTGCAGGGTCCAACATTCCTTGTCTTCCGGTTAAAAGTGAGCCAGTGGATTTTGAAATCTCAGGTCAGGCCAACGGTACAGAAATACAGCAGGCTCAAAGCCATGGCAGCTGCAAAAAGATCACTGAAACGGACGCAGAGCAGTTCAAAATGGGCCCCATGGCTGGCCCTGCGTTGCACATAAAGAAAGAACCTCAGTCCCCGAGTCCTGATCCTGATGCACTGTCATCCACATCCATCCAGCCGTCCGACAGGCCGGACAAAGAAATTAAGATTGAGGTCTGACAATTCAGGCTGTGTGTTCTACTGGAAGGCTTTGAACACAGTTAGGATGGACAAAAGTCTCTATTAGACCCCTACACATTTATCTGGCAATAATCGTGGACACGTCTAACCAAAAATAGCACTGATATTACACCATAGCCTGCACTGGCTATGGTGTGCATTTTGCTGTATTAACACATCGACTGTTATGTGATGTGACTTTATGGAGGGATTTTTTTCTGCTGTCACTGGTCACTAGCATGAATAGACTGTAAAGTGTCTGTGATGGTGACTGTTCAGCGTGATTTCTTTTTTCATCTGATCTATAAAACATTCCACATTATTTTTATTTGTATGTTTTTTGTACTCTGGGTGGAGCTGAATGGGATGTTGGGGCCTTTGCTGTATCCTGCAGGAACTTTCTGTGCATTAATAAATACTCCTGCCATCTCTTCCTTTTATTTGGCTGGGAAACAAATTCCTTTGGGATTTCTTCATTTCTCTTTTTTTGTTTTTTTTTTACACTACATGACCGTGACCTTTAATGCAACACTAAATATTTGATTAGATCTGACATTAGATAGAACATATTGCTTTCATGAAAGTTTGTCCAAACAGCCTCATATCCACAACTTCAACCAAATATAACAAAAAAAGAAAGAGATTATCTTAGTTTTTCAGATTAGTACTAAAAAATCTGTGGTATAAGTACTCTAGTCTTAATATTTTAGAACATGTGGATTGTTTAACCACATGTTTACATTTGAGAAAATGAAGAAATGTTAAATAGAACAAACGTTCAAAATCAGACCAAATTGCAGTCATGTTGTAACATCCATCCATAAGCTACTTATGTTAAAAAGACCCAGAAGTTAAAATGGTCCTCTTGCATCTTGACATGCTTCAAGAAATGATTTAAGTGAGGACACACGCTTGTTCCCATGTCTTTTGAATCCTTTTGTTTTGTTAATTCAATCATGCACTGATACATTTCTTCCTTTGGTCTGTCGGAAAGTAATTCGAATTTAAAATGTACTTCACATATCTCACCATGAACGGAACAAAAGGAGTGGAGCTTCAGTCACGTGGTTAAGGAACCCGGAAGTAGAAAGGCTGTTGGATGGTTTTCAGGTGGGCAAAACGTCGGCTATGAAGATGTCACAACAAACGCGAACATATATTGGTGTTATCAGTCGCCCTTGTTTTTTTAAACCGTAATAAGTGAAGTGTTAAAATCGTGACTGTAAAAAGGAGTTGGCGGTCCTTCGCCAGCGTTTGTTTGAATTCATGGACAAAGACAAAGGTAGCGACATTGTAAGTAAAAGAAGCTATCACTTGACGTTTTCAGTCAATTTTGCGATAAGCAGGTGGTCTCAGCTCAGGCCAGGGCTCCTTTAGTTTATCTCCAGCTGTCAGTAGCCCGGATGTCAGTAACAGACAGTGTTCGTACAGCTCATGCCGCCTGTCCACTCATGTTTGTGTACCTCTCGCATCATGCTCAGTGCTCCTGGATGGAGATGAATCAGTTCATTGGTGACCTCCTCTCATCTGGAAACCCTTCCAAAAATCAGCCAGATGTGCTGAACGCAGCATGGGGAGGGGCTGCTGCTTCTCTGGGTCTCAAACCTACTTCACTTGAACCCCTGGAGCCGCCTCGAGCTGCCCATAACAAGGGAGGGACAGCCCCGGGCCGGCCGGCCCATCCTGGGGCCGCACAGGGGACCGGCGAGGCCAGAGAAAGAGGACAAGGTTTGGGTTTTTAGAATAAATCTAATTTATTTTCTTTGGCTAATTAAAAATAAGAAAGTGTTGTTTTCTGTCCTTCTGCTTTAGATGTGCATCACGCCTGCTCTTGCCCCGGATGTCCGTCCTCCAGTCTCCCTCCATCTTTTGAAACTTTACTGCCCAGACCGTCTTTGCCCTCGTCGGCACAGTCTAAGGCAGCGTGTCGGCCCAAAGACCTGAGCCGCGGCGTGTGTTCGCCAGACACCACCGTACCCAGCAGCAGCACATCTGAGCCGGGGTCCAGGCCGCCCCGGTCACCACGCAGCGAGGCCACAGACAGGGGGACGCAAAGCCGAGATCAAAACCCCGACGCTCTCTCCTCCAGAGCGTCCTCCAGCTCTGTGTCCCACCTGCCCGTCTTTCCCTGCTTCTGTTGCCACCGTGGTCTACAGACCTGTTCCCAGCTGCTGAGCCACCAGGAGGGTGCGGGCTCTCCTTTTTCTCACACCCATGCGCACCATCATTTTCATCACCACCACTGCCCGTTGACGTCCTGCCTGGCCTGTCCTCAGCTGGCCCGCTCTGCCCAGCTCTCCGGCCCTCTGCCCTGTCTGTCCTGCCAGTGTCCGCTGCCCGCCTGCTCCCAGACGTGCGGGGGCCAGCGCCGGCCGGCCCAGCGGCCGGAGGAGCGGGGGCAGCACCCCTGCATGCACTGCCCGGCCTCTTTCCCCCGGCCGTCGCAGCTGCTGCAGCACCAGCGGTCAGAGCACGCCCACAAGCCGCCGGGCTTCCTCTGCACGCAGTGCGGCCGCGCCTTCAACTCCCACAGCAACCTCCGCATCCACCTCAACGTGCACACGGGCGCCCGCCCTTACTCCTGCTCCGACTGCGGGAGGAGTTTCAGCCAGTCCGGAGCTCTGAAGATCCACCGGCGGATCCACACGGGCGAGCGGCCGTACACCTGCGGCTTCTGCGGCCGAGGGTTCCCTCACCTCGCCGGCGTCCGCGCCCACCAGAGGACCCACACGGGAGAGAAGCCCTACCGCTGCAGCCAGTGTGGGAAGTGCTTCACCCAGTCGGGAGCTCTCAAGATCCACACCCGCATCCACACGGGGGAGAGGCCCTTCATCTGCAGCCTCTGCGGGAAGGGCTTTTCCAACCGCTCCGGCATCCGCTTCCACTACCGCACGGTCCACGGGCTGGCCCCTGAACACACCGGCCGGCCCGGGGCCGAGGGCTGCTCGCCGGGCCGGCCAAGAACCGCTGTTGGAGTTGTTGCACACAACAGCCCAGACAGCAACTCGAATTGTGCGGTCTCCTCCGGTCTGACTGCTGGCCATGGTAGCTCGGCGCAGCTGGGAGGAAATGGGAACACGTCCCGGGCAGCAGGAGCAGGCAGCCAGAGAGAGGGGCTTCTGTACGCCTGTGAGGACTGTGGCCGGCGTTTTAAAGACGCTCCGTCCAGGAACAGACACCAGACACTGGAGCACTACTCCCAGGAAGACAGGGAGGAGGAAGAGATGGAGGATGAAGAGTTGGAGGAGGAAGATGTAGAGGAAGAAGGGGAGGGACAGAGGAAAGACTTCAGTCCGATAGAGAGGGTTCACGATCACAGCGAATAACTGTGACCGAACAATGGACAGTAAATAGCTTTGTACGCATTCAAATTAATTACTTCTGGCGATTTTAAATGAAGCCACATCTTTTTCAGCTTCTGGAGAGACTGAAAGGAAGCGTCACAGCATCAAAATGGACTTCTGAGAGAGTCTGTGCAGCTGCCGTGCAGAAACCCGACAAGGTGCATTCCCACTTCAAAACAGGGTTCAGTGACAAGCATTGTGGGTTACACTCTTTTACAGCACAAACCTGTTTTTAACTAAGCTCTAAGCAGTCCCACACACCAGACCAGCTGGTGTTCTGTTTATATAACTGTCCAGTTGTACCTTGTTCATCAGCAGAAGCAGCATTCTGCTGATTCTGTTCAGTCACTAACAAACACCTGCTGGGTATATTTAACTTTTGCCTTTATCACATTTAATTCACAACTTTGTATGTTTGTGCCTCTATTATTTATTACAATCTGAAAATTATTTCCATAAATGTATCATTTAACACAAACACACACATGCATATAGATGTATATATATATGTGTGTGTGTGTGTATACGTATATATAATCCTATACATGTTACATGAGGGATAGTGGACTAACATGTGGCGTTGTTGGTAGAGGCCTAAGGCCCAGCAGAGCCACCTACTGGTGATGTGGAGTCATACCACTGAGGCACTTTGTTCCAGTGTACCATTTCCAGTGATTCTCGTGAAAACCTGGAATTCTACATTGTAAATAATAGTGCTTGGTGCAGACAAGTAAAATTCAATCCACTGTTAGGCATTAACATTTTAAATAGATTTCTGCATATATTTCAGTGTTTTGTTTGTCTTGGGAAAGTGCAGCTTGTGATTTGAACATTTCAGTAAAACGTCTCTCAGACACCACTGAACCTCTATTTTCTTGGTGCATGGCAAGAATAACAAGAACACAAAAAGCAATCATTATGTACAGACATCCTGGAAGGAAGTATACTTGTCCACACGCCCTGTGCTCTGACTGGTGAACCCTGTTGTAATCCGTGAGTGTTGGTCCGAAGTGGTTCCTGATCCCTGGGCACAGCTCCGGTCAGCAGTGGAGCACTGTGCACGGCATCTTGGCGCCCTGTTGAGGTCAGTCCAGATGCTCCTCTGGTCCCAACACGATTTGGTTCCCTGTAGTGTTTTGTTCCGTGAGCTTACTTCATTCACAAAGGCTTGTCGTATGTGTGCCTCTGTAGTAAAGAGTCACTTGACCTGGGTTCTGCGTAGACCACGCTGAGCGGCCGTGGGCCACTGGGGTGCATGGCCGGCGTGCAGTAGCCGTTGGACAGCACCCTGTGTGAGGGGCAGTCATATTGACTGGGGTTGGGTGTTGTCCTGACCGCTGAGTGCAGCACTGGAAGTGGCAGCCCGTGTGTGCTGCTGGGCAGTATCCCGGTCAGAGCGGGCAGGATGGGCTCGCAGGGCAGCTCGCTGAAGGGGGTGGCATACTCGGGCTCTGGAGGGAGGGGCTCAGCGTACTCTGGAAGGTTTCCAGGAGTGTCGTAATGAACGCAGGGGTAGGGGGTGGTGTAGTCATCCTCAGAGGAAGGTCGAAAAGTTGAACCCACCTTATGCCCGACAGCTGTAAGATCAGGGGCTGCGTAATCTGAAGATGTTGGTAAAACAAAAGGAATCCTGTTACTTTAAATTAAACTATAATTTACAATGGAGGCCCGTGTTTTTGCTCATAATCTTTGCTGACCCCAATTAGGACGACATGTCAGACTGAATACGACTCATGAGAAAATAACTTGTACATGAGGGCTTCAGTTTCACAGTTTATCCCTATTGTCACTATATTTTCTCGTGTTTTACGTGGCCATTCATAGCCTCCTCTGCACTCTGTTTTGTTTCTCACCTTTTTACCTGCAAAATCTCAAAGTTTCCTGAACTGAGCTGATGCTCCAACACAAGCTGGAAGAGCTTTGGCATCTTTATATAACACGTCTCTGATGTGCCGCGAGCTATTATCTTAATTTTTGACCCTCAGCAGTTGCTCAGAGAAACCCATGTTTGCTGACAGGATGCATGAATGCTCTGGGCATCAGCCGGTAACAATGCTTCCAAGTCCAAACACAGAGCTTCAACTTTGTTCTCTTAAATAGTAAAACAAAGAAAGTACACTGAAACAATCTTTGTTTGATACGTCAGCATAAGTGAGGTGTGTCTATAGTTATTGCCTGTTTGAGACTCTTTAAACATACATACAGCTGTTGATATTTCTAACAGCTAGTCATTTTACAACAGAGCAATCCTGAGAAAAGCGAAAGTAAAAGATCATAAGGATTAAGACTGAGAGTAAAGCAATTTGATCCAGAGGCTGTGGTGTAGGAGGTTCAGACATAATGACAGAGCTCCCTGAACTATTAATTAGACAGGCCCCTGTGGGAGCTCTGACTGTCTTAGCATCGACCCCTCTGACGTCTTTATCACTGGACGTCTGAGTGAAGGGGGGAGGGGATCTGCTTGGATGGGTGGGTCAGTGGGGTAGGCAGCTTTTTTTTTCCAAGCTCCAATTAAAGGGTCTCTTTCAGAAAGGCTCAGCAGACTAAAGAAAGGAATGTTTATGCTGTGACTGGGTGATGGGCTAAGCTGGGGAAAAGAATGGACAGCCCGCAGAGAGCTATTTGCCTGTCAGGCCTGGCCGGAGCAGTACAAACTGACCGCTGAAGCCCAGCACTTAGCAGGATGATCAGGGGGAGAGAGGAGGGGACACTTACATTAAAAACCAAAAAGCGTAAATACTCACCATTCAGAGGCGGATTAGGCAGAGCATCGTGGACATTTCGCTCTCGTGGGTAAGAGATGAGCTCTGAGTGTGGACAGGGGAGACTCTTCGCCTTAAAACTCTGGCAATCTGCTCGGTACAGAGACATGACACAGTCACAGGTTGAACAGCACATTACAAACCAGTGTGTAGCGGTGGAGCTTCTCTTACCTGTGGGGACAGAGTACTTCAACTGTGACTCCTTTTTCCTATTGAGAGGAGATCAACACAAACTATGAAGGTATTTTACATGTAAGAAGCACAGCAATTCTTTGTCCCAAATTGTGTCAAAATAACACACCTGAACCTTAAAATCATGGTCAAACAACATATTTTAAAAGGTTTATTTAGATTTCAGATCATTATAAAAAGCATCTGTTCAGAGGCCCAGTTCTAAGTCGATGCATTAATGCACGGTACCTTCGCTTCCACCAGATTCCAGCCAGCAAACAGCTCCCGCACATGAGCAGTCCCAGGACCACCCCTACTGCCACCAACACCGGCTGACTGGAGCCTGCAAACAGTTTGTTTGTGTGCAGTTAACTGCAATGTGCACGCTAAAATATATCAAACTACACAGTAGGCTGTTGATGTAAGATGTGTAACGCATACTTCTGGTTGTCTCCACCAGCACTGAGCCCGCTGTGGGCTTTGGGGAGGGGCTTGGGTAAGGGATGTCCACGTTGACTTCGATGGACGGAGATTCTTTTGGACAAGTGGGAGGTGAAAGATTTTTACATCTGGAGCAGCTGGTTCCTTACTGGACTGAGTTCATGGAGGCAGTTTACTCACCTCCGGGCGGCCGCGACCTCGGCGTGGCCTTCGCGGCCGGGCAGCCCTTGACCTGAACCTGCGTGGAGGCTCGTCCGTACCAGCTCAGAGGGTGCAGCCGAATGAATCGAGCCACCGCAGCAGGAAACAGGCTGTTGAGCACTTTCAGGTGACCATTGGTGTAGGCCTCGAACACCTGGGCACCAAAACACTGTCATCTCACTGAGAACTCTTGAAGTCTGCCACAACAGTTCTGATACTTGATTAGGATGAATATCTATTTGTATTAGCACAAGCATTTAAGACCTCCCAGCTTGAAACCAGTAAGTGAATGTCACCGGGTCAGACCTGCTGTGGCTGCAGTAGCAACTATTTAGAAAATAAGCAAACATACTCAGTTTTTAGAAAGTTCCCTGCTTACCTTTTGCTCTTTGCTCAGAGCCCTTCTGTAAGGCTTCCAAATCTTCTTGTCCTTGCTGAAATGAAGGCTGTAAGATTTAAGGAAGTGCTCATCTGATCCTATTGTTACTATTCCTGAGGAAAGAGAGCATTTTGTTACTTTGAAATAATTAGAACATGCGGAATATATTGGCAATGCTACATCTTTACTGGCGAATTTTAAGCATAAATAGTTTCTACACCTGTGATAGTGCTTCTGTCAAGCAGCTCCATCTCCACCCACGGGTTTGCGTCATTACTGTCTGCCATCCAGTGTAGGAAGTCGTGGCCGGACTCCATGTCTCTGGAGGACGAGAACATTCTGTCCTCTTGACTGTTTTTCTCCCAGAAAGAGGAGGCATTTAGAGCCGAGACAGTCAGGATGTTGTTGCATTCTGTTCAGGGATGAGAGGATGTGATTGACTGATGTTTGTGGCCAATTCTGTAACTTTTTTTCTTTAAAGACATTCAGCAAACACTAGCCCCTTCAACTGCTGATGTCAACATTCTGCTTTTGATACTCTATTGAAAGGAAGTGATGCTGGCAGCTTTCATTATTGCAGAACATGTCCAACATTTAAAAGGATGCAGCTTGCTTTGAGAATTAAACAGCTGGAATGTAAATATTGCTCAGCCTGAGGCAAATGTCTGCCAGAGAATTTGTAGAGTGCGTTTAGAAACGTTGCAGCTGGCTCGTACCTCTGCTGAAAAGCAGCTTCTTCTCGGATAATGATCCCCTGTGAAAAGAGCAGCAGAGTAGAGGGTCAGAATGGTTCCCGACAGACATTACTGGGATCTAACATCTGGAACACAACAACAACCGTGAACGCACGTCTTAGAGAGGATCCCATTGGCAAACGTGGACTCGTAGAGAGTCAGACTCCTCCCACGATTCACAGTGATGCGACCTCCCCTAGAGTCAGACGTGGCTCCAGCGTGGACCGCAGACTTGCACAGGACTGATGTCTGTGGTGGACGAGAGAGACGGAGCACTTTCGGACAGCTATTTAAAGAAAAATGTATTCAAGATGAAACTCAAAAACAGTTCGACAAAATGTAAAGCTGTGCACTCACATCTCTGTAACCCTTTTCAGAGTTTCCCCAGATGTCCCCGGTGACATTCTTGCATCCAGCAGGGCAGTACATGCTGGGAAGGAACAAAATTACACGTGTGAAACAACTCAAACTGGCCCTATGGGGTTAACGGAGTCAGTGAGTGCTTACCTCAGCTGGGGTGAGGTAAAATGAGAACCTCTTTGTAAACATGAGATAAGATCTGAAAAACAGAAACAAATAAAATAAGTCAGAATGAATATGCACCTTCCTGAACAGTGGAGAAGGACTTTAACAGTATTGTAGCATGTTTGGTGCTTGCATAACGACCCCCCCCCCCAACCATTCACTCAATGGCACAATCAGAGATTCTTTGGGAGACGATCTGAACCAGGCTGCATTAGGGCAGGGGTGATCAGCGCTGTTGATGTGACTGCACCCTTTGTTACTGTCCTTCGGTCACAGTTCTCGACTACAGTGAATGCCGTCGTGCGATCACAGTTACGAGACACTGGTTTGTGTGTCTGCACAGCTCCGGACACGGCCGGATTTGATAAACGGCTCACTGAAAAACAGGAAGCCACGATCCATGCTTCACAGTTTGTAGAGCTTCACCCAGAGTAAAAAAGGACACTTTTTGAGTTAAAAGCAAAAGAGTCCTAAAGGAGGAGCTTTAACATTTTGTGAGGAGCTTTATGTCTTTCTGCTTTTTTTCAGAAAAATCAGCAGTTTGTGAGTTAAGAAAATGGATGTCTGCGGAGTCGAAGTGGTTAACAGACTGATGACAACCGCACAAGCGACAGACTGAGGCCCAAGGCCCTCGTTCTATTCAGCCTGTGAAAGGGAGTCTTACTCTTGTTTTCTGAGCAAACATGCCAGAGCAAAGATGGCGTTGGGGGATGAATGCCATTACACGGTGACTCATACACTCGCAGACCTCAACATGCAAGTCCCCCAAAAAATATCCAAATAAAAACAGGCTCAAATGAAACGGCATTCAATAAAATAATCACTGAATTAATAAGTAATTAGTGAATTAAGTTTATTAATCAGAACTCACACACTGTGCTATTGTGACCCAAAATGTTAAACATTCACTGAATGCGTACGATTTATCTCAGGTGAGCACTCAAACCCGAGCAGATAAAGTTCAGGCCTACCAGAATACTGGTCCGTTGCATATGAGAGGAGAAAACCTCGTCCAGATCGATGTGGACCGGCCCTGAAAGCCACCATCACTTCATTGCTTTGAAATGTCACATTTTTCTGGGCTGCATCAAGCTTCCCACATATTGGACCTGGAAATAGACATAAAAATTAATTGCTAACTTAGTCATCACAGACACAGATGTGGTGTCATTTCTGGACCTTACTGACGTCACTGAAATGTGTAAGTGTTCAATGTTTAACTTTTTTCAGAAGAAAAGGGTCATAACTGGTAAAGAAACGCAGCTCGTGATCTGTTGTATGTTTCTTAACAATTTGACACCAATAAACTTCTGCAGAAAGCTAGCCAGATATTTAAATGTTGTTGGCCTAAATTGGTATTTGAATGACACATGTAGCTTTTCCAGTACAGACCTGACCAACAGCAATGATAAACATGTTTTCCAAAAGCCTGGACTTTTGGAACTTCTTTCCATTAACTAATTATGAGCATAATTATGATGTATTCTTGGCGTCATTACCCACCGTTTAAGCTTTCTGGCTGACTGTCCCAGACCATGAAGCTTCCATTACCATCACGACTAACAGTGGCTGCAGTGCTGATGGAGTTTAATGTCTCCATCAACACAGGGACTTCTGGTCCTTGGCCAACCATACAAATTTCTGTCTAACCTTTAAATAAATATTTTGTCCACAGGACAGTTTCTTCATTAATCTCTCCAAACCAGTACTTAGTGTTGCTTCTGTGTTGTTCTGCTTAGAGCAGTGTTTTAATGATCTTTCTGATACAAAAAATTAGAAAATGAAAGCAATTTTAACAAAGCTGACTTTTCAAGCCTTTGAAGGCATTCTCACAAAAATACATCAATGAATGTAAGGGCTTGATCAATGCCAGAACTATACCCGTAACCTTTTTTAAATGAAAAGGTTTTCTGGAATACGTTCATAAATCCGACAGCGGCCTCTAAACTTCTGAAATGTCTGTAGCCTCTGGACAACTTGAAACAGCTGGTTGCAAAGTTTGCTTGTGTGTCTTGCAAAATAGAGCTTGTTTCCTCAGTTAGTGTGTCAGTTGAATGGCATGCCCTGTGTGTGTGTGTGTGTGTCGACCCTGCACAGAGCACAGATCCAGCTGAACTTACCCATCCAGGGCTCTCCGTTCTTGCCTGTGATAACCACAGAACCATTGCTGCAGCCTGGACTGCTCTCGATGTCGAAGTCTCCAAACAGCAGCCGAAGTGTCCGTCCCTCTGGCACAAGGAGCCTCCACTCACACCAGCCGTTACTGGGATAGGTGCCGGGATAGTTCTGAGACGCTAGGGTGCCAGACTCTCCCCCCAGCAGCGTATGTCCGCAGCCATTACCTGACGTCACACAATTGATAGAGGTATGTGACATCACAAACAGAAAGACATTCATTATTGTTTTCAAGTTTGGAAACAGCTTGTTCATCCTTAAGGAAATATATGATTGTTCAGCTGTGTGTGTGTACAGAGCATGTCGTGTCTGACAAGGGATATTTGTTTGCTACACAGCAGATATGATGGATTTTTAAAAAAAGCTTTGAGAAATGTTTCAGTAAATCCAAAGTGGCAAAACCGCAGACAGGTTTGTCATACATTTTCTTAATTGAACAGACAGGATATTAAGGGCTTTGTTAACGCACTATTTAAAGATCAGTGACTCACAAGCCTCATCTGAACATGCCCTGCAGACCTGGGCATGTTTACTATCATAACTTAGCTATGACACAAGAGCCAGTGAGGAAAATTAACACTACAACCTGCATACCGGGTATATCGGCAAAGAAAATCGCCAAGGATTTCATCAGCTAAAAATTAAGTACAAAGTCTGGGATTTCTTAATGGGTTTGTTTGGCTAATGGAAAGGCAAAAGAACTGTGAAACAGTTTCCCTGGAAACAACATATCTTGACTGATGACTTGAGTAATCTTCTGACCTGTGGTTACTGTGACTAAGGCTTAGACTGGAGCAGAAAACACAAATATTTGCACCATCTGATATCCTTTTACATCAGTGAAATTAAGTGAGTCAATTCTCCCAGAGATCAGAGTTGTGGAGGCAGCATCCACATATTCCAAAACCTAGACCTGTTCCAGGAATGGTCAAAACTTTGGGGTCAGACGAAGTGTAAACATCACGCCCCCGGTCCTTGTCTTCCATAAAAGGCTTCCGCAAAAGTATTGAGGGGAAACCTCTAGATAAACACCCCCTCATCCTGTGTCATTCAATTACTATCGTCCAAGCAAATTCCCCCATTTCCCAGAAGATCTTCAGCTCCAAATAGCATAATTGTTTGATTGTTTCAGCCCCTCCTCAGGTCCCCAAAGGATTCTCTGGAAATGCCACAGTGACATACTGTAGCCGTGGGCAACAGAGCATGGATCTGTCACCTTCCTGTGGGAGGCCACAGACGCAGCAACAAGGGACATTTTGGACGCCTGTAAAATTGTGAAACCCAGTCCAAGATCTCTTTCAACTACGTGTCTTCCTCCAGAGCAGTTTTCCCCCCCAGTTTCTTACAAAAACGTATATGTGTTTGGCCTGTTCTGACCAGCTCAGGGAAATTTAGGCAGTAAATTCATCAAAAGTGGATGCAGAGTGGCTGGTGATACAAGCAGAGAGTCAATCAGGAGCAGTTCGACGCTTGAGGCTTTGCTGGCAGGTCTTTACAGGTCCACACTGGCAGACAGGATGTTCACCTGTGCTACCTGTCAATACATAGCCTTATCCCCTCTGGTATGTCAGTTGCATTACATCGCAATCGTTGCAATGTTTCTTTCCCACAAAACTATACCCACCAAAGACAGCATATTTGTCAAGTTAAAGGAAACGATTCTGAATGTATCATTCACTCTAGACTTAATCATGCTGCTGGTCCATGTGGGGAAAAAAACTCAAGCCCCAAAACCCAGAGGCAGACAAAAACAAGGATTTGTGGTTTGGATGTCTGCTGGAGTCATAGTCTACATGTGTAATAATCATTCTCTCTGGCTATAGCTGTGTACACATTGCCACTGTGATTCACACTGGGCTTAATTTCTGTTTAAACAAAAACTGTGGGAAAGATAGTTGGGATAAACAAGTAAACACATTAATAAGGAAAGAGTATGTAAAGAATGTTACTATGACAGCCCATGGTCGACCTTCGTACCCACCTCAATGTGCCATACAGAATATCTTCCGCAGCAGAAATACAAGTAGTAACAGTAATGTGTGTTTTGTGTGGCTCACACTGCGTGTTAACAAGTGGATATCACAGCCAATAAGGTTTTGCTTTTCAAAAATTAGCTTTTAATGCTTGGCCAAACCTTATTTATGCTTTCCAAACACGTCATTACAGGCCAAAACTAATTAAGTGAGTATGTTTAGATGCTCGTTAGCAGAAATGAAGATGTTCGAACTCAAGCCTCACGTAGCAATCCTTATCTTAACATAAAAAGTCCAGGAAATTGTATTTTTCTTACCCTCCTGACCGTAAACTCCGACGGAACAAACGCTAAAAGTGACCCAAAAACACGTTAGAAGAGACTTCACAGCATTCTCGACGTTTTCGCACTTTGCAAGCATGATTTCCAGTGCTGTGCGCGACAAAAAGTAAGGTGCATGCTTCGACTTCTCGGGTTCTTGCTTTAATAAAAAGTTATAGCATGGAAGTATTGGATATTTACCATTGGCCAGAGTTGTACAACTCAACTTTCTATTGGCTGAACTCATACGTCAATCAAAGAATCCCAAACATGCCATTCCCAATTGGAGGCGGGCTCACGTGTGGTTGGCCGCTGACCAAAGACCAGTAGAGATTATCAATAATAATGATAGAGATGGATGTTGTTTGGTTTGTTTGCGGGGACTGTTTTTACATGTGACTGTATCTAAAGTGGGAAAAGCCAGCATAAATACAGACAACATTCTGAAGAAGAACATTTTAACCTTCCCTTTTCCCCCCTGTGTGCTTACATTTCTGCTCGAAACGCGCCCCCTACCGATGAAACAGGGGAAGCAACAAACACACAACACACGGCAGCTTAGAACATTCTCAGTATCATAAATCAACTGAAAGTCAAATATCAAATTATAACGCGACCGTTGCGTGTAAATCCAGTCACTAAGGGACAGATATTCTCTGTCGTGTTGGTGGAAAACATGTTTTGAGGCCTGACATCTTCCCGGGGCCTGCGTCCTCATACGGAGGCACTCAAAACAAGCGCCATAAGAGCAGTCTGACCGATTTACACATCGCGTGCCAGCAAACCGCTTCTCGTGACAGCGGGACAGATGCTTCTCAGGCAAATGCTGCCTTCACTGCAGGAAATGCAGCGAGGCGGCGAGGCGCATGCTCTGGTTCCTCTCTGACAAACGGAGGATGCGTTATTTCCGACTGTAAAACCGTGAGTAACGTTATACTCGTTTAAACTTGAGTGTTCTGTAGTTGTCGCGTGGACACGGTGTGGGCTTTTTTTTTTTTTTTTAGCCTTCCTGGACCAGGAGCGCGCGCGGGACTGTTGTTGTCCGGGCTATGCGTGCTGCCGCCCCAGCAGACGTCACTTTGAGAAGGTAAAAGAGGGTGAACCAGACACGCAACTGTTGACGGGACAGTTAACTGTATAGTGTTTAGACTGTCCATGAACATATTGGTTCCTGCTTTCCACCACATGGCAGTGCAGCCTTGTTATGATTATTTCTAACAGGGTTTTTGTATCTCTGTGGTTTAATCTGAACTGACTCTTGACCGAGACTGAAATAATACTATGGAAAGGAAACGAGAGCCACTGTTGCAACTTTATTGCTGTTCACCGTTGCTGTTGACTGAAATAAATTACATGACACGTTTTAACCTAGTGACCTTAAATAGCAGGGCAGTGAACCACGTCGTTATTCTGTAACCTTCTAAAATATGTGTACATGTTGTCAAATTACCAAAATATGGAACACAACATGCTAAATTGGAACATTAATACGGAACTGTAACATTTTCAGGTAGCATTACAGACTTATAGGACAGTAATTACTTAGACATTGACGTTGACTCAGATTGGCTCAGCAAACACTGTGTGCGATATTTCTTTTAACATACCTATTTATGTGTGTCATATATGTGCTTAATCAGTACCCTGATAGCAGCTATTTGATTTAGAACAGCTGATTTTAATTTTATGCTATATTCTTCATTGTAAAAAAATCAAAATACCTTGCAGAATCTAAACTGTAACAATGTTTAATGGTTGGAAATATTTTTTACATTGAAACAGGGACATTCGACATTTTGATCTATTTTTTGATTAGATGACAATAAAAATTATTCAAAAAACAACTGGACCGGATTGATCAGTAAATTACACTATTCCACTCTGAAAGTTATCCTAGTCCTGCTTGGCATGAGATTTATGTTGCATAACATGTAGAAGCCTCCTTTGTGGTATTTTTAGTATGTCAAATGAGTATTAAAGAACACGTCTGACCCAATTAACAGCCCAACTTTAGATGCAGTTGTCTCCTGGATGCAAACATAAACTGCTCCAAAACCTGACCTGAGCTGAGTTCAGTTGAAAAATATTGCAGCTCATGCAGGGATTTTCATCACAGAATCATCCTTGTGTTTAACTCAGAGCTCCTTGAGGGCTTGGCAGTCAATGCTACTTGCCAGTGTTTTTTCTATTTTCCTTTAATGGTACATGACTCTTCCAGCATCTTGTTGCACAATATTGATATCACATTTTTAATAAGAGCATGTTAATTTTAAAAATCAACATAAAACAGATATACTTTTTTACCACTGAATGGAAATAAAGACATTCGTTGTCTATTTCCACAATACACAGTAACTCAACTTTTTGTTCCTCATAGTTATTGCATTGATTTGCTTTCTTTAGTTTGTTTTTACATTTACGGTCTCATAACTCAGGTTTTAATCCAAGCTACAACCTTCTGTCACGTGTCATCATCTGTGTGCCCTCTCCAATAATCTGGGATGCCCAGTGTTTATGGATTAAGTCCTGTAAAGCATTTGAATCGTTTAAAACATTTGTTTGACAGTCGCATGCCATAAAAGTAAGTTAATCGAAGCTTCCATGGTCTTGTGAAAGAGCTAAATAGGCACGCCTGCATGCATGAGTCTGACCTTGATGTTGAGTCTTGCCTGGCCCTCTCTGCGTGCAGCTCTGCGAAGAGGGGTGATGGCTGGTGCTGAGGCCGATGTGTCTTCAGGGCAACTCATGACAGTTAAAGAAGAGGAGGGGGAGTACAGCGGCAAAAACAATAAGAATCAAGTCACACTGCCCCTGCATGGGTAATATTGTACATATACATACACTTGTTTGAGTTATGAGTAACGTGAAATAAATCTACAATAACTATTTATCTTTATTGTAGTACTTTTTAAGCATAACTAATGCTATAAAGTCACCATTAACAGAAACCTGATTGGTAACATGTCAGAAAAGTGTGAACACGGAATCAGACTCCTGTAGCTGATTGATCTGATTTCATGTGTGCATCTGTCGCCCTCTACAGGTTGGGGGATGGCATTGCAGAAACTGGAACCACAGTTTTGGCCATAGAGACCCATCAAGGTGAGAAAAGACATGTCCCGTCACAGCTAAATTCATCACTCCAACCGTAACGGATCACATAAAATCCATTTCTAAGGTGTAGCAGTTGCTTTTTGTGTGTAATGAATCAGGTGGTGTTTTTCCAAGCCGCACGGCTATTTAACACACCGTATGTGAACAGAGAGCTTGGGTAAATCTGCTGGATTGCAGTTATGCTTTGGCAGGTGTTCTTGTGGAGGCACATTGCAGAGACAATGCAGGTGGTTATGGATGTGCTTTTGTTTTTTTGTGTGTTCTTTTTGTACGTTTAGATGACAGTAAAGCTGAAGGAGATGAGATTGAGTATGGCTACCCCATCACTTGTGGAGACACCAGGGCTGTGCTGCTTTTCAAGAAGTTTGTGTGCCCTGGAATCAATGTCAGATGCGTCAAAGTAAGTTGATGCATTTAAATAGGTGGTGAACTTTAACAAAGTGACACAATTTTATTAATTATTTCTGTGGACAAAATAATTCATCTTCACATTTTGTAAGCCACTTATTTTAAATGGCCTGCATATACACTTCATAGCTCCTATTTACCTCATCCAGGGTAAATCAACCTCCAAGGTTTTCATCTGTTAGCTTTCTCTGAAGGAAGACAGTCAGTCCAAGAATGGTCTCAATTATTTCATTGTGTGTACGGAACACCAGAGTGTTTGTACTCTCTACACAAAACCGACAGTCAGCCCAGGCTTTTGTTAAATTTAAACTTCAAAGTGTGTCGGGAGGAATAACAAAGCAATAATTTAATTATTTTACTGTGTAAACAATATGCCCGATACTTCCTTGTCTTCTTTCTTTCAGTTTAATGACCATCTCATCAGTCCGAAGCAGTTTGTACACCTGGCAGGGAAAGCCACGCTGAAGGACTGGAAGCGGGCCATCAGACTTGGAGGGGTTATGCTCAGGTACAACTCTAAAACATTGAATAAACATATTTTATGTCTGATATGCGATTAGGCTTGAGGCTGACTTTACTTTGCTGTGTTGGCGTGTGAGTGTCAGTCCTTAAAAAAGCTCAGCGTCATAAGGGAGGCATCTTTACCGTCTCTTACGCTTGTAAATACCAACTGCATGTATGTCTGTCTCCACTGTTTGCAACTACATTCCTGAGACTGTGGGTAAGCAGAATTATGATGATAGCGCCATCAATAGCTCGTTCGTGAAGTCCCGGGTGCAGCTACTCTCCAGGTTATCATGTTTGCACTTGTTGTTGGCGTAACTGTGAGTCTACACACAAAAAGTCAACAGGCGGTGTCTGCTCCTTTGATCTTTATTTCCTCCCGAGGTCCGACCAGCCAGCTCGGTGTCGAACAAACCACCAAAGACACATTTGGATCCTCCACCAAGTTCAAGCCTATAATGTCTCTCGTTGTCTGAAGTACTTTACAGCGTTTTGTACGCTTGTACCCTTGTAGGAAGATGATGGACTCTGGCCAGATAGACTTCTACCAGCATGACTCCGTGTGCAGCAACACCTGCCGCAGCACAAAATTTGATGTGCTGATCAACAGCACGCGGCCTCCTTTGGGGACCGTGGTGCAGCCGAGCCTGTCGTGTCTGGCTCTCGACCCTGTTGGAGGACATGTGCCTCCCTTGACAGGTAGATTTTAGCTGGCATTTGCAGTTTACCGTTTTGTTTTTTGTTTTTTTACCCCTCCCACATATGCTGCAACTCCTGTTGTATTAATGAGACGATAAACTAAAAAGTTGAAGACCATCAAACTTGGATGATGATTCATCCAGCCAGGAGCTAAAAAACACAAGAGAAAGAAAGGAAAATGATTAAAATCAGCAGAATCGATATTTAGAAAAAACAGTCTTTTAATTGTCTCCCCTCAGCCAACACTTTGAAATTGCTCCGGTTGTCTGTTTTGTTGCCATTTCAGGAGATTCACATAATGCAGCTGAGGTAGAGGAGCCCTTGGAGGATAAAGTCAGTACAACGCCAGAGTGGAGTAACGGTCAGCTTCGAGTTGCAAACCCCACAACTGCTAGTAGACTTTCTGCAAAGCGAAAGAGGGCTGAAACCACTGGTAAATATAGCAGTGTACACAGCGTATATGGTTCAAGATTTTTGCTCCATCACGCAAGAAAAATGATGGCACCTGTTGCAGACCTGCAAGCGCCCACTTCCTATTCTGGTAGAATTAGCCCAAATGCATATTTAAGGCATGCCCACAGTGAGCTGAAGGCTGCTTTAGAGCCACACAAAATAAACTGAATTTTGGTCTCTTTTGAATGCAAACCATTTTTTCCCCTCCCAACCCGCCCGAAACTGTCAAAGTCAATCAAAGTATGACTGGAACTGGAAGATGAGGCACAACTGCCAGCTAGTGAAGATGCTGACGCAGTCAGCGGGATTATATTGAAGAAACCAATTTTAGAGGCTAAAAGCTTTACTGAACTGGATTCTTGGGACTTTTGTCTTTTTTGTCAATGAGAAAAGTCAGCTTTTGTCAGGAAAGTATTGATCAATGTCTTTCCAGGTGGCCTTTGAGGTGAGTTGCCTTTTTTTGGTGTTTGTTTTGATTCTTTTAGCTATAGATTTTTCCCACACTGGTGGAACTATTTTGAAATGCTTTGTGTCTGCAGAACTGCCGACATCTTCATTTTTAAGTGGTATGCTGCATGTGCACCTACTTGTCCACGACATTTGAAGGCCGCCTGAGGTGTTTAATAGACACCACAGGGGTAGATGCTATCTTTCGAATATAATTCACTGGTGTGTATATAGTTTTGTGTCAGCACATATTTCAAAGTCTGGAACCGTCAAAGTTTAATTGCCGTTTGCTTTTCTTCTCTTTTCTTTTTTTTTTTTAGCACAGAAAGAGACACAATAGTCAAGAAGCCCATGGCATGACCTTTAAAGGATTCTTGATTGTCCGTTGCTTTTGTTTGACCCCTCTGACACAGCGAGCTACTCAACCTCTGAATCTGCAGTTGTGGGATGTGCAGCCATTCCTGCAGACTGTCCTTAAAAAGTTGCTGATCACAGGCAGAAAGAGAGTCATGTCCCTTTATTTAGCCAGCGACAGCAGCTGACATTTCCAGGTGTGGCTCTTTCTTACTGGGAGCTGAGCTTTGATTTAAGGGCTTTAAAAGGTGACCTGACTTGGCGTGGTTCCAGGTAGCCCTTGGTTGGTGGAACGGCCTACGGGCATCACGTGAATGGCAGATTGGGCCCCCTCCCTGAGCATGTTGCTGGACTGAGAGCAAAATGACAGTTCTTATTAAGCATACGCAGCTTCCAGCTCCACTCTTCAGTATACAGAAATATTTTTCTGTATTTTTCTTCCAAGCGGTGCACTTTCCTGTCACAGAGGAATAAATTAATTTAAACTCAGATAGCTGCAAATGGGATTCCAAATGTTTTCCGTTGAAATGTTGTATTAATCTTGACAGAAGTTTAAGCAAGCATGGCTCTGTGTGCATATCCTTTAAAGAAATATTTCTGACATCCTCTGACATTTCATCACAGTAATATTCTCTACTTCTGTTTCACTCAGTTTTACGCAGATCCCAAGTCATTTTTCATTCTCCTTCAAATCTGTCCTGCCCTCCTTTTCCTTTTCCGACAGCACCACTTTCCTAACCCATTTTCCAACCCTTTCCTCTCCACATCTGTCACCCATTTAACATCCTCTCTCCAAGTGCTGCACTTCTCCCATTTCCTTTATCTCCTTGTATCTTTTTGTTTCTTCCTACCAACCTTGACGTCTCCCTCTGTGTTTTCTTCCTGACTTTATTACATTTTCAGCGCATCGACTCTCCTCAGATGTCACCCCCAGACATCTCCCGACTTCCCCTCTCCACCTTATTTATCCCAGAATTTCTTATTCCTCATCGCTGTTTTGCCCCTCATTGTGTTTTGGCTTGCCGTGGATCACTCATTTGCACACAAATCAAATCTTTAGTGGTGCTTTCATGACTGGCTCTTATTTCTCTGTGGCTCTTTTTTACAACTCCTGATAAAATAAAAAACAAACACACAAGCACATCTCCACGAGTCCTTGTAACATCTCATCTGATTATAGACGGAGTTCTGAGTCTTTGGAGGGGTGTCGCTAACTCTGGCCTGATGGGGGAGGTCCTGTCCAGTCTCCAGACAGAAGTATTAACCACCCTTAAAGGAGTGGGGTGTCGCAGTGAGAAGGCTAGCCTGCAGGAGACAGGTCAGTTCCCACGGGACGGTGGAATGATTGTAGAATAAAAATCTATCATCTCTGAAAGAGCCGAATTTATTGTTGACATTTTGATGGCTTTTATTAATCATTAAAACTCTAGTCAACTTTTATTTTTTCTTTCTTCCTGGCCAGATGCCCTCATACTTAATTCCTTGAGTGAGATGTTTGGGCTTCTAGACTCTGTGAAACAAGCTCTGGATCTGAGGCGCAGGCAGACAGGAGAGAGCAGAGTGGCTAATGGTGAGCTGACAAAGACAGCATGTAGCTCATGGAGCAATACCCAAAGTGGACTGTATTTATTAATCTCTTGCTTTCCTTTAGGCTCGGGTGACGCCTTATATCAGAGGAAGAAGAGTTTTAACAGAAGCAGGTCCTATGAAAATAAATTCTTTAAACGTGCTCGACCTCATCCCAGAACCCAGAACTCCCCGTCGTCCATAAGAAGAAGCACAGTGATCCATCCTCTCTCTGTTAGTGACGTATCCGCCGCCCCTTACCCTCAGCTAGTCAACCAGACGTATTCTTTCATTCCCAAGTGTCATCGTGCGGGGGCAAGCAGGACAGACAGGAGGGATGGCCAAAGGGAGCAGGAGATTAGTGAGGCAGGAAACCAGGAGGAGGCTCACCAGTTGGGACAGGAGAGCAGCGAGGAGGACGCCTCAGGGATGCACAATCAGCCTGGATGGAGGACATTAAAGCTTCTGGGAGACTCTCACATTAGCTGTTAAGTGGAGGAGGAGACACAGGATTCATATGGCACTAAGGAAATGATTAGAGAGAGAAAGACATCAAAGACATAAAAAAGTGGGACAGAATTATTCGGCGGGACTGTTTTTTGGGTAAAGTGCAAGGGACTAAAAGTAAAAAAGAAAAAAATCAAGAAAACTTTGTTAAACTGTACTTTTTCTTTGAGCTTTGTTGTGCTGCAATGGGGGAGGCTGCTGCTACGGGGCTGTGTTCCCAAACTTTAAGCAGGTGGTATAAGTCAAAGTCACGGCCAAATGAGCACCAGGATCTAAGAATTCTCAAGAGAGCACTGAACTGTAACAAGATGGTCTCTTTCATTGACCTTCGCCGACAGTGGTTTAGAAATTGTGGCTGAGCGGTATATTAACAGGGATTAGTGGAGTTGTGCTTCCAGCAGCCATTTACAGATGCAGATTTATGCACCTTGGACATTGGAAATTGATGCTGGGTATGTTTTCACTGGCCATATTCCAGTTAGAAGTCAGGAATCCAGCCGGATATCTTCAATATGGTGCTAAATGACTAAGATAGCAACTCTTACAAGGTTAGAAAATGTTGCATCAAGCGTGTGCTGATAGAAGTTGGAGAGTTCTGTGTTGTCAGGTGATTTAATGAAACAGACTGACAAAACAGTTTATTGCTATTGCACTTATATTAATTTAATGGGGCAGCCATGTTTGATTTTTAGGGTGAGGTAAATAAAGTTCCTCAACATTTCAGCTCTGCAGGTTAAATCTGATTAAATATGGCAGGTCCAGTTGGGAATTAAGAAAAATTCTCAGTTTATTTGTAAACTGCTTTTGTTCTTACACTGAGATGTTGTGATACAAAGACATTTTCTAAAATGTTTTTCTGATCTTTTTTTAATCATCTATGTTTATGAAATAGGATCAATCAATGGGATCAAGTATTGAGCCTGTCACAATGTTTAACTACAGTTTTAATAGTCTAACAACTGTGTTTTGGATAAAATATACAATCTTTTGCAGTCTCAGTATGTCACTTTGAGCGTTGGATATTTATTGTGACAGTTATTTGGTTACTATTTTTTGACAGGAATAAACAGTAAACTGAGATTAAGCTGCATCGTAAAACACAGAGTTCTCTCTTGTCTCGTAGCTGTGTTGGAACTCTGTGTAAATGTTTTTATGTTTCAGGTCGAGGATTCTAAATTAAAATCTGCCTAAGAGTAGAAAGTGTCTTTTTCCAGTTGTTTTTTTTTACATTGTTTTCCAAATATTTGTAATTAAAACTATTTATAGTTAAACTTGTGTTTTGAATTCTACATAATTTAGACTTATTTCTTACCCATATATAACCTTGTTTTATGCAGTGTATAAAACAAGCTTACATCACAAAGTTACCAGCCAATCAAAAGAATAGAACTTATTCTTAAGATATTCTTAAAATATAAAAGCGAAGAAACAATTCTTTGTCTTGTCGCATGCTACATATATAGAAACCTTTGAGCATTTGCCATAGTAATACCATAAGGACAATATGCTTTAAACATGGAAGTGTGGTTTAAAAAGACACTGATGGTCTAAAATGACCTTGCTGGATAACGATCACAGTTTCAATTAAACCTGATGCAGTGTTTGAGCTTCCCTTTAAGAGCCAACTTCACACTACTCAGTTTATTGATTCTTTTAATGTCAGGTTGTTGATGAGAATTGCAAGATGCTGGTAGACTTATCGACAGCATAGACAGGAAGACGGCTCAGTGTGAAACGCCGATAAATGACATCAATTTCATTTGAAGCTTATTGTTGTTGTTTTTTCTGAGAGCTATCATTCTTTTGGTCTGTCAAAAAGTCAGACTGCGCGACCCTGTGGTTTGAATACCTCAGTTTCATTTACAAGGCTGAAGTTAGTGTATATTGCAGTGACAAAAGTTCCCCTTCTGGGTGGAAGGGTTCATCTTTCAACCATTTTTGCCTTCTGGATGCATGACAATCACAGACGCCAGTCATTTTGCACAAGATGGCTAATGGAAGATTTTTTTTTAATATAATGTGTGGGTAAACGTGTAGCAGCAGCTTTCCTGCCGGTGCGATTTCCTGTTCGTGCTGAGTGCTCTGCTGCATGCTGAGGCCATGTGATGCGTTGCCTTTGACAGCCTCACTCAAAACTGTGATGATATGTTATTATGAATTCATAGACAACACTGCCTGTGCAGATGTAGCTGTTTGTTAGGAGGTTTGAGTGGCAGCTGATAAAATATCTGATAAAATGACTATCATCACAGTGCAGCTCTCAACATCCCTCCTGACACCTGTCCTGCTGTCGGTATTGAACGGTATTTTGCAACATCCTGTTACTGCAAATTAACACATCACGCGGTTGAACACATTCCAGTCAAAATGTTCCCATTGTTTGAATGAATTGGGATCATGTGATTTGATCACCAGGCTCAAAATGTGGGCTGTGCACCATGCAGGTGTAATTACAGGTGTTATCTTGACATATGTTGTACTTCTTTCGCTAATTTATGTAATTTGCGGAGCAATGCCTCATTCATCTGTCATTCAGGGCCTAGAACATTAGATTTTGCAGAGCAGATCCATGTTGGAAGGGCTAGGTGTGCCTATCTGGTCCCTTATAATTTAATCCTTAGCTTTAATATCCGCATAGAACCAGAGGATGAGCGATGAATTGCTCGTATAATGGCATTTTGATCTGATTGAGTCCTGGAGCTACACAAAAATGTGTCAGCTGTATCTTTTCCTTTTAACGATGGAGAACCATGCACAAGGTGTTCAGATTGAAAGGTAAATATGAACAAACCCGTTGTGAAGCAATAATAAAATGCAGTAAAACACTTTGGCTCATGTAAAGAGTGTCTGTTAATTCCTAATAATTCATATTGCTCCTGTAAGGCTTTTACAAGAATGCGACACAACAGACAAGCTGGCTAATATGTCAAATCAACAGCTTTCCAAGTATTTATTTCAACAGTACAATATGTTTGCATTTAATTTTTACTCTTCACGTAAGTATATCAGAGACAACAAGGCCAGCTGTGACGGGAGAGGAAAAAAAAACCTAACCTTATCAAATGCAAATTCAATGCACACAACATGTCAAACTATATAATTTATGGAGAAATATGCCTTGCAGCTGTCATCAGCAGGCATGAAGATATACCTGACTGTACTGTTAGAATACAGCACCAACCTGTGCAACAAAGCAGTAGCCAACATGACCATATCATTGAAGAAGTTAAACTACAGACGACAGAGAGAATAAAGAGGTTTAAATGATCATTATGCCGAGTCATTATGTTAGTGCACATTTTGATGCTTCCCATAATGAACTTTAAAGTTGGCCATGTGTTAACAGGCTTAAACATTTTGTACAGCACAACACAAGAACAAACTGTAGGGTTTGGATACCATTTTAAGAACTGTGGTGTTGCATGAGCAACTGACAAGAATTGACAAGTTAGACTGTCTTTTCTGGTAGTTCTCAGCTCAGCTCTCCTATGAAAGACAAATTGGCTTATGAAGAAGAGTCTCTCAATTCATTATCACAATGTCAGGAACAGAAAATGACCTGAAAATGACAGAAATATATTGTTTGTAGCAGTTATTTCGGGGACAACACGATCCAAACAGAAATAGTGATAATGACGTGTACATTTGATGTACACTGCCACTTTTAAAACTCCGGGGACTGGCATGGTACAGAGGCTGTCCAAAATAACGAGTCCTTGCTGAGTCAGAGTTCTGATAACAGTGCTGCTGGCTGCACGTTGAGTGTCATATGTGAGCACATCCTGATGTTTGGCCCTTTGAAACCACACCTTTACCCAAATCTCCACCAAAACAGTTTTGCTATTGTTTGCTGGGCTTCAGTTTTTTGGTTCTGGTAAGAATGTTTGCAGACAATCCAGAGATACATACGACACAAATCACACGCACACACACATCCACACACACTAGGTTTGGTGTGAATACTACAGCGTCGTTGCTGCCTTTGGCCACGTGGGGGCGCCCGACTCATTTTTTCAACCTCCACGAGAAGCGGAGGCTGGGAGGGAAAGTGGGCTCGGGAAAGAAATCTCTCTCCTGAACTGTTTACCCTGACGTCAGTTTGCAGAACTAGCTCTGCCCTGTCTCTCTCAGTGCCTCTGGAACTCCACTCACTCCGAACTGGGGGAATAGATGGGCTCCGCTTTGCTCGTGCCCGCCCGGACCTCTCGGACTGAATGAAATGACTTCTTCCTAACATTTAAAGTGGACTAAAACACCTTCACGATGAACACCTGCGCCTTTCTGCTGATTTTGACTGTTCAGATCTACGCCGATGGCATCGAGGGGCCAACAGGTAAGAGTGATGCCCATCTCTGTGTCCTAATCCCGCCAGAGAAGTTGTTGCATGTGGATGAAACTTGACTGAGAGGAAATGCAGAGCGAGTCTGGGAGAAATGCCAACTTTGCGCCCGTTTCCCCAACACGTTGCTTCTTTGATCTAGTTGGCCCCTCACTCCCACGCGGGGCTCGTGATTAACTTTAATAACTTTATGAACAGAAGCATAGAGTTTTCTCGTGTTGGTTTCATGTTAGTTATGTAGGACTGCTCCGGTGCTTTGGGGAAAGCTCCCATTTCCCAAAACAACGCGGTCCTGTGCGCAACGCCGCCTCTGCCGTTTGTTATCGCCCGGGCAGCATAATTAAAGGCGCCAGGTAGGCAAAATGATGCGTAAGTTTGTGAGACAAACTTCGTCCCTTCCGGGTGGAAAGATAAACATATGCGGGAAAGAGACACGACAGGACCAGATTTGGATCAATATTTGCGAGCGCAAGTCTCCCCAATCCCCCCACAGCCTGAACCAATCTGTGCTGACATCCACAGACTAAATCCTGGAGCTCCTCCATGCTGGAGTCGGGTTGCAGAGCTTAGCTAACCCTAAGCCTTCAAAGTTTGCATTCTGGTGTGATTTATGACATTACAATTATCCCTGATTATTGGAACAATTTCTTATTCTCTCGTATCATAAAGCTGCTGGATCCCTCTCTGAAAACGATGTCTAGTCTTCTGGGTTGTCATAGGGTTTGTGTGGAAGAAACGATGAAACATAAATATTTGAGGGTGAAAAAGAACCCAATTGTTTCAGGTCCTCATGTATGAATGAAGCCCTGTTTCAGGGAGACATATTCCATCCACAATTTCAGAGAAATAGTGGTGAAAACGATCGCCTTTTACAGGGACCTGACACTTAGATCTGAACGGTAAATGAAATTCTGGCATTCAAAGTCAGATGCCTTCACTGTGTTTTGTCAGTCATTCATGAAATGTAATTACAGAGCCTCATTTTGCATGCTCCGTCTGAAAGCCGAGATTACAGGGGCCCGGTACAAATGCAGAAATATGTACCTTTAGGGGATAAGACCTGGGGAGTAAGGTGGTAATATGATAAGATTTACACCACAGGCTGCACTTAAAGAACAAAAAAAAAAAACCTAAACCACCTGCAGAATAAGATTGACATGATATTTGTTTAAACCTGGCTAATACTGCCATTTCATGAGAGACAATGCCCCCCCTCCTCATGTGTGTGAGGTGCATAGGTTTAGGTTTAGGTGAGCAAAAAGAAGCAGCAGCTGCAACAAACAGCGCGGCCTCACAAGCAGAATGTGTATTGTCAGGAGCTGAGTGGAGCACATCATTAAGAGGAATGGGCTGAGACTTATGACGGATTAAATCACACGCAGGTAATTAAAAGAGCCGAATGGAACGGTAACGCCTCACTACGCCTCGCCGTGTGAGTGTCTGTCAACAAAAAAATTGACATGCTGTCGGCTGCTCGCTTTGTTAACCGGGGTGTTGCGGGCCTTGCCGCCAGGGCGGTTGCCCTCCATTAGCTGCTGATATTCCACACTCGGCGGTGTGGCGGCTTCTCCTCCCGCCTACCTGCGTGCTTTTCCGATTGTCAACATCCCGCAGGAGCCGAAACGCTGCCTCCTGTCTGATTAATTCTGCAGCGATGGGACGAGGACCGGTCCTTCATAACAATCATGGAGGACAGGATCCGTTGGGATCACACCCCCGCCTTTTCCAGTCCACCCCATCACCCCATCCAGTCCGTACATTCAGCAAAAGCTGTGGGATACGGAAGCTTCTACCTGTGCTTGGGCTGACTGGAGTTTTTAATAAAGGGTTTATTTATGATGATGACTAAAAAGGACTGCTTTCATGTTTGCCCAGGCACAAAGGGGGTCACTAATGTCC